CGAACGAGCTAATGGAAAGTCCCGTGCACACACAAGCGCGCGGCTGAATCTCCCAGGATCGGACACTGTACGCTCCGCTGACCGACGACCACCACTTTGAGCATCGCGACGCACTCGCGACGACAGATGATGGAAGAGACTCACCTGCGAGAGGCGGTTGGTTGAAGGGCCTCGCGGTGACTGCGCCCCGGCTTCGGAAAAGGGTGTGAAGCGTGGATGCGGAGAGAAGAGACGCAGGGCGGATTGAGATCCCCGGAGAGAGAGAGAAGGTGCGGACAAGAGACGAAGATGGAGAGGAAGAGAGAGAAAGAAAGAGACAGAGAGAGAGAGAGAGAGAGAGAGAGGACGGATGGACGGATGCGGCGGCGCTGATGGAGGGTGGACCACGGTTCAAGGGAGACAACGAGAGCTCGGACTCCGCTACCAGCGTGCGCCAGAGCGAGCCGAGGCGAGAAGATGCGAAGCGAGAGAGAACGAAGGGTTTAATTCGAGCGGCTGCTGAGGAGTAAGCGGGACCGCGCTGCAATCAGTCGGGCCGTGTTATCGGAGCGCCACGAGAATGGGGGTAGAATCACGATCGCCGCCCCCAGCATCCCGGAGACTGAGGCTGGCCGGGAGATCTCTTCCCGGGCAGCGGCAGCTTCTCGCACAAGCGCACTGTGAACCGCGAGAGCTTTTGGTCTATATAGAGTCGCGGGGGTGTTCTTCCCTTTCTGTCTCTTTCTCTCTCTGGCTCTCCGGCTCCCTGCCTCTCTAGTTTCCCGTCTCTCTCTCTTCCTCGAGATGTTGTCCTTTATCCTCCCAGTATCAACTTACGGTACGTGACGCACCGCGTTCTCCGCCTCGGCCGATGCAACCCTGCGTCTTGGTGGATTTTTTCTTTGTGCGGTCGACCACTTCTTGAAATTCCTCTTTAAAGATACAAATGCGTCTTGGGCGTGGAAAATCGCGACAAAGAATTCGCGGGTGTTTAACGGCACCCCCGTTCTTCGCAGGGTTTTCTTAGAGGAAGAAATGGCTCTTTCGTCTTTCGTTGAAGGGAACGAAATGGTTTTGTCGAGAACACTTTTTACTTCTGTATCCTATTTCCCGTAACATCGGTAATACAAATCGCACGACAATGTTTTCGTTGTTAGTTAATCTTCTCTCATGCGTAAAAATGAGAACATTTTCATTTCTTTGATTACTCTAGTGAGCTAATTTCATCTGCATAGATTGGCGCAACGTTTTCCCCGTCGTATTAAACCTCATCTTCAATTCTCCTTTATGATTCCTTTTTTGCTTGGCTGCCTCAGAGAATATCACTTCTCTTTCAGAAAATCTCGTATGAATTTTTCCCAGGCGAAATTGTTTTTTTCATGATACTTTTCAAGAAGTAGAACTTTAGAAACTGCGTTGCTATTTTCAATCGTTGCTATTTTCAAATCATTTGCAATTTATAAATCTTTTATTGCTTTATTATTTTCTCATAGTCGTTTAAATCTGATGCATATATAATTATTTGAAATATTGTGTCGATCTTCAAAATTTTTTACTCGTTATCGATAATAATCTAGAGAGCGAATATTTTCTCGTTTTCTCATATCGAAGATTATCGAATTGGTTTATCTTTGTATCATCATTTCTGTCGATTAAAATCGTTTAGGAAGAAATTCTCTTTGTGCTAAGGAATTCCCTTCCCTCATGTTCTGAATTTTCTTATACGTTCCCCCGTCTTTTTCGCAATTTATCTTCACTGACGCGCCCGTCGCCCTAGGGATGTTCTCAATAGCATCTTATTATTCGCGTAAAGCGGATCCCAAACTTTTAACATATTTCAATTTATATGCACATTAAAAATTGTTCTCAGGAGAATTTTCTAATTTGAGTTTCGTTTCGGACAAAAACAAATATATATTTTAATATATAATAAAAAGAGAGTTTCCTCTATTTGCACTTGAAGAAATGACTAGAAATTAATTATTGAAAGATTTATAGGCAGAAGATAATCTTTTCAAATATAATGAGTTTTAATTAATAAGATTCTTCATTCAAACAATGTAAAAATATTGCGCAAGAATTTTTGGTCTTGTAATCATTCGAGAAAAACTCCTTGGCTGAACTCTGCCGAGATAAAAACGGAATTTTCACAAAGTCGAAGAGACTGGAAGCGGGTATTCGGCTCAGCTACCACTGCTATCCCACGGGAAGATGTCGGAGGGCAGGCGCGGTGGGTGGGCGGTGGGTGGCCGGTGGTGAGGTAGTTCTACGCGATGGGGGAGGTAACAGGGATAGGTGACGAGGGAGGGGGAGGCAAAATGCTCCATGGTTCTGCGACCCACTGACCCGCTCGATAACGCTGCCACCGGGGTCACTGACCTTCCTCACGCTCGAAATTCATGTCTGTATGACCTCTCTTACGTCGTTTCGTCTCTCGGCGCAAAGTCAGAAATCATCCGCGACAAGTAAGTGCTTCGATCGCGTGACTCCGAACGACCGATGAACGAAAGCGTGCGCAAATAAATGCACACTTGACAAGACGGCGATTGTCAATTCCAAGTGCCGGGATTGGTTTTCGATTGGCCGATCTGCGACGTCGCGAGGATTCGACGGAATTTATTGGCCACGTACACTACGTTGAAAAAAAGCGGTTCGAAAAACCAGATCGCCGATTCTTCGCGAATAGCCAGGAGATTGCCGCATACGTGGGTAGATGTGAGATTCCTTCTCTCCAGTGTACCTTAAGATAGCTTCTATTATGATATTTCGCGCGTGAATTCTAGCTTACATTACATTTCCAATATTGATTCGAGTATTGATCTCTATTATTGCTCCGATCCAGAGAACAGGATCCGAGATATACGTTATGAAATATTCTTAAGTTACACTTTTGACGTGTTTAGTAAGAGTTTATTTAAAACGCATATATCGCATCGGATTTCCGCAATATTTGGTACCGTAAACTAACATTATTTGACAGCTCAATGACGAGACTTGTCAATCATCCATTCTCAATATCGGGCTCCACGATGTTGCAACCTTCCTCATATAGATTCTTAGGACATATTGAAGAAATGGATATTGAAGATTGTCGAAATTTTGTGATTAATTTATATCAATTAATGGACTTAATTTGCGCAAATTAAAAAAGAATTTAATATATAAGATTAAAAATTGTTTTCTTTATCTTTAAATATTTTAAAAATTTGTAATTATATAAAATATTCCAGTTTTATATTTTTAATTATGTACCTTCAATATCTCTGTTCAACTGTATTATATAATCTATCTTCGTTTAAACCTATTATTTATGATTTTCTTGTATGCAAATTAATAAAGCTGACGAGAAGAAATAAAGGAATTGAACGGGAAGTCTTTGTAAGAATTGCGTGACATTAATTATACTAATAAAGACAGAGCGAGAAATAGCTATAAAAAAATTAAGCGAGAACTGTCGCGTGATAATCTGATTTATACAATTGAAGCTGAAGTGCAACAGCTCATTTGTAGTATTTTTCTGCGTGTTGTAATATCGCGTTTCAAGGATTGCGACAGGCGAGACAGTTACGCACAGCAGTATTGATTTCGAGACGCGCTAGCAGTGCTGCCACGATTTCGCGTCTCTAGAACTAAACTCCGAACGAGAGAGATTACAAAAAAGATAATAAACTAAAATTTATTTTAATAAAAAATGAATTTTTGCTCCAGAAAGAATAGAACCTTATATATGACGATCATTCTTCTTTTACTTGGCAAGACTTTTACCTGGTTTTTTGAATTTCTTTGTAATTGATTGCTAATGTAAAATTCAACTTATATATGCTAAAAATATTATAAAATGTGCATTGCGAAGTTTCCCTCTCTTTACATCATGATGTGTGTGCATGTATTGTGTATATATGAGTTATGTATAATTATTAATTGTATTATTTTTCATTTTTATTATTTTAGATCTATTTCATGATTTTCTATATATTTTTATGTACAGTATTAATTATATTTTTATGTACAGTATTAATTATATTTATCAAATGTAATCAAGATTATAGATATGTTATATATTTGAGTTGTAATAATTATTTTTTCCTCTTCAGATTAATTGTTAGTTGAATTTATTTATGGTTATTACATGTCGTTCAAAGATACTTTAAAAACGATTTTTCTTTTTAAAAGCGCATTAATGAATAGCTGAGCATTGGTTGGCCGTAAATTGCTGCGTCAAGTTCTTGCTGTTCATGACATGTTCGATAATCTTATTTAGGAAATTGTCTATAATGTAATATAAGGTTTACTAAAGCACGTTACGTAAAGTGATCAACAGTGAGCAACAGAGTTTCATGAATTAATTTTTAACTTATAAAATGCAAAAATCATGCATTTTTGAATATTTTTACTGGCATTTGTATTCTGTAGTCAGTATTAATTTTAGCTTATTTTATTAGAATTTTTTAAATATTTATTAAACTATTAATGATATCTTCAATTATGTAATGGATCGATACATCAGCTAAATATATAAACTTGAAACACATAAATATACGGCTCTATTATAAGTTACTTGCTTGCTAAAAGTCAGAGCCCATAGCCTCGACGTCTGCAAGGTATCTGTGTATCGTAAAACGTGTAACTTGCAATAAGTAATCTCTAAAGCTATTTTAAGTCGCTCGAAGGATTCCAGAGACTCTTTAACGATAAGCAACGTACTTGAGGTACGATATTTACGAGTTTCACGTGATATAACAATTTTCGGTTTAAATGAGTGATTCGAATATTTATGCTTAAAGTTGTTAAAATGCAGAACGAATTTTATATGCGTGAAGTATTTTTCAGAAAAAATTATTTGTTGACTATTATTACTATTATTGCTCGCGATTAAAAATATCGCCTTCTGTTGAGAGAAATATTTAAACTTTCCTGTAAAGATTGGATGAATATTTCGCAGGGTGAGACATTAATATCTTTGTATATCTTTACAGTTAAGGATCTTCATAACACACGTATTTGTCAGAATGTGTACTTACTTTGCATTCTTTGGCAGCATGCCAGTACTTGGACCGGAATACGTGGGAGTGAGGCAAAGTGGTGGGTTATTCGCATTCTGTGGAACTAAGGGCTGCCTCGCATGCGCTGGCGACGTATGCGAACCATAGCCATCGGAGTTTAGCTGAAATCATTATAACGAGAATGAATTAAGCGCTTCCAGAGAACTCCTGCTTGAATATTACAATATATACAGTATTTTCCAATTATGTCATATATACAATTGCTTCATATCTACTATTGCAATTTAATATCATCTTATGATATATATCACTTTTGTAAATGGAATCAGTGCATTATCACTGCTAAACAATGATTTATGTTATAAGTACTGTAAATAGTAAAATTTCATTGAGAAGAATAATCAGTGATGGTGGCTGATTTTTTTTTCAATGAAATTTTACTGTCATAATTAGTAAGATGAAGGAAGAAATAAAATATGAGTTTAAAAATCAATGAAATATTCACTAATCTTTGGTGAAATTTTATTTTCATTGCTTCAATAAAGCAAGTGATATTTTTACTGATTCAATTTAAGAAAGCATTCAAAAACTATTATGTTTTTTTCGATAAATCTATAGTTTTCATAAAATTAAAGCATAATAAATAATTATATATTTTTATTAGAAAAATAATTTCTTCTGAAAAAAATATTAAATAAATATCTGAATTATGAGGTATCTTCTATATTGTGGCGCTATGTTTAATTACTCACTTTGACAACAGTACCAATTAAAGAATCAGGCGGCATTTCTGGAGGTTCGGGTATCACTCCTGGATTCGTATGTGCTGGATAATCGTTGTGCAGATTAGCCTCCTTAACTGGAGTACCACCGTCGAGTCGTTCCATATCTAAGCTATCGGTTGGTGTCGGTTGCGAGAGCAAACGCTCTTTCATCTCATGGAGATAGGGACACCGTTGCATCTCTTCAGAATCTTCTTTGTTGTCTTTCTGAGGATCTGCAGAAGAATGAAAGATTAGAATCAGAAGTATGCAAAGAAATGTTGTATGTCTCATACAATTAAAATAAATCTACTTTATACATATTTTTAAATACGATATATATTAGATGATAGTAAAAGTTTCATGCAGTAAAAGTTTTTCATAATATTTAGAAATTATTTAAAATATTAGTAAGAATATAAATTTATTTCTATCAAAAATATTTGATAACTTTATCGATTTGTAGGTGACTCTATTTTCAGAAAAAATAAAATTCTATTTTCTCTTTTTATACGTTGTACGTGTAAGTTTTAATTGTAAAATACGTAGAAAATATTTCATCGATCGATAAAAAAACTGAGAAAAATGATTCAATAAAAGTATATAACTATGAAACGAAGCTATCTACAATATATTTATGGGATTGTAAATTTGTGGACGTTTATTTGATTTTATTGAAGCGCGAACAACCCTTTAGTTTACAGCTTCTCAACTATCGGAAGAAACACTTGGAGCTTTTGTAAACTGTTTTGATTTACGAATGTTAAAGTGTTCTTTGATGTTCAGGAAAGTAATAGACGAGCCTAGAATTACGATTTTAAAAAATAAATGAAAGTCTTTCAAAGAATATTCGAAATTAGACTGAATTTCCAAGATTTTACAAATAAATTTTATAAATAAATAATTATTATTTTTATATAAAAATCTTCAATCATTTCTATGCATGTATAAAAGTTCACGCGAAATGTCATCGATGTAATTGTATCTACGTGATAGAATGATATAATCGAAGGAAACATGAAACCTGTGGTGATTCGTGGATATATTGTCACATTGATTGTTGTTATTAGGTCACAAGTAAATGTCCTGAAGGCTACAAATTAAATTAATTTTTTAATTTAAAAAATTTATTCTATTAAAATTCTTATGATTATTATTTTTTCGGATTATAATATTCGTTTCTTTTTCTACAAACTTTATATTTATAGTTCTTTGAAATTATAATAACTTAATCTGTATTATTTGTAATTTTTTATTTCGCACACCACTTTTGCTGAACTTACTTAAGGCCACGGTACCCATGGCGCACTTTAAACGCGCCTTTAATATAACGCGCCTATACACGAAGAAAAGACTCACTCTCGCATAAGAATTCGAATGAAAAACAGATCGAGCTCGCAAGAGCCTGACGACGATAGTGCAAACGCGATCGGATCGAATCGGACTGTCTCAGAAGGGATCCCCATCGCCGTTAACTGGCTCTTGGCTCTCTCTCCATAGTAGAGATCGCCAAACATGGAACTACGATTGGCGCGCTCATCTGGTCACGTGCATACATCTTTCCACGTGGATGCTTTCCGAGGAACTCGACGAGCGCGACAAGAAAACGAATGAACACCTTGAAAAGATATCGCGATTCGATATCTCTGATATATAATTATAGATTGTTTTTAAAAATCAATCAAGTTAAATCTCGATTATTTATTTACGCAATTTGCTCTCATACACATTTAGTGCTATTTTATTTAAAGATTTTTTAAGTATTTATTTAATTTTAATCAAAGTAATCTTGTAAAAATAGTACTAATAATAAAAATGTCATGCAAATTATTGTCAAATTATTTTATCTTGTTATATTTGTTTTGAATTAATCTATTTTGATCATACGAATGCAGTTTCTGAAATAAAATGTGCATCACTTTACATTCGAATTGCAATATTGTACTGGAAGGGCAGTGGGAGTTTGAAGACGGTTACTGACCTATCTCCTCTCACAGTTACATGTCTATCTTTGTAAGAACAAGGCAGGCAGCACAAAATAGTCCTGTGCAGATGTGGAACAATGATTTTACGATGCGAATCATAGGAGAGAAGAAACTTAAATACATTTTTCGAATATCTACATAACAAAAAATAAATATACATCAGTCATATTTACGTATAAAAAAATTACAATACGAAACAAAGAATTTTTTTAATACTTTCTCTTTGCGATACAATTGGCATAAGTGATACTATTATATTCGTAGCGTTAACATTTTTATCTCACATCGTTTCTGAATAATTGCGTTGCTAGAAATTAATTAAAATCCATTAATTAAAAATCGAACTTTAATTATACCTTTAAATATCAGTATAGGTAAATAATAAATTATTTTATTTTAATGCGTGTAAGAGACAATTACAACGGTAACTGACCTAACCGAACGCGAACTCAGGTAACGCCACGACGTCGCGATATCCACTGCAAGCTCGCTCTCGTACAAGCTCCGTACTCCCTCTCTGCCTATTTTCATCCATCGTCGACCACATGCACACATATGTTACATATATTTAGAGATCCGCGCTACGCTTTAATTATGATTCGCTTGCGACTTGTGTCAGTGCTACCTTCATCCTTCTTTCTCACCCTTTTCCCTCTTCGGAGAACAGAAAGCGTCCTCCCTTTCTCGCTCTCTCTCCCTTTCTCTCTCTCTCTTTGTACGTACACGTGGAAAGGTGTATGCACGTGCACATCAACTAACACGAGATTATTTTTGTCTTCGTCTCCAGGCGAAATTCGAGAACGAAGTACGATTTTAAAGATTCTGTCACATTGTCAGCGACCGACACATTGTTCAGCACATGTATTGATCGCTAGAACATGAGTAATAAAACCGCGTGAAGTTAGTGCCCAATATTAAAAATAATTGATTTTTTTTTATGATTCGATTGCACATTTTTTGCACAGCAATATCCTTTTTTATTTTCGTTTGCACATCTCTAGTAAAACAATTATTTAAAAAACACTTTAACTTCACATTAGCTCCCCAATTTTTTCAAAAATGATTTTCAATCAACATAATTAATAGACATCCCCCCAAAAGTTTTTTTTGAATAACATTTTTACTAAGAGTGTGTAAACGAAAATAAAAAAGTGCATTCCTGTGCAACCAAATCATAAAAGAAACCAATTATTCCTGATATTGGGGGGTTAACTTTACACGACAGTAATAGTTTTGAAAATGTTTCGAAAGCAATTTTCGAATTGCTATTGAATTTGTGTTTCAGTGACCTGAATGTTGAGATGATTTCGAGAGTATACATTTATTAAATTGATATTCATTATAATACAATTTATTTTTTGATTAATTAATTTTAATAAATAATTTGTATATATATTTAATAATTATATATAGATAATAATTATATATAGACTTTGATGTTTTTAATAGTGCAGTGTCCTTTTTTTAGAATGTGTTTATTATTTAATTTGACGATTTTATAGCTTGTATAATTTATCGTGGATTAATAAGATTATTCTATTTGAAAACTTGACAGTTTGATCATTACGTCAAAAGTATAATTGATTGAAATAAAATTACAAATCAATAATTTTTGTGTAATGTGGCCCCAATCGATCCATCGAATAGACAGAAAAAGTTTCCAAGGATTTGTATTTTATATGCTTTTATATTGTATTTTATATGATTTGTATTAATTATTATTTTGGAATATCTTGCTCTAAAGATAGATTATAAAAATTATGTTGCGAAAATTCGATTTGAGATGAAATGCAATTGCAAATAAATTTGAAATAACAATCTTGCTTTATTTTCACATCCATGTCATGATAAGATTTACATCGCATATGAATTTTTGGAGAAAAAAAATAGAATAGCTATTTATATTTTATACAAAAAATGAATATTTTATATAAGAGAAAAATATCGAACAATATCGGAGTCTGAAAATAAAGAGAGCAAAGGAAAAAAATAACAAGAAAGAAAAGGGTTTCAAATTTAAAAGCTTCTGATATTAAAATATCGAGCGTTTAATCTGAAACGTAACGTCGAATCCGGCTTTGAGTTTTGTAACGAAATAATAAGTTCTTTCTGCTGGCTAATTACTTTATCCTTGGCACAAGAACGGCAGATTCTAATCCACTTTAAGCTTTTTTTTCACCGGAGTTAAATAAAATCGGTAGTTGTGTAACTTTTAATGATTCATCGATACATTTAGCACTTGATGAATTAAAAGTTTTATTTCCAAATATTTATTTGCAATAATATCAGCAAAGTAATATGTCTCGCGCGGCTTAATAAATGAGGCTTATAGGAAAGCTATCACTATGGAAGATTGCGAAAATAAAAAATATATAGTAAAGTTATCACAAAGCACAAAATTGATCGAACAAATATTTGGACTTGCAAGTTTTTTGATTATTTATTGGTAATAAAAATAAAATAAAAATATTACGTATTTTAGTTTTAATATTCCTTATGTAATTATTTCCAATTATTTTATAAAAATTGTAATATACGTGATGGAAGCCTATTGAATTAATAAAGCATATTGACAAGCCTAAAATATGTTTTGTATCTCGAAATAGCCGAATATTAATATTTATCGAGTTATTAATAATATACTTTGATTGAAGGAAATAGCTTTTGAAGTCACAAGGCAATTGTATACTATTATTACTTAATGTAGCAGAGAGAAAAAGTTCTAAAATTGATACGAGATGCTCGAACACTATTCAAAGGTACCATTAACGATCACGAATAAATTCGATGATTGTGATAAAAATGAAAGGTGACGACTATTATCGTCGAGCAATAATGCCCTAACGACGCATTCAATCATAATTATTCCGATTGGCTCGCTACACGAGCGAGATTCCAGCGGTGTGCGTACGTCCGGACAACGCAAAAGCGCGTGTCGGGAATCGGCGCGAGCTTACATGTGCGAGCTCACGATGATGGAACACTCGTGCACAGATAATGAAAGATAGTCGAACATGCACACGTATACACATGCACGTACCTCGCGGGGACGAGGCGAGGTTATTGCCGGGGTGCTTCCGCGCGCGCGGGCGTCACAACAAACGGAAGCCGGAAGTGGCCGCGGATCGATTCTGGCCCCGGTCGGTCGTGGACCTCGAAAAAGCGGCAGCTCGCCGAGACGCTGCCGCAGCACGGCACGGCACCCGACACGAAACACGGCCAGACTGCGTGGCGACCACCTGTGAGCTTCCTACCGACGCCGGCGTCGCGACGCCCACGTACTATCCATCGACCGATTCGCTACCGTGTCGCTCGTCCCCGCGAGGGGATGCTTTTCTGCGCCGAGTTGGTCAATGACGCTCGCTCTTTGATACCGTCGGTAATTTTCTAACTTACTGGTATATCATATTTTTACGCGAAATATTTTTTCAAATGTTTTCTTTCAAGTATCGATCTGGTTAAAGCTATTGATTTCACACAATCTTTCAATTATTTAGTTGCGTTAAAATATGAAAATTGTCGTTCTATAATTTTGTGTCGTAATTGTATTTACATCGAGGCTGATTGAAATATCGGAGCAAAGTAGAACGGGTATTGTTTTTCGAAACGTGTATGAATAGATGCAGCATTTCCGAGAGAGAATAGCACGATTTTATGAAGATCGGCATTACCTCGATTGCAACTGTGCTGCATAGTAATCGCTGTTATTACGGTAATTACAACAGTTATTGCCCTTCCGCCTCTGACTTTGCTATCTCGGAAATATTTATACCGGACTTGCTTTCAACTCGGTGTATGTCATTTCACAATAGTTTCAATTAAATGATTGTATACGAATATATTTAAACGCTTCTAATTTTTTTCCAAGGTCAACGAAACTAAAAGAAAGAAATTTATAAAATGTTTTTATTCAACGAAAAATATAAATAATAATAAATAATATAGATAATAATAAAATGCATATTTTAGATCATTATTAATAACATACATTATCATTAAATAAAATAGTAAAATTTTCAAATTAGATTACAGGGATTTTAAGAATTATTACGTAAAACATAACAGAAAAAAGATCACGGAAATTTACTTGCCATTTTTTTCCACTTCTTACCTCCATTATGGATCACGTCGAGGGGAGATTTTTAAGTTCACCGTGCTTAACGTATCGAAAAAGTTTAATTAACCGAAACACAGTTCAATCAACCGCGATCACCGGTTTGATATAATCAATATTTTGAAAAAAAAAATTAGTTTTTATCAAAGATTGTGTCTAAAATTTTTTCCCACGTCAATATTAAGCATCAAATCTATTATTATATACATTATTATTTTTTTATGTAAAAAAATATTTTTAAATCACACACATAATACATCATACACGATCTCCTCGATTGAAGATTAATTTAATATTTATATCACACGTTTATAATCAAACGAAACCACATTGAGACACTAGCGTCGTGTTTCATGTCTCGCGCGCGAATAATTCTGGCTCTATGATGGTCGTATGGTACCCTGCGGGATCCTTTCTCTTTTCGAGTCGCGGGTCGACGGTAGATATTCTTGGAGATATTCTTGGTTACTCGAGGCGAGTAACTTGATAATGTATGCGAAAGTACATCATGCGAAGCCTAACTTTGTTTTTAGTGATATTATTTATTGTTATTTTTTGAAATATTGATATGTGTGTATAAAAAAAATACGAATATAGCTTTTTGATTATTTTCTACTAATTAGCCGCTTTTAATATTTTATTTACATAATTTTATTTAATTATATATATATATATATATATATATATATATATATATATCATATAATTTTATTCTTTTCTCGACTTTTCTAAAGTATCCTTTCATATCTATTTGAGATATTCATCTGTCTCCATTGAATTCTTTTGAAGTCTAATCCCTTTCGGTCTAACATATATCAAAAGAAGAATTATCGTAGACGCCGTGAGAAGGTATATAAGAATGTTTTCTCAGATCTTACACACACTCTGTCATTCATTGTAACTTCAAAAAAATCCGATTGATGACAGACATATCCTTATTTTTTATTTACCATGACTTCTTTCGTTCTTTGATCCCTCGCTATTTTAAATTTCTACAAGGAAATATATTTTTTCAACAGAAATACTTAGTTTCGAGATTGGATAATTTTTTGATCATATATATATATATTTTACGTATTTACTCCGTTTCCAAGAAACTTTAATAATTTATATTTTAACGATTTCACCGACAGTCGCGTGTGAAAGAAAAAGGGTAAAAATTATATATTCGGCAAGATTGACCGTGTCCTTCTTTCTTCCCAGTCATGAAACTACAGTTTAATGTTATAGTCTGGCCAACGTGGCGACGTAGTACACGTACCATGTACGATGTACCACATGTACGTATATAAAATCCGAACACAGTCCTCTCATTTTTATTTTCGGTCCTTGACTTGATTTTTGGATCGTTGTAATATAAATACAGGCTGATCGATAAGTTCAAGGTTCGCGGCATGGCTGAACCGAAACCTCGCACATTTATCAGCTCGCTAAACGCTCCCCTTTCACATATAATTTAAAACGCGCCGCACGTTTTTCTCGTTTACACAAGATTAAATAGCGCAATGAAGCGCAAGGATTTTTTAAAGTGCACATTACTTGGTAAATTTTGAATTCAGATGAAAAAATCAAATAATAATATTCGACAAAAATCTTTCTATTTTGAAAAAAAAAATATATACAATTAAAATAATTTGAATTATATATTTGAATTATATACTTTTATATATTTTATATTGTATAAAATTGAATATATATGTGTGCGCGTGTTGTATATTTCGCAGCTTTAAAGTTTATTTTTGTAGTTTTTATTTTATTCTCTTCACATACGTATATCGCATGATGATTTGCATTGCGATGATGTTTGTGAATTCTCTCGACTATTGTAAATGCACCCCATTCCATAAAAATTAATTTCATGCGTTTACACGCAACTTAAAAATCGATATTACTGGCATGGAATTGTTTTGCTAGAAAGTCATTGACCGAGAAACTAGCGCAAAAATAGTAGCATTGCATTTTCAATCCAGATCAAAAGCCAAACCATAAATTCTATAATTGGCAATGATCATCTGTGAAAGCATATAAAAATTGCAAAAAAATCTCGTTAATTTAATCAATTATTATTAATTTTATATTATTTTACGTTTAAACATTAAATCATGTTGTTAATTCTTTGCAATTTAAATGAAGTTTATTATTAAATATATGAAAATTTAAAACATGATGAAAAACTAATTTCTATTAATATTAAAAAATTGAGAGTTCTTTTTTTTTATCAAGATTCAACGCGAACAAAAAAATCTATAGGATACGTTGAAACTTCCTCTCACTCCTATAATAATCTAATCAACTTTAATCAAATCAGCTTCAATTTAGCAACTTTGTGTATAATCCCTTGTTTGTTATGAAATTCCGATATCGTATTACGTACTAATATTAACATATTTCACATACTTGCGCGGGTCCGCGCGATCGATTATCACTTTAATTAAACCTCACTATTGTTCGCGCGCGATTTGCAATATCGACAAATTAGCGAATCTTCCGGAAGCGAACATGCTGAACATGCACGTGACACGAACATCCGTCGATCGTCGCGCGCGCAACACGTAAATCTCAGTACGAGAAGCTCACAACACAAAGAGACTCACTATAAGACACCCGTGAAAAGCCCACATGGCAGACATACTCACGCGCCCATTAATCGAGGAAGCAGGCTCGTGCCATGGGCAAGTCCTGTCCCTGACCTCCCGCGGTCGTCCTTAAGACGGAACGGCCACCTCGGCGAGGAAAGCTCCCTCGTAAGTGTCCCTGGACTCTTCGGTCGATTTACAGGAGGCAAATGAATCTTCACCGAACAACGTGGCGTCGAGCGCGCTACCCTCGAAGCAACATGCTGGTCGGCGCAGGGCGGATGTAAACAAGGAACCCCCGAGCTTGCGCCCTGCCCGGAAGCAGCCGGTCGCTCTTCCCGTCCTTCTTGGCGGACGACTTCTTCGTCTCTTTCCACCCTCTCTTCCTCGCTTCCTTTTCTCTCGTGCTCGCGCGTATCGCTGCGAGGTCCTGATGACGCCGACTCGCGTGTGCGTGTACGACTCGATTCGGTCTCGTGCCGGCCGGCTGGAGGATCCTGTCTCTCTCTCTTAGCACGCCTGTGACGTTGCGCGGTCGCCCATGGCGGTGTAATGGCGACGCTCAGTTGGTTATGGGGGTCGCCGCGCGCGCGAAGCCACCCCCATGCAACGTGGAAAGGCGATCAATATCCACAGCTCCCGCGATTCCCGCTTTTCCACCCCCGTGGACGGTTTCTCTGTCCCCTTCGTAGGTACTGGCCGCTGTGTCTACGTCGGCGATAACACTGACGCCTCTGACGTTGATGGTAGTGGTGATGATGGTCGTTGTTGCCTCGAAACTGCCTCGTTCCGCGTACGATGGACGGAGGTATCAGGGTTGTATACAGGTGAAATGGTAGGGTTAATTCACGCGCGGTCTTTGTCCTCTCTCGCGATCTAGAAGGCTTTAAGCGCTTTTGGAAAGTGCGAAATGATTTAGGTAAAAATAATGCGACGGAAATTTATTTTCTGATGTTCATTATTGTAACAATTATATAACAATTATATAATAATTATATAATAAATATATAACGATAAAATATGTATTCAAATATATAATACCTTACGCAAATAGCATGAAACGATAATATAGCTATCGAGTATATCATATTAATTAAATATTAATTAAATATTAATGTATATATTAATTTTTTAAATATTAACCAATTAATTGGATGACGTTTATTTGAATTGCTCGATATCTTTCTTGATTACACTAGAGAAACCTAAGCCGATTGAGAAGCCAGTCTGCCGGGTATATTGATTTTATATATTACGACTTAAACTGCTCTGTACAACGATGACTGCGGGGGTTTGGCGACTAAAATGCACCCTCTTCCGAATGCTTGGAACCTGGCAACGCCGACGAGGGGTAGATTTAGCCGGTAATTACAAATATTCTCCCCACAAGCGATTCGTCGGACTGCCTGGTCTAAACGAGAGATCACAACGCATATAATAGGGAATATTGTTATTTCTTTGTTCTTGCGGATCGATCTTTACGAAACATGAATATTCGCGCGCCCCTTATTCTCTTTTGTTTTGCGACGGAGTCCCATCGAGAGGATCGCGATAATGTTATAACGAGGTTAATTTGCAAGCGAAAGTAGGGTAAACTTTTTACACAATATCTACCTCCTGGAATCTACTGACAGGCTATTTTTATTGTTATGAGACAGTATAATCGAAGTGAGCTAAAGCGATCAGAATTTCCGTTCTATTAGTTCCGTTATTTTCTATCGATGAAGAAATGTAGATATATTAATCACTTATACTTGTGCGAAGAACACTTTAACCTACTACGTTCTCAATAATCAACGCAAAATAATAACGTCGTCAATTTAGCAGCTTTAATCGCTTATTTATATAACTGTTATTTCTCTACTTTCAAAAATTAATTATACATGCAACGAGTAAATATCAATGCTATTTTTGACCGGATGCCCTTATAAACATCGACGTATTTTTCATGTAGGAGGCGAATTGATCGCATAGTGTATCGTAGGATGCCCGCGGAAATCGAGAACGAGTAAACCAACCCACGCAACGGCAAACATGTGAGCAAACATTGAGCATTGCATCGGACGCAAAAGGGTCGTCCTGTTCGCACGCTCTCTTATGCAACGATCCTCTCACGTGGCGCGATAAAAACGGTTTCCATGCACGCATCCAGCTCTCGCAGACTCCCATTCACGCTGACTTTTTGCAGCTCTCGTGGATTCACTCGGGATCTCCATTGCCACTGGCAATTCAACACATCTTGAAGTTAAGGCAACAATCGAGAATTTAGGTACTGTCGCAAAGTGTTCTTTAATCGAGCCAATAAGGCGCCCCGTTATATTTGAAAGCAGTTTCAACAATGTCGATTTTAATTCGAAAATTAACGAGACGATAATTGACACTAGGCAATATTTATATTTTTGCGAATTAAATAGAGTAGTTTTAATCGATCGAGTTTACTCGACGATGGAATAATTAAGAGCGTGTACTCCATTTGACAATTTAATTAATTATGTCTCAAGAGCACTCAGGGGAGCAACTCCTATTACATCAGCAGCATATTCAATATGAAATACTCGCAATTATCTTCTCCACGTGTCTCTATTTTCGCAAGTGTAACAGCATTGAATTAATTTTGTTAATTTTCATTACGCTGGCAATCATTACGATAGATTATATTAACAAGCACGCAATATGCTACTCAAACTACGCTTTGTTATTAATTATGTAATTATCACTAAAATGTCCATTATTATTAATGTCGTCAAAGCGCCATTTGTCAAATGATTTTAGAAATTATTTAAAAAAAGCAAATGTATGCAAATGTTAATGTAAAGTGTTTTTAATGTATTTTTAATATTTATCATATATGATTATGGGTTGTAAAATCAAGTGTTAAATAGCAAAATTATAAAAGTAAATGCTGTGGAATTGTTTGAGAATGTAATAGAATTACTACATAATTACAATTTATTCGTCGGGCCTCCGTAAATAAATCGATAATGCTTGTTCAATTAGAGTGAAAGGGATTGATTCGACGAAGTGAAAGTCGCGATACGAATCTCGTTTTCCATTAGATTCAATTTGAGGGTCGGTCACCGGATGACCTTGGACCCGAGGAAGGCCTCGACGTCAAGAAATCACGAATATACAGTCGCGGAATCGACTTTGGAATCGCAAGTATTTAGGTCGACACGATTGCTCGGCCACGATTCGCCGTTATTTGATTTATTCGCCGTCGTTGCATCGACTGCTCATCGTAGCACGAAGCAAACTTTGCATTATGTAGAAAGTGTGACTTTAGATGTCTATGATTGATGTTTCATCTCGGCGCTACTTTCGTCCATTATTCAGCGAGCATGGCGAGAAAAAAATGCGGTTTATTAATTTGACATTGTTCGTACTTTCTAACAGCGAAGATTAATATTACGATGGCGGAAATGTGATCGTGCGCAGCAATAAAAAGGAAGCATTTCGTTTATTGCGGACGAGTGTATTGCAATTCGTAAGGTACAAATAGTACAAAGGGTATAAGAGTACAAACATTGCGTAGGAACTAGATTATGCGGACATAGAAAAAGTACAGTTTAGAAGTGTGATATAATAAAGAGAGAGAACCCATTTCCTCTACTCGTTTCCCTCTTATATCACTCGCGAGTGCGAATTGCGTTCTTTCGTAATTTCGCCCTGGTTTTCATCTTTTTACGGAAAAGACTTATGCCGAGATCCGTAAATGCGTCAACGATGTGCAGAAAAATCTATCCGGCAAGGATAGGACGAGTGTCCAGCAAGAGATTTATTCTTGCAACATTGGAAGTGAAAATGTGGATTATTTAAATAATTACAACAATTAAATTTATATCATCGTTTAATATTTTTCTTTAGAGTTTTGTCTTGTCATTGAAATATTCGTCTTGTGTTCTAATTGCTCTATTTAGGAGTAGTAGAAGTAAAAGAGAGGAGAAACATGTGAGATCTCGGCATGAGTCCTTGGGACTTTCAATAAACGTAACATGTCGCGCGTAAATTCTATATGTCAGATATTACAATAAATATTATAATAGAACAACGTAATAATAAATATATTTATATCTTGTATATATAAATATGTGTATATATATATTATATATATATATATATATGCTATAGGAAGAAACATGTCGACACAACTAGCGCTAAACACCGAGAGAATTTCGCTCTTTTATTGTATATCTCCTTCGTTTATTTACAACCGTCTTAGAGAAACTATATTTTACAAAAAAATCGACTGCGCACCGATCGGATAACTATAATTCGCAACGGCGATAATCGATATATCAAAGCTTCTAGCACGAAACACGTATTACCTATAAACGCTTATACATATTTCCGTTAGATCTCGACTTTCCCTCCTTTCTCTGTATCTTTTTTTTTTCTTTCGTTTCATGTACAAGGCCACACACACACACATACACACACACACACACATATCTTTGCATACACGCACACACGCGTACCCGTACGTGATCACGTCTCAGTTTGTTCATTCGCATCTGTGATCCTCTCACCATCACATCTGTGAGTTAAGCATTAAAAGAAATTCGAGTAGGTCGCTTCTAGTTTCGAGATCGCGCTTTTGATCGCAATCGATCTTGATCCCTCTTAATCTCTCTTATTAGAGCTCGGACAGCACTCTTCTCGACGGATTTAAGGCTTAATGATATGATCAGCCGTTGTACTGTTATTATATTTTCTACTTCGAACGCGTCTTCAGTTTTTTTCGTCTCTGTAATCTAGCTCTGAAAATCACACGAGTGTCCGACAGACGTTCGTGCATCGATTTGAATCCTGATCACCTTTCTGAGCCCGACGTAAAATTAGTTTCTCTCGATAATACAAATCCAACGCCGAGAATAAAATATCCATGTACTATATAATCGCAACAGTAGCACTAATTATTTTCGTTTCTACGAATTCATTTCTACGATAGTGATAATGTGTAAAATTATATTTGCCTTGTGCGTACATCCTTTTAGGTATAAAATGGCTAAAGCTCTCAAATTTCTGTGCGCATTATTCCTTTAGAATATTTATTATCTCTATCTTTTTGTCTCGAATTATACATGGACAGTGTGTGTGAGGCTCTAAAATATCAAGTTCACGGGGCGAGTATCAATTTCGAGTCGGGTAAATAAAAAAGCGAAAGGTAAATAGAAACGTTACATCGTTATTACTACTAATTAATTACGGTATTTGTTTATCAATTAGAAAGATAAAATTTCGTTAGTTAGGAAAATATTTGCGAATAATATCAGTGTACTACGATATCATCTCTTATACTATTGTACTCGTAATTTTTGTTTAATCTCCTATCGCCATTTTAATTCCCGAATCATCTGCATGGACGATTGTTGTTTAAACTGCAGTTTGTACTACGTGGAAGACGGATATCCGTGAGAGTATTCGAATGCCATGAATTACGTCGAACGAACGAGTTATAGCCAGACGAAGTGGATCAGGATTTATACTCGGTCCATCTCGACCGCTCCCCTAACGTTCGTTTCAGTCTTATGAGAGAGAGCGAGAGAGGAGACTCTTTGCATCCCTCTTCTCACTCGTCGCTCGGAATAGATAGAAAAATTTATCGAACGAAGATTTATTGTTCCCTTAAAGGCCGAAGAAAGGCCTACGCCAGCCGCTTCGATCAGATTGTTTCTAAGAAAAATCTAGTCCTTTCTATTTCTAACGCGTGTACACTTTGTCATCTAAAAAATGTGCGTTTTAGACATCTGAGAGAGCGCTAATTCACGTACGATTAACAAAAATCATGGTCAATTATGTTTCTTCGAACTTTCTACGTCCTATCTGTCAATCGATTGAATTGAGGAAACATATTTGATTATTATCTTTAAACGAGAAAAAAATTTAGAAAATTATTACGTGTCATTTTAACGTTTACCCATGAATTTTATTCCGGGAGATTTGTTTAAGCAGTTAGATCGATTTCAGAAGTACAATTGATTGAGATAATTTCTTATATGATATAGGTAAACGATCTTTTTCTCATCTCCTTATTCGCTCAATACCAGATCAGCGAGATCGTTCGTCTGCTATCGCGATAAAAATTGCGTTCATCGAATGATTCTTATGTACGGTGAGCTCGTGCTGTCATTTTTAGGATCATTCGCGTGGGACGAAAGCTGTGAGAAAGCGAAATATCAATGCACGCGTCATATCCTTTTATCGCAGCAAAATCTGCGATTCTGTTAAGTGCGCGTTATGTTTGTGCGGTTTCATAAATCTCCCCTACTTTGCATAGGTTTTGCTGCTTGGTAAAGAAGCTATTTACAGATATCAATGGCGAGTAAGAGGATTAATATTGAACCTCTAAAAAGTAGTTAAGGAGACCGTATATAATATTGTATCTCGATAAATCGCTTATATCGACGAAGGGATCTCAACACACGCATCTCCAGAGATAGTTCGTTTCTACAGGTTGCTAAAATTCATGTCATGATTATTCTAGCGAGAGTGAACTCGACGAACAGGTGATTCTTGTTAGAAATTGATGATGGTTTGAAACAGTGACAGTTATATCAATTTTATAGCCTCGTCCATATTTATATATACGAAATATATTTGTACAATGCTAGCTAGGGACATCGACTTTCAATAAATGAGTTTACGTGACGGTTTTTCTTTATCAATATTTTCCTGCATTCTTCTCGAAACAGTCAATTTACGCATGTAATATTCAAATGTCATCAGAAATCTCCGAATCTATCCAGTAAAAACTTTTCTGAGATATCCTGGAGTGAATACCTATCTCGCGCCTATGAATTGTGTGCGTATGTCATCGCTTTAATCGTGTTTGAACGTCCAGAAAAGTTCTGTTCATCTAAAAAAAAAAACTCGATGTTGACTACTCTTCCTCTTCGAGACGGATTTCGCGCCAGCTTCAACGGTCGCAGCGATTCGATATTTCTCTCGATCATATGAAATATGCCGGATCGTTCTCCGCGATGGCGTGAAGCCTCGACTGTTGGCTCTTGGGCCGTTGCGGCGCACCCCCGGTCTTCCATATGATCTCGCGGGATCTCTTGCGTCACATGTAGGTCGGTTTGACCTTGTAGGCCCGCTTCCATATCTCGCACAGACACACGGTGCTGTGGAATCTGTAAAAAATAGCCAGCGGCATCGAGACGTGGGTAATGATCGTCCACGCCCACAGGCCGTAGAAGTGCAACTGTACCGGATGCGATTCCGCTCGGGACTTCTCCAGAGTGTTGATCGCCCACATGGCTAGATTCGTCACCAGCAGAAACGTCACGATCTCCCTGCCCGGCTTTCGCCGTATCTGCTCGGCGGTGGCGACCGAACGTCTGGACGCGTCCAGGATGAAGATGGTTTGGCAGGTAGTCTGGACGACGCTGGCCAGAGCGGTGACCAGCACGAGGACGGTGTGCTTCTGCAGGGTGAAGTGTCCGCCGATGATGGTAAACGTGGAATAGATAAACATGCCGGTCTGCGCGGCCACCAGGAGGATGTTGTCGAGCTCGAGATTTCTGCCGCCGTCGTAGCGCAGTTTGCGCATCTGGAACATGCCGATCAGCGTCGCCAGGGTGGACATCCCGTACAGCGTCAGCTCGCAGACGTTCACCTCGGTCACGGCGAGGCTGACCAGCTCGGGTCGCGAAATGAGGACGAAGAAGAGGATCAAGGAGATTATGGTCAGCACCAGAATCAATATGCCTACGAACAGGCCCTTGTGCGCGCGGGCGCAGTCTACGCTGTAATGATGAGGCGACTTCCTGCGAACAATCGAATTATTCGTTAAATATATTTAAGGATGTTTTGTACAATCCCAGCAAAAAATAGCTGAAAATCAATATTGACGAATATCCACTTTCGGTGTATTTTGAGTATGAGAAATTGTGTCGGATATTACAATTTGATCTTAGCTACATTGCAGAGATGTATTTTTTAATATTTATTGGCTTTTTATTGAAATATTCTGAATTTTGTTAATCGAAATGATTAACTTTTGGCAGAGAATTTCGCCTTGTGACAGATACATGGCTAACTTTATTAAATTATATTTAATATCTTTTTAACCAGTTAATACTTGTATAATATTATTTGACGAAATATTTCCTCTGTATCTAAACTTTTGCAAATTTTAAATAAATTCTGAATATTATTTCCATGTGTTTTTGTCATTTGACTCGACGTGATTATATGTTTCCCATAAGAACATATATTAATTCGGTGTAAATTAAAATCCTTATAACTTGTGAACGTTTTAGTGAATCGATTTAAAAATTGTACTGAAGATTCTAAACATATGTAAGGACATTCTGTACAATTTTCATTAAATTCTTAATATTTTAAAAATAAGTACAAAAGATCCTTAATTCGTGAATTTTTCTGTAATAAAATACACAATGTATATTCTAGTGATTTTATATTACGCGTTGCTTTAAATATCATTCACATTTGACTTTCCGGTAAGCGTTAATGGAATTAGTTCGTAAACTGGGTTGTCATCTGCTCCTGTGCAGACGAGTATTGTTATTACAAATGTGTAGGCGCGTACTGTCGCTCTTTAAACGTGTCTATTGTCACTGTACCTGTAGGCATGTGCGTGATGACGCGAGCCAGGCGGTGTCGTAGGCTGCGTGAATCCGATTTTCGATATGTTTTTCCACATAACGTATAAAATGGCCGCACAAATCAAGCTATATTCTATCGTACACGGAAAGAGGAAGGGGCTGGCATCTTGCACCAACGATCCCATTATATTCGTTCTTCTGCATTCGAACATGTGATGGGGTCCTTTGAGACCGCGTGGGAGTCGCACGTGTTCTCCGTGATGAGAGTGAGTGTGACCGCCGAGATGAAGTCCACCCTTTGAGCCTAAAAGTTCGAGAGTCATATGATAGAATCGAATCGTGCAATTCTAGAAAATCCATAAATGCGTTTACCAAGTCTATGAGAGATTCTGAGAGAGTTGTTCTCCGGATTGTAAAAGGTGAGGATCTCGTGTTTCGTTTCCTGCACGAGAACGTTCAGCCAGACTGACAGATTCGTGCCAATCATGTGCATTAGTCCGAAACGTGCTACAACGCGATGGCGATGAACCTTCATTTGCTACAACACATAATTATATTATTTTATTATTAATCACATTTTATTATTAAAATCAAACATATATTGTATATATTTATTCTAACATATTTTTTTGGTGATAAATTGTACAATTTTTTTCTTTCAAATAAAAATTTGTTTATTCATAATTTGTAGATTTAATTAGATAACAATTTGATGAACATTTTATTAATAATGATAACATGTAATTTTTTACATGTTAATGAAGCACTAGAGTGTGCAGATAATCATTCCGCTATTGTTTTCAGGGTTGTTCACCCTTCTATTTCATTAACCGCGTAAGCTGACGAGCCCGTGTTAACTCGATATTTCCATCAGTGTATTTTCCATCATGTTACAACATCAAAGTTTTCCGATACATGTAGCGATTCTCAAGGAATCGATACAAAGATCTTCTATGTGAATGACATGTGTATACAGATTTTTTTTTCACTAAAAACAACAATTTTTTTTATATTAACAATCATAATTTCTATTTAATTTTAAATTTGTTTTTGTTTTTAAATTTATTTTAATATAATATTACTTTAAAATTTCAAAAATTCAATTTTCACAAAAATATATGATTAAAAATTGTACACCATAATTATTAGTCATCGGTATTTCGAGAAAAATTCAATTTTAAATTGATCGGGAAGCCCGTCATTAAAATTGAAACCGCGATTTGCGAGAGATATACGTGCCAATCACACTCGGCGTCCGCTCACCTCATTATTTAGGAATATGAAGTACATCTGAATGAAGATGAAGGCCATCCTCGTGGCCGGCGTGAGAGCCAGCATGATGTTGTGACACTTGGTGTTCTGTTCCAGCTCGAAATATTGACCGAATTCTAATCCGGAATAGATCATCGAGCCGATGCCGAATGCGACAGCGCCCATTCGCAGATAGAAGCTGCCGTAATGCTGGACCGGATATCCCGGATGCATGTGCGGATATCCGTTCTCAGGCGTGTCGCTGTCACCGCCGGCGCCACTTGACGATCTCGACGAGTCCAGATCGCACACCTCCTTCTGCTTCTCTGCTTCGCAGATTTGCAATTTATAACCGATTAATCCCGATCGATTAAGTTGCAATCGTCGCCGTTTCCTTCAAAATTGCCGCCTCCAGTGATCACTCCTTTTTTGGCGATCGCGAGAGGAATTTAGACAAGGAACGGGACGAGGTCATCGATATATTTATAATCTATCGCGTGATTGCGTGGATATAAATTGATTAAAATGTAGAATATCAAAGCGTCATCTGATCTCGAGCGGCTTTATCTACTTTTGTGCGTCTTTATTTTTCATTATTCGCTTGCAAAAGTTTTTTCATTATTTTTTCCGAAAATCTTTTTCAGAGACGGAAACGAGGATCGCAAACAAAATAAGCTTTCGGAACTTACTCGGCTTTGTCTTGTTGTCTCTGAACAACATAATGTACATGTAGACCAGGAAAATCATGCTGCCAAAGTAGAGATAAAGGTAGAAAGCCTCATAGAACGACGGCGGTATGTACGTGGATATTACTTCCGCCATGGGAAAGGCGATCCCCATCACAACCAGAAGTTTCCCGTACAATGCGCTCAAAGTGGTCGCCAGGGCGTCGCTGCAGCAGAAACGGAAATTGAAGCTGAATGAATCGCGGATTCGCGTCGCGCGCGGATTAAATCCTCGCTCGAGGAAATAGATCCATCTCCGGTCGTGCTTTGAGGAATCACATTCCTCTTCAGTTACTTAAATACTTGCCGTTAATTCAACTCCAGCTCAATTTGAAATGTGCCCGTGAGAAATTTTATTAATTCGTTCGCGGTGTGTTATAAATTTTTATAATCGTTTATAAAGCGTTGTCTTTATCGGTGAATTTGAATTCACGAATTTCGCATCTCGAATAAATCGACATAATCACATGACATTTCCTTTATAATCCAGGCAGTTTTATCACTATAATAATTAGTTGTATTAATTCTCAATTGAGAAGATTGGAAAATTTGCGGTGATTTTTTTCCGACTAGAATTCCGCGGACACAATTCTTTTTTGGCCCTGACCTAAATAAAAATATTTTATTGAAGAAATTATCGAAAATGAGAGATTGAGGACAGCCGCGCGCGCGAATGATGGATCGTTAGCTCGATGTCCATCATCGTGTAACATTACAGCGGAGGTACCATTGGCCGCAAATACAGCCACCCCCGTAAGAATTGGCTCAATTACGAGTAATCGCGTGGTCTCCTGTACGCGTGTGTGTTTGATTCATAAAGTACCGGTAATTGCAGTGCAGACATCGGTCAGAATAACCTGGAAGATCACGTGAAATTTCCGTGACGACCGCGGCATTCCCCCTTCATATATATATCTATATATATCTGTCAAAAACGAATTGAAATTGCAAGTCTTCGCGAAACGTTTGACGTAAAATAAAACCGATAATAAGATGAAAATGTTCATTTTAATTTCAGCACATTTCTTCAAAGAATCTTTTTATGCAACAATCATTGATCATAATTTTTTCGAGAAATTTAAACAATTCTATAAACAAACAACGCAATTGCAATTTAAAAATTGCCCTTGCTTCGTAAAATTATATGAATAATATTATAAATGTTATTAACTGCAAATCGCGAATGAAACCGCGTTCGAATTGAATAATTTAATTAACATTGATACCAATTAATTGCGTCATTATATATAAAGTAGTTTTTAAAGATCATAGTTCTCCTAATATAATGAAAAAAGCAATTAATAATTATACGTAATTATACGTAATATCTAATTGCTGGGGAAATTAATCGCAATCGCGAGGCAAAATGCTAGGAAAATACCCGTACCGATCGGGAGAGAGTACATCGACCTGGATGCGATGGCGAAACGCATTGATCCACTACTCACCATCCAAGGTTCTTCCACTTCCGCTCGTCGGTGACCTCGAGGAAGGTCGGCGCCGGATAGCAGACCGCCGGAATCGGTTGCGAGGAACATGGCAGGGCCAACGCAAACTGGGGTGGTCGGTGAACGCGAGAAGGTGAGCTGCTGCTGTGTCTAGACAGCGTTTCCGGCGAGACGATTACCGCGGATGGCGATGCTGGTGATGGTAGAGCGACTGGCAATCCTGGCCAGCTGTGTAAAATATATCAGTTTCACATCATCTTCTTCATCTAGCTTCCTTTAAAATTACAGTAATATATCGCGTTTTATATTCCATATATTTTTTCGTTGACATGGAAATATTTTATTTTACTATGCTTGTCTATGATTACGCGAAAAAAGTACAAGAATCTGCCTGAAAAAAAGAAGGAATCTCGCTTACTAATTAACAAACATAAGTATCAGTCCTCTCCTAAAATTATGTTGTCAGAAATAAGTTTAAGGATATTTTAAAAACAGGCATACTTTAACATTTAAATAAAGATCAATTTGAAGTGTGACATGCTATTGACATATATTCCTTTTCACCTTTAGTATTTTACATGTCGCCACGTGGGAATTGCGAGCAACTATACTCTTCTATTAACTGTCACTAACCGTTTTAATTAAGTCCGATAAGTTCTATAAATTGCTTCATTTTTTCATTATTTTTTAACAGTAATCTTTTCCATGTGGATTATCAGGACAGGTAATTCATTTATTATGAACTTCATACATTTGTTAAACCACACATACACATTTTATGCTCTTCTAATCAGTCGCGTTGGCAGCCAGTTAATTAATTTATTGCTATTAAATTATTATATCGAATTTATTAAAAATGTAGACGTATAAAAAGAGAAAATAATTTATATGATTAACCACGTACATGAATTTTGATGAACATAATTTTTATATGAACCCACACGATTGCCTGATTTAAGGTCAACGTAGTGCCATAATGTTTGACACATTACATTGACACTGGCTGCAGGAAGAGACCGACTAGTGCTGATGGCTTTGTGAGTATCATTAGATGACGTAGCGTTGACTTTCTAACACGGGTCATTTATTTAATAATAGCTATAACCGATCTATTTAACTTGACACGCGATAAAACTTCTTCGCACACACATAGGTTTTTCACTTTATAACTTCATAATTTGTCTAAATATTTAAGAATTTGTCCAAAATTCAAAGTCAATGTTAATGTATCGATCTGATGAAAGATTTATAATATTCAATAATATATATTTTATATATTTTAGAAAATTTAACTTTATAAACTTATTAAAATAGAGACATATTATCACAATTGCTGGAGTCGATAACACATTGTTAATGTAAAATCTTATTACATATTTTTACATCTTATTATATTGCATTCCTTATTTCAAGAATTCTTGACAGTGCTATTCAAACACAATCTTAAATTTAGATAAATTTTAATCAAGACATTTTTAGAAGAAGTTTGTCACAATTATCATTCTGGAAATTACACATCTCATTTGATATTAGGCGTTTGATATTAATTCAAGGTTGTTCCGCATATTTAAGGAGATAAACGATCCGGCGTACGACGACCTACCCCTACGATATTAATACTCGAAAAGGGTGAAGAAAGCGAACCCCTTTTCACGAAGCGCACGCAGGCGATGTAAAAATATTTTACAGGAACATCGGCGCGATATACGAAGACCGCGATGGAAGGGTGGAAGCTCATCTTGTGCCTTCGAGCTTTTTGAAATAATCACGTAGCGTTCTGAAGCGTTGGAGCGAGAGAGGGTGTCGTTGGCCGAGGGAAGGACGGACGGGAAGGACGAGAGAGGGTACTGAGAGGTTGATTCAGTGGTCGAGTGCCATCCCTCGTTGCGAAGGGCGATGGTATACGTGGCTTGAGGATCCGGCGCATTGCCCACCCTTTGAGATACCGTAGAGACCTTCTGCTCTTCCATCCATCGACGTCCCTCACAATCCTTAGCGCGCCTCTTCGTACCTTCTCTTTTTTTCGTAACTCTACTTTCTCGACCGGACCTTTTATATTATTAAAATTCTTCTCAGCAAACTTTGGCACGATGCTGACCTGGTTTCTTTGTTCTTTTAATTTGCTTAAAAACACCGATAAAGTTTGTAAACTGATCGACGTCTTGTTGTATCAACGTTGTCAATTATATTCTTAATTCACAATTGTAGAATCTCAAACATAACATATTCGTTATTTTCATGAAAATTTTCTTTTAAAATCCTCTCTGTTATTTGTAAATTTTCTCATCTTTATGTTTGCAGATTTACCGAATAGATGCATATTTTGTGAATATGTCAAAAGCGACTTTTCGCAATTTCTTTAATAATTTTTCGCACGTTGTCGTTCATGTAATTTGTCGCTTCTCGACGCGATTTTCCAAGAAATCTTCTCGTGCTCTGCAAAGGCGTCGGCGGCATTTCATTTGAATTCAATTGCCACGCAACCATTGTCAAAGTACATCTCTTATTCAGAAACTTGGAGATCCCAACGCGCAGTCCCTTTGAACTTTGTACTTCAGAAATTCCAGCTCGCTGGCCTTTCTCTTTTCCATCACTTTCTGCATATTATGACGCGAATTACGCTTCCGAGATGTCTGTCAGTGAAGAATATTGCATTTCCTTGTCCGTCATCTCCTATCACTTGTACATTTTTCAACACATCACTTCTCTTTCTTTATTTTGATCTATTCTACTCACACGCGCCAGTAAATTTTTGACACTCGTTCTCCGTGTCTCTTTCGACATAAAATAAACATATGATTGACAGTTGTAATCTCTACTTCGAAAGTATATCAATTGCAATTAAATCGTAGGGATGAAAGCTCGGAGAAACTCCTCGATATGTTGAAATGCAACCGAGATTAAGTGCAGCGAAAAAAAACGATACCTGAGGGACGTTTCCTTGATGAGCATACCCGTGACCTTGACTCGCGCTTTCCTTGATCGTCTTGATGGAACGTTGGCCCTCATGAACGGCCCTCACCAACGGATGACACAATCACGGCCCTCCGGCTCGTGATACGACACTCACGGACCCCGCATCACAAACTGAGGCCCTAACCGGGGCAGACCCGGCTCCCTGACATACCGTCATCTCTATATCGATCCTTCTCTTCGCGTATCGTTCTCCCTCTTTATCCCTTCCTGGATATGCGAGCGTTTGATAGCGAGGCTCGTTAGCGGTATATCAAATTTGCAGCAACGTAACACGCCTTTACATCGCCAGCGCTTCAGCTGATCGCTCGGTTACGTGCCGTGAATTCGGAAAATAATCGAAAGGGAAAGCGTTTACCATGGGAAAACAAAGATCAACAGGAGAATTCCGAGAGGAAACACGAAGGTTCGAACTATATTTACGAACCTATCAGAGACTTTATATATTTTATATTAAATGGATAAAGCATAGTGAAAGCGATAATTTTATGAAAAAAGAAACAAATAAAAATTGCTTAATTGCAATTTTATTTTGGGAACTTCATCAAGTTAAAAGTTAGACAATTTTTAAAACAATGAGCAATATCCTTCTTATATTTTAAGATGATATTTTGGGGAAAAAAGCGCATAGTTGTATCGAAGATCCAAGTACAAGTATTCCAATATTCACACGCTTCGACTCTTATTCCGTCTGCCTCCCGAGATCAGCGCGGCCCTCGTACATTTACTGGAAAATATCTGACGGCATTTCCCCGAGCCATCCCATGTCTACCACTTTTCCATCAAGACGACAAATTCGATGAGATAGAAAAGGAGAGGAAGAGAGAGAGAGACAGAGAAAAAGGTTTCTTCGCCGAAGGAGTGTAAGATATAAATTTTTCCTGACAAGCTATGTTTCTTCCGATACCGGAGATATTTACTTCCGGAATAAAACATGTTACATACGTATGAAATATTTTGCAGATGTATCTCGCCCCAAAAATGAACAATTTAACAACCTATGCAACATATCTTTGCAATTAATAGAACGAGAAAAAACTTTTTTTTAATTTATTTTGTTTTCTTGTTTTTTAATTAATTTATCTGATTAAAATATATATAAAGTATATACATAAAATATTATAGTATTATTATATCCTTGAAAAAACTTGTTTTGGATAAAACATCTTGTTATAAGTTTTCTCGTATCAAAATACGACACGTCGAGTATGTGTCTAGGTTGATCGAATCTGCATGTAAATCGACAGAGTAAGCTGCTTTCCTGATAGATTGGAGAGGAGGATTCGGAGGGTGGTGGCGCGGAGGAGACTTAGAGGGAGAGGGTTAGGAAGCTTGCGAAAGGTCGAACCGGAAGCGAGAGGGAAGACATGGACGGAGACCGAGCGTAAGCCATAACCGAGTGACAGGTCAATATTAACTCTGACGCCGATGGCCTTCGCGATGGACGTGAATTCACGTTCGATATCCGGCGGAAGTAATCGAGTTCCGCGAATGGACCGGATTCGCTCGCAAACCAGACGCACTCTGGAATTCGAGAGAGACGCGGTATTTGGCCCGGCAAATCGTTCCGTTTGAGACATTGCGATATGAATAATGACAACAGACGTGCGAACAAAGCCGCATTATTGCATGAAATATGGAGGAAACCGCGTGTTTCCTTCCATTTACAACAATAACAAGATTGCACATGTACAAGATGCGTGATACGTCATTTCAACGTCTATACGTTTTCTCTTTGTGTTTTATATGAAAAGTATGGATAAGCGTGTCGGATCTGTTGCCCAATATTTTTCCAACTCAAAATTGGATTATTTTTCAAATAAAGTTTATGATAGAGATACTTACATTACAAATAAATAAATTACTTAAATTCCATTTATGGATTAATTTTATTTATGGATATTTTAAATTCCATTTATGGATTAATTTTAATCAGTTTATGGATTAAATTATCATTTAATTTTCACTCTTATAAAAATTTTAATTTTAATTTTAATTTTTATGAAAAATATTTATTTTAGGGACCATTTTCTCTAACATGGTCCGTCTGGAAACTTGCACATTCGTAATTTACACATAAATTTTATTTTAAGTCCAAAGTAAAATCCAATCTTGAATTTTAATAAAAAATTTTGAATAACAGTTGTCCACACTTTTTTATATATATGTAGAAAAATGAATAACTGTTGCCTAAAATTTATATACATCTCGGTAATCACATTATATTATTAACAATCATTGCAAAACGGTCTTTACGTTCGTATGGAAAGTTTCCGCCGAAAACGGATGTGAAATTGATGGCGCGGAGAAATCGGCATGTCGCTGCGAAATCGCTGAGGCATTTTTCACGATCAGGTTTAATTGCTGGTGGTGTACAAAGTGCAGGGTCGTATGCTGGGAACCGAGGGAAATGCGCGTTAATCGCAGACGGTGATTAATGTCGCTCGCCGGGAGCGCTGGCGTTGGTCACTCCAATGAAGAGACGTGGAGAAACGCGAGCTCTTTAGGGGAGGCTGTAATTTATGTTGCGGTGGCGCATACAAAGCGGCGTACAATCGATACAAAACGGTCGAATCGACGACTGCTCTTTTCTTCGTAGTTTCTGTACGCGTCTCAAGAGAGGGAATATTTTAATCCCTTTTCTCTTTATCAACCATTTAAATCAAACAATTACGTGAAACATCGAGATTAAAATCGCGCTTCAAAAAATGAAACGAAATTATTCCTCCATCAAGCTTATTTTCTGTTCATTCATTTCTGCCTATTCCAGCTTTCCGGCCTCTTCTAATTCCCTCAAATGGCCCGCGAGGGTGTCGCACGCAGATCTTTAACGATCGCGAAAATTAATAACGAGGAGAACTGTACGAGATGTATCTCGAGTGGAAGGGTTGGAAATTATGGGTTTATACGAAAGGCAATTTCTGTACTCACTCCTGCGTGAGCGTCGCAGCCGACGGTTTCCTGATTTCCGTGCTAATCGCGCCGCCGTCTGGCGTTCGAAGCGCAGCCTCCAACGCGGCTGCCTCTTCCTCCTCCCTCAACTCTTCGGAGGCTTCTTCGGGGATCGTTGTGATGTCCTCAATCGGCGGCAGGTCGTTTCCGTTCTCCTCCAGATGATTTTCTAGCATGGGATCGGAATTATTGTCGCCTGGTCGCGTCACTTCCTCGATATCGGAATCGATACCCTGCGAAATGTAGTTACTAAGCTGATTCAAGTTATAATTTTAAAGCATCAGAATCTCTGCTTCAACGAGAGATAATTTTTAATATTTTTCATGTAAGAAATTTTGTGTAGTCAATATCTTTATACTATATTTATAGCAATAACATGTGGGAAAAAGAAGGAAAAGATTTAAATGCAACATTTTTATGATCGTTTTGCGTCTAAATTGAAGTTATTAAATTTGTCTTCCTTCTGACATATAATTTTATTGGCAAACCGATGGCAATAAAAATGCATTACATTGATTGACACCGCATATATGATAGGATTATACTTTAAATACTTAACAAGTTCATATCTCTGGAATTGGACAGGATAAATGATTTAATCGTTCTTACTGAACAATTAATTTTGCAGCCGTCCTACTTTCGAGGATATTAAATTTGTGATTCGGGGCATGTGACATTATTGGTGTGGTATTTCAGTTATTGACACATCGCTGCGCTTTAATCCGATTTTAGAAGGGGTCAAATGTATACTGAGAATATCCCCCGAGAGTAATTTAATAGAAATTTATCGAACTTTGACACTCGTGTCCCAGAAATTATCTCCCATCCCTTCTGTCATTGATTGTCAAAAATTTTAAAAATTTTAGTTGTAAACGGTTCTCGTGTGGTTTTAAAAAATATATTAAAACGAAACAATTCATGCAAATATATGCTCGAAATTATGCTCTTTTCATAATGATTTGTCGTAGATAGAGACGCGATTCCGAGTCACGGAATCTTTTAGGCTCTTCTAATTCTCCTCGCGTTCTCGTCCGAAATCTTTCCGAGTAATTACCTTCGGTTACTCAAGACAGATGATTTTTAATCTACAAGCGCCTCGTTTCATCCGCATACCTGAGCAAAGTCCATGTAGAAGGAGTCTCTGGAATCGGAGCTGCCTTGGCGTAGCCGGAGGCTGAGATCCGGCGAGCTCTCTCCCATCTTCCTTATCTCCTTATCTCCCTCTCGCTTTTCCACCCCCAGGCTCAACCGCACCTCCTTCCCGGAGAGTCCCCGACTCTCCCTCGCGATTCTCCTCGTCCCCTTCACTCTTCTCGTGCGCCGACCCCCTCGTCTTTGTCTTCAACGAACTCCTCGCTCCTCTACGGACGGGGAATTCTAAAGAGGGTGGGCCCTTGCGCACACAATCCACGGGGTTTGCAGCCTGAAAGAATCGGTCCTTGAAAGACAGATCGCCTCAGCGCCACCTCCTCTACCTGTCTTTCGCGCGAGAAGAAGAGAGGATTGCTCTCGACCGCGCGACGCGAAAATATTCCGCTGAAAAGAGCCGAGACGCGAGCGTGATCCTCAACGACACAACTCTCAGATCTTGAATATAAAAGGCTCTCTCTTCCTTCGCGAAAGACGATCGCGCGAGCACGCATTGCAACATTTTTTCTTTCTTTTTTATTTCGACGCTTAGCTCGGTTATTTGACGAATGTAATCTTAATAATAAGAATAATGGGGGATATAATCGCTGAGAATTGTTTCTTAAAATTACTTGCCCCAATATGTTAATATTAAAATTATTTCACATAAAGCTAACATTAAGATTGTCTGGAAGATTTTCATGTGACATGTAAAAATATAAGATATAGATTTAAGGAGATGATAAGAAACTTGCATGAGCGACTCTAAAATTAATTTAATCTAAAAAATGTAACACGAGATTATTATATATTATACATTTCACAATTTTCAACGATATTCATTACATATTCTGCGCGAGAAACTTTGTCCGGTTACTGTCGGACAAGCCCGGAAGCGGACTTCGAGGCGCTTAATTACGTAAGGTAACGAGACTGCGCGCAGGAGTATACTTTATAAGATCGAAACTAATTACGCCAAGTAGAAAATTAAATCTGGCTCTCTTCGTGTTAATTAATATCGTGTTCACAACGAGATGATAATTTCAATTGAAACTGAAGAAATATAAATTATCATTTATAATGATTGTTTGTTCATTCTAGAGTCAGCAACTCTTCTCGAAACATTCTATCTAAAATATTTTATTAATATACAAATCTATAAACAAGAGAGAAAGAGCGAAATCTTGTAGAACGATTTTATTTATTATTATCAAGTTAATCAAAATGTGCGCTGACGCGAAAGCATGTGAAACACAGTACGAAGTTACAGTTTGTCTTATGAGAAGCAGACTTATGTACCTAACCGCTTAGTCATGTTGTTTCTCTAAGATTTATAGGCAAGCTCGCTGCGCAGGGTATTGTTAGCGGAGTAACAAGATACTCTATTAAGGCGCTGTTTTATGCCCGCGGAATACATAATTATCCTCAAAAGTAACTATCAGGTCTGCATGATTGCGATGCACGAAATTTCAACAACTTTGCATAATATATATAGCATAACATCACATGCCAACTTAAATTAAATGTCACGACAGCCAGGAAATTGAAGAGGGCAACGAGTTTACACACGAGTTTATCACGTTATAAATTTATTTATAAATTTAATCATATAAATTTATTTATAAATTAAGTTATATAAATTTATTTATAAATTAAATTCTATAAATTTATTTGTAAATTAAATTGTATAAATTTATTTATAAATTTAATCATATAAATTTATTTATAAATTAAGTTATTGTATATAAATTTATTTATAAATTAAATTCCATAAATTTATTTATAAATTAAATCATATAAATTTATTTATAAATTAAATTATATAAATTATTTATAAATTAAAAATATTGACAGAGAAGCGATCGCGCGTAAAATACATAAATAAAATATATAAGAAACAAATTAATTTAAATCATTGGTCGAAACTATATTAAGCAATTCGCGAATTGCAGTGAAAAAGGGCAATGTCTCATACCTTCGGGAAGCATTCGTCGTCCTACGGGTGATCCCAGTGCGGAGCCAGTAAAACGCTTCCTTGCCAGGACCCGGGAGCTCTAACGTCAATGAACATTCTTCCCGTTCAGCCTCGTCCCTAACGCCATTCCACGAACGGACCCTCCCGTTCCCCGAACGTTTTATGGCTCGTATACGTGGCATCGAATATTTCTCTCCATCAAAATGACCCCCCCGCGCGCATTAGGGAAACACTGGGCACAGCGGAAATAACGCGGGGTCAGAGACGATACGTTCTCTGGATCGGTCGCAGTAACGCAAATAATTTTGCAACATGCAGAATATAATCGCGCGTTATCCACAGGGATTACGCAAAAGTTGAATTTTTGAGCAATACGTAAGATGAATTTTAAGTATTATAATATTTAAAAGCATAGTTACGCGAAAGATTACATACTTATCAGTTATAATTTATATGAATATTGTAACAATTATAAAATCATTGACCTCATCTTAATAAGTAAAATTTAGCTTTAATTTCACATCAATTATTACGCTTCAACATAACTCTTTATAAAATAAAAACCCTGATGTAATTCGTAAAAATGTTAATAAACATAGTTTCAGGAAACGTTACTTCAGTTTCCGGACAGGATGAATAACTGAATGAATTGAACGAGAAATTATGATAACTTTAATGCAGGATGGAATGATGTGGATGTGGACATTGTAATATATACGAGTAGAAGGCGGAAGTGAATTACATTTATGCGAATCGATACGAAGATTCTATATCCAACAGAGTGTCAATAGTACCGTTTCTCTGGTACAGTAATGCAATTGTTGTTTTCCCAGAATTCCACAGCAACGATTTTCCATCGCGTGTGGGAAAAAGGCAGAGTATTTTTACTTCAGGTTCATGCTCGAAAACAGTTCATTGCCTTTTTACGCTGACGATGTCGCGTTCCGACATTTTATCTAAACTATACGTCTCGTTGCTAGATGCACGCAATAAAGCACGCAACAGAATGAAAAATAAACATCGGCAAATGATAAGAGAGAGAGAAAGAGAGAGAGAGCGATCGAGCTATATCAAAACGTTGCGACTTGCTTGTTAAAGAACCGGGAAAATTGCATATTCTGAGACTTATATAAAGTATCTCAAATTAAAATCCTCTCAGAGAGAATAAAGTTAATTCGAGAGAATTTAATTAAACGATAAGGAATTTTTTACATCATCGACTATAATCTGACGATTAATTTAAGCGCCAAAGGCTTACCACTATCGATTATTTGAAGCGTCGAAATTATTAATATCGACAGTTTCTCTAGAAGCGACAGTTAATTTCCTAAAATACAAGATTGACCTAAAATACAAAAATACCTTTCCGCAAATTTCATCCTTCTATTTCAAAAATAAGCAAGTCCGATCGATTTTACATTGTCGTCTTACGATTTCGCGTGCAAAATGTATAATAAATAATCCCTCTCGCGATATAATTATCATAAAAATTTCTCGAGGTGCACAGCAATTGAACAACAAGCTGGCGACTTATTTAGCGGAAGTCTGCGTGCGTCGTAGAGTTTATTAGATTTTTCCCTCCAACGCAAATATCGGTCCCATACAGTACAGAATATCGCAGCAATATTGTCATTAATATTGTTGCAACATTGCAATATTGCCGCAATATTACTACAATGCTATATGGGGGTGGACTTCCGGGATTCCGGTGCGTTGAGTATAAAATTAAGGAAGAGAAAAAAGGAAGAGACGCACTTACAGGGAGAGCTTCAAGGCATTCGTCGTCGCCTTCCGGCGTTCGTCTTCCCGCACCCTTGGCCGTTCTCCCGAGGGCGACGCATCCTCCCACTCACATCGTAGTACGCACCCCGTGCAGTCTCCCCCGTTTTCACTTTCATTCGGCGCCTCCTCTCGCCGGGCTCGACCGCGGACCCGTCATCTGCCGCCTTCCGCCTCCACCCGGGTCCACTGTGAATCCATATCCCGTAATCGGTGCCTAACGCCGCCGCTGCCGCCACCACCTCCCACAGGTTGTAAACACACGCACCTCACGCACACGCGTACATCCGAGAGCGGCTCGTCGCTCGGGGTTCGAGGGTACGAGTCGCGCCAACTTTTTATTCTTTTTTCTTCATCCGAAAAAGAAACGCGCGTTTCAACTTTTCATTCTCCCCTTTTCTCCCCCTTTTTTTCTCTTTTTCTTTCTTTTACAAAAGTCCGGGAAAGAGCCTGTGAAACTTGTTGAACCGATCGAGCGGGAAGCGAGAGAGCGCCGGATGCGGTACAAGGGAGGTATCAAGGCGACAGGGAGAGGAGGATCTTGGAAAATCGAGCTCGGGGATGGAGCGCGATCAATCGTGGCGCGCGTGTACGAGGCACGGAGACACTTCGGCACCTCCCGAAGGGCGCGCCACGCGGGACATCGACATCCTGCGAGGGTCGCTGCCGGGCTGCTGCCGATGGCCCGGGCGTCGCGACGGGAGCGCCCGCGCTCCCGCTACGCGGCGCCGCGACGCCGCCACCCGTCGCGCGCCGCTGCGTCGCGCGTCGCGGCGCACGACGCCGTCCGTCCGAGGGGACGGACCCGCACTCGGGGAACGACACCACGTCGATACCTCGTCGATTCTCGTGTACGGGAAATTGAATTTTCAGGTATCAATATTAATTATTGCGCGGAAGATCTCGAGATAATCCCTGAAAATTATTAAATATTCCTACAATCATGATAAATCTTTGTTTCGTAATCTGATCCCTTCTCTTTTTTATTATAAATTCGTGACGAATAAGGGTGTTTACTTTTATAATTTAAAAATTGGAGATATTTGCATTAAGAAGGAAAATTTATTTCCAAATTCATATCTCTCAAAAATTGGCAAATTAAAAAGGCTACGGAAAGCTTGGGAAATTTCATGTAACACACTGTGAGATTTCGAGATAATCCCTGAAAATTATTAAATATTCGTACAATCATTATAAATCTTTGTTTCGTAATCTGATGCCTTCTCTTTTTTATTAAATTAAATTTGTGACGAATAAAGGTGTTTATTTTTATAATTTAAAATTTGAGATATTTGCATTAAGAAGGAAAATTTATTTCCAAATTCATATCTCTTAAAAATTGGGAAATTAAAAAAGCTACGGAAAGCTTGGGAAACTTCATATAACACACTGTCTTCTTCTTAAAAGTATATATTTAAAAAAAATATTAGAAACAAATTGTTTATCAAATTATTGAGTTTGAATTGAATCCCCGGGTATGTTTCATATATGTTACAGCCCTTGGTGAATCGAGGTTGCGCACATGCGCCTTGAAATAGCTATTAAGAATTCAAGGTGGCTCATTAGACTTCTCACATGCAAAGATACATTAATATTATTGACACTACACACATGCATATATACATTAAAATAAAATTGTATCATGAGGATCAGTAGCAAGAAAATAATCTTCGTAAAATTTCAAAATTTTCACGCTCGTTTTTTATAAAACAGAACATGTGAGAAATTATAAACGAAGATATTAACATTTGACTATACTGTTTTTATTTTTGTAGAAGATATAATGTGCATATCCTGCAGTAAAAAATCAAAATCTATTTTAGTGTATATACCTTCCCAGCAAACCAAAATATTGCAACTACATTGCCGCAACATTGCTGCAATGTTGTAATATTGCCGCAATATTCTGTGTTTGCTTATCAACAGTAATTGTGTTATATTACTTGTAAAATAACGATTATATAAGCATTATAGATATAAATATTGCGCACTTATATATATTCATACATATTGGTATATGTTCTTATCATATTATGAAAAACTTAGATATAACAATAAATTTGCTTGTTTATAAGTTATAATTTTGTGAATTAATTATCGTCGTCAGTCTCATTCTAAGTTTCCGCACATTTTCCTTTAATCCACATTTATTCATTCGGGATTGGAACACTTTACCATGAATATACATTAATTTCCCACACATTTTTGCCAAGCTAAACCTCCGCATGTTATAGACACAATCACATATATTACAACCTGCAGGAGAGAAAATGACGTTAGATTGGCAGAATTTGAAAAGAATCAAAATCGATTGCAATATTAAACTTACGATCAAAATTGAGCCAACAATAAAGTAGATCTTGACATTTTTCCAAAATAAGGAACGCGCTAAATTTCTGCTCGTCTTTCTGAATGTAACAGACTGAAATAGAAAAATTAATTTATTATAATATTCAATGACAAAATTGATTTCATTATTTAAACATAGTTTTATATACATTGGCAGATAAATTTTCCGTTTTGTTTACAAGCAGCTCTAATCGTTCACCACGCATTGCTATATTGTCAATATTTTTCACCATAATATCTTTAAGTTCATCTAGTTCACCGTGAACCTTGGATAATCTGTCAAGATCTTTGGACTCACTGTAATGTTTCTAAAAAAAAACAAAAATATGTTATGAGACAAATGTAAAAATAATTTTTTCAAAGTATAATCAGTTTTTCTTTATAATCTAGTATTACCATTTCATTGGCTAAAACATGGCCAAATTCGGTATTCATGGCATATGCTACGGCAGTTTGAGCACCTGGTGCATAAACAGCCAAGAATCTTCTCTTAATTTCGTTAAGATATAAAAATGCTCTAGATCTTTGAAAATCCTGAAATAAAATCTCATTATGCTTTATGTCAAAAATTTTGCCTCAATATTCTGATACTTACATCGTCTGTAATACACATGTAAATGATGTAATTTTCACAAATATAGTGAAAAAGATAAGGCCCTTGGGAGTATGTTAGTTTGTCATTTTCTGGCGGTATCTTAGCCAAGATTTTAGCTGTAACTTCCTCAAAATTTCCAACGCAAGCGGCATGTTTCGCCAATATGATTGTCCCACGAGCTACCACACTGTATAAAATTGGCATATTGATAGCTGCAACAAGAAAAATTGCATTTTTATATATTTTTTATTAAAACTAAAACTATTTTATATATTTATTATTAACATTAAATTTTCTTCAATCACTATAGACCAATGCAGTGAGTGATAATATTACGCTCCCAGTGGAATTCTCACTTATCATATCACAAAAACAACAGGTTACAACATACACTCTGTATGTTGACGAATGATTAATTTGCATTATGAGCATGTAAAAAACTCATTAAAAACCTCAAGAAGCATACAGAATAGTTGTGACGTTCACAAACATACAGTAAGTTCATATATATATGTCATAATACATAAATTTTCAATCTTAACCTTTTCAAAAGAGAAATTAAATTCTAAAAACTCTATTTATCATTTGAATAATGAAACATCGATAGAACAATGAAAAATATAGTTAAGATATATTTGACGAAAAGATAGATCATCGATGATCCACTGCTCCACTTACCTCGACAAAGCGAAATGTTTATAAGTAATTGAAGGAACGGTTAGATACGCTTCTTTATTTATGCGCGTCCTACGCAAGACTATGGAGGATTTACATCTATCCAATAACGATCAAACGATCGACCTGTCGCTTTTCCTGGAAAATCTTCGCAAAAACATCGAAGCACTTTCCGTGACACAGAGTTAATAGTCGCAATTTTCCGATGATCATCGATGAAAATATGCGTCAATGCGCGTGAGTTGAGTGACAGTTGGTTAGTCGGTAGCATCGAGGTGGGAAGGGGGAGGACTGGGCGTTCGTTTTATTTGATCTTGCGCACTTTGCAACGCGCGAAATCTGAAATTGCGAAGCATGGAATGATAATATTAATTTTAGCTTTAACAAATAAAATTAAAATTGTGGATTAGAAAATTTCGAATTTCTTAAGTCTTTTCAAGAATAAAGCTTGAAATCTCTTTAATCTTAATCTTATCTTCTAAAATTATAGCTCTCTCTTAAATCAATATATATTTTTTACATTTGTCAAAACGTCTTGTTCTGGAAAATTATTTTACACAGGAAAATAATTGGAGAACTGGGCGTTCGTTTTATTTGATCTTGCGCATTTTGCAACGCGCGAAATCTGAAATTTGAAGCAAGGAATGACAGTATTAATTTAAGTTTTAAAAAAGTCAAATAATAATAAAATTAAAAATTAAAATTGTGGATTAGAAAATTTTGAATTTCTTTAAGTCTTTTTAAGAATAAAGCTTGAAATCTCTTTAATCTTAATCTTATCTTCTAAAATTATAGCTCTCTCTTAAATCAATATATATTTTTTACATTTGTCAAAACGTCTTATTCTAGAAAAATATTTTACACAGGAAAATAATTGCGGGGGAATAATCTTTGTTATAATAATTTTGACAGTTTCGCAAAAATCGTACAACTACTAGCTTGACATTTAATCGTGCGATTGATTCCTGAAAAAAAAATTCGGAGAAAGACTGACCGCGTCAGATGTGACCGGCGCATGTGCCACCCACGCCCGTAGAAAGCAGCGTCCTAATTCTGAACGGACACTCTTGCACAGCACGTCGATTGCTTTCTACCTCTGCGTCGACGGCTGTGTCTCGTTACAATGTTGAAAGAAGATAGCACGGCCTATCACGAATAAATAACGGTGTCTTATCCGTCGTGAGGAAGGAGATGCTCGTAGTTTGCACGTGAAGCCCAAGCTAGTATTGTGAAAGCTGCGAGGAGAAGAGGATTGTTCGCGATCGATCGTTCTTCGAGATCTCCCGAGGAATATTTGCCGAAGGCAGGTTTCTGTGGGACTGCGATCCGCAAGGCTGCTTCGTTGCGACCTTGACATTGATCATGGGTAAATATACTCTATTAGTATTGTTCAATATGTCACGATTTATTCGACGTAAAAGAATGTTGATTTAATATCTTTAATTGTTCATCGAAAGTTTCCTTTTTCCGAGAGAGATAAGCAATGCGAATCAATATTGAGAACACGCTTATATATATGAAATTAATAAAAAGCGAAAAAGATGATAAGACTGCAAGGAATATATGATAAGACTGAGAAAGACGAGAATGAAAATTAAGCCGAATGCAAGTGGAAGTGCGATAAAAATATACATGCAAGAAAAAAATAATTATTTTACACAGAAATATTTCGATCTGTGTTGCAAATTTTTTAAAATTTGATATGCAAATACCTAATCAAATATGTGATTATTAAACATAAATATTATTGTGAAATTAAAAGTTTGAAAAATGATTAAGTAAAATCAATAATATGTATAATGCGAGAGAAAAGTGATGCAATAGAATATACAATAAGAAATTCAATGACTCGTGATATTTTGAATTGATAATAATGATGTTATATAAATTTAGGCAAAGTGAAGAATTTGTGTAATTTAAAAACGCTAATAATAATAAAGAAATAATATTCAAAAAGAGAAAAAGATAATATAATTGATAATATAATTGTTTATATAACAATTATAAATTTATGTAATTTATATAATTTAGACAAAGTGAAGAATTTGTGTAATTTAAAAATGCTAATAAAATCTTCACACATTCAGAAGAATAAAAAAACTTCTAAATTTTGGTCAATAAGAAGAAAGAATTAATATTCAAAAAGAGAAAAAGATAATGTTGATAAAGTTAATTAATTCATTAGTTAATTGATAAAGTTAATTATTTCAACTATATGCGTTTTAAATGAATGAAATATCTTTTATCTCGGTAATATATCTGTCTTTATCCTGCTATCTTTAATTAATATAATGTGTAACGTAATGTAATAAACAGATGTGTTTATTTGCGTGTTCCGACTATAAACTAAAGTAAATTAGTATGTTATTATATAAAGGTAACATTCCAGAACAGAAAGGTGTAAGAGTGAAAAACCATTGTAACTCGTAGAATAACTGCATGGAACCCATGCATTTCGCACGGCACATTTCCTACGAACAATGCGTATGTTTTCTCTCAATTTTATTCCTCTCACGAGCGGTAACTTTTTCTCGCATTAAATATTATTGAATGGAACAAATGCTTTGACAAAAATATGCAATTTTTTATTAGCACAATTATCAAAGAAAAAAAGTATAATTTATGATCTGTTAATAATCTCTGCTAATTACTTATTATTAATAAAAATAATTTTCAATTAATTATCATAATATGCTTTTAATTTACTTTTATCACTTATATAAATATTTATACTTAATCTTTTTAAATTGACAAAGTGATCTTGACAAAGTCATGCTTGAAGCATGGGAGGGCAGCTACTTTCCCATTGTATTTTATGGGAATATGCCTCTTTCTTGCAGTATTGATTTTGCGAAGGGTGCGTAGTTCCCTAGGAATTTATACGACGGGATCTCCCCTTTTAGAACATATACGTTCGAAAAATCGAATGTAATAGTTGCTGATTGTAATAGTGTGTTATCCTATTTACAGAGAGATAGCTAGAAAATAATTTATATGTAAAGATTTATCTTACGCACGATAAAGTATTTTGCGATACGAAGTCTTGAAGATATATATGTCACTTTGCAATAATGCTAATGAATAACTCGAGCAAAGCAAATCTTCTTCGTTCTTATTGGTCGGATTTTCTTTTGATCAAAACAGTCATTACATAAGAAAATCGCTATGATTGCACCTGATTAAAATCTATCTTTATGATTTATCTGTCGATTTATGATTATTTGTTCATTGCTTTTCTGTTATCCTTTTATCTTGGGGTACTTGCTTTTATTTATTAAAAGATTGATAGATAGCTCAAAATATGCGATAATTAATAAAAATAATAAAAAAATATCGTTTCTTTCTTCTATGTAACCTAATTGTCGCGCAATAATTTTCCTTATATTTTTAAAGTCGACTATCATTAATCGATGTTCCTTTATTATTAATCGCAAAACTGCAAAAATGTCATCGTGTTGTTCTTCGATCAAGTATTCTTTGCTTTAAAAAGAAATATGACTTATTAAAAATCTCTGTTATTAATGTAATGAAGGAATGATAAAATTTTAAGATGTCATACACATTTTTTGCTGTATTCGTTAAAAAATTTAATAAATTAATCTCCTTGAAGATTATATCACATGGAAATTTAACTTGTATTCCAAATTTGTAACAAATGAAATTTACATCGCAAATATTTTGCCTTGCATAAACCACATTGCATTTATAATGCTGGTGATATCATCTGAAATATGGTGCTTATCGAAGAAACAGTAGACCCATGTGATTTGCATGCAGAGTATTAATCAGCAAACTATTTAACACTTACATCAGATTAACGGGTTTTCTCGAGTAGAAGCTTATCCGTCGTTTATATCTGAAAATGCATTCCATTTCAAAACGAAAAAATCTTTATTATAAAATATGGATATTGAAAAATTCGCGGAAAGAATTCCGTACGAGTCGTGCGAGGTTCGTTGCACCTCGTTGCATTCAATTGCATCGTGTATGAGTTAACCGGTTTCGCGCGTACGCATATCATTATGCACCGACAAGGGAAAAGTACAAAAACAATGAATGCACATTACACACCTGTCTCTCCGCGGTTTAAAAAATAACAGTAAATTAAATTTCCTCAAACTCAGTGCTTGCATTAATTTTCTCTGTCGCACACGAGTGCATTTATATTGAAAGTATCTATTTGAAATATTTTGATAATTGAAATTGCTTTGTTTGCCGGCTTTTCTCTCAGTAGTACAGCTATTGTATCTGTTATATGTACATTACATTGCGGTAGATGATTAAATGGCCTCGTTTAACGACCATTTTATGAAACGTTTCCGGGACTCATAAAACCGGTTATGCATCTCGTAGACCTAATTTTTTGTACGAGAAGTGAGTTGCTGTGCGATTTAAACGCTCGATCACGTTTATCGAACATGTGACCTGAAAGATAAATTCGATAATTTTATAAACAACTCAAATTTGTCACGGTCTACTTCTCGATAAAATTAGCAAATTTCAACTCAGCAAATTTCGAATTGATAATATATATCAAAAGCAGAGAGAGAGGAGGAAATTTATTGAAATCATTAAATTTACTTTTGCAATCTCTTATAAGATTGTCTTGACATTTTCTATAAAGAAAGATTGCTCTTAAAAATTTAGAGAACCTATCAACGAATAAAATTGCAAATAATGAAAAAATTATATTAATAAATAAAATAAATTAAATAAGTAAAATTCTTATAATTAAATTAAAGAAAGGACAAATAAGAGCCGTGATAGATGGAGCGTATATTTTGCTATAATCACATATAAAAACGAACGTTTCGCTCTCTCGGATCACTTGAAGATGCCAGATGTAAATTTATTATTCTTATTGTTACATTTTTTGAATGACGTGAGAGACAATTTTACATAGTTATTGTTGATGAGATCTAATTAATTTATTTCTATGTTTGTATTCGCGTTTGACTTTTTAATTTAACTTAATTTATTTTATCCATACTCGATTTCATTTGACTTTATCATAGTTCACTCTATTTCACGAATCATTCTATTTTTTATCTTTTTTGCTCTTGATCTTTATTATATTGCACTGAAAATGATTCGAAATATACGTTTTTATATGTGTAATTTATTTTATCGAATTATACATATAATAAAATATACTTTCCACATATTGTGTTGGCTTTTATTTGCCTATTTTTTAATTTTATTTGATTACATTACTAACTTGTTAGTAATGTAATCTAATTTTTTCATTCATTTTTTCAGACAGAACACGACTTGCGTTTGTCACGGCTGCTGCCGTGGGCGCTGGCACGGCTGTTTTTGTTATATGGTGGTGGTGGATTAAAAAACAGAAGCCTCAGTTACCGTCAAAATGGCGAAAAGTCGGAGAATTGAGCGATATAATGGTATTTCCTATTAAATCACTTGGCATAATTCGCATGAAGGAAATGGAATGTACTAAATTGGGTCTGAGATCGGGTTGGTTGAAAGATCGAACGTTGATGGTCATCGATCTCGAAGGACGATTTCTCACCGCCAGACAGTTACCCAAAATGGTCAATGTAAGAAAAACTACAAGATTTAACTTATTCTTTTATATAATAAAAATGTAATAATATTTTATTAATTGTAATAATTGTAATATTAAATGTAATAATATTTTAATAATAATAATTATTCTTTGTTATGATATCGTACAATATTTTAACTTTATAAGAAACGAAAAATAGATTAATGAAAGAACAATGAACACAATAACTCAACCATTTTTTCCTGTTTATGTGTGTTTACGAATTATTATATTATATATTCTACTATTTTGATTTTCAATAACTAGTAATCCCAAGCTAGTAGTCACAAGTGTTGCTAATTATTCTATTTATAGTCTTCGTCTGTTGTCAGATAATACCTGAATATTCCGGTTCCGTATTGACGCTTCGCGCTTCAGGTATGATGTCGATATCGATAGATCTCGCTCAGCTTCGCGGCAAACCTTTCCAAGTCGCTGTTTGGGGTCAAGCGGTACCGGCGCGCGATTGCGGTGAAGAAGTTGCTCGATGGCTGTCACGCTTCCTTCTTCAAGAAGATACCGGTCTTAGGTTGGTCTACTATCCATTAGATCGACCGGCGAGAGAAATAAGAAAAAAAAATGAAAATTACTTTCCGTTACTAACAACGACCGATACCGTAAGTACTTTTTCCGCAATAATATATAAGATATATGAGATTTAATAAATATAATTTATATTTGCCGATTAATTTTTTTATTATCAGTTAATAAATACATAAGGTTTTTTTAGTAAATTATTTCTAATAATTATTTTTTCTATTTCTTATTCCTTGGAATCTGAACAATCTTGCAATCATTATAATCATTATTTATGAGTTGCTGTGCTTATCAACTGTACTGGTACTTCTTGGTTATTTCTATTTTATTTAATTTTTTACAACTGTTTCCAACGGAAGAAGCACTTTTTAACTTCCCGCTATGAATCAATTTACTTGATTTTCCTGCGTCGTGTATCTGTTATTAACGTTATTACTATACGAGGACAAAAATATTTTATTATAACAGAACTATCAATTTGATCGATAATAAAAGAATATTCTTATGTCGTCCATATCATAGAAAAAATAATTTGCTGTATAATGTAGACTAACGCATAATGTAATTATACAATTATACATATATTTTAATAATTTTACATAGAATTAAATATCGAAATTCAGTCATTTCGTTTCAAACAATGCACGACACAGGAAAACTGCAAGAGGTTATTCCGTCAATAGGGAGCCTATCCAGATGAATCAAGTTTTTCTTTGATCAACGAAGCTTCGGTAGCAGAACTTAATAGCCGACTGGATGAACCTGTCACATCGCAGCAATTCCGTATGAATTTTGTGGTTAAGGGTGCCATTGCTTATGAAGAAGATAAATGGGACTGGGTGAAAATCGGAGACGTGATTTTGAGAAATGTTAGGCCGTGCACAAGATGCATTCTCACTACAGTGAATCCAGAAACTGGAACAAAAAGTACCAAAGTCGAACCTGTGAAGACTTTAAAAAGGTATATTAAAAATATATAATATATGCAAAATTTTATTTTATACATCGAGATATAAATCTATAGCAAAACTATAGGACTTACAACAGAATTATATTTTACAAGAGACGTCGCGAGAAATTTAGATGGTACCTCGTGTCATTAACGAGAGATGTTTTTCTGACAGTTATAGACAGATAACCGATCCGCAAATTCGACCCGCAGTTGGCGACAGTCCAGTTATGGGAATTCATCTTGGTTTACGAGGATCAAATGGAATTGTTCGTATAGGCGATTCGGTTTACGTGAATATCCCGGAAGAGGAAGCAACACCATCTTTGACTTCACCATCATAGCTACACCGTTGGGACTCCTGCGAAAGTTTAGAATGCGAACAAAGCATCGACTGACCGTCGAAGGCAGGAAAGCATGAAAAGCGGAGTCCACAATCATCAATGAAATATTTAAAGAGACACTTGTGTTATGTGCACGATTATATGTATATAAAATATTTTTAATTAATAGTATATGACTGAAATCTTTTTCTCAGTAGTAACAATATAATATTAAAATATAAAATTGTAAAACTACAAATACAATAAGTGATATATAATCTTACAAAATATTATCTTACAAAATATTAAATTATTGTGAGGATCAAAAAAAAAACAACGATGCGGGATAAAATAATTCTAAATCTGTAAGCGATTTAAATCTCTTTAATTTTTATGGAATTGCGATAATAATCGATAATGGTCTAAACAATGTAGCCTAAAAATTGTGAAATATATATTTTGCTATATTGTTAGAAAATTAATAATTACTTTTTGTATTAACCTAAAATTTATCAGTTTAGAATAGAAAAACAAATTTAATTTATTATCTCATATATATATCATCTTATACATACATATATAAATCTGAAATTGCGAAGCATAGAATAGCACCATTAATTCTATTTGACGTTTTAAAAGAGTTAGAGAACAATAAAATTAAAAATTAAAATTGTGAGTTAAAAAATTTTGCTTTTTTAAAATCTTTTTAGAATGAAGCCTGAAATCTCTTACTCTTAAGATTCTAATTCTCTCTTAATTTAATGCATTTTTTTTACATTTGTCAAAACACTTTGTTCTGAAGAATTATTTTACATAGGAAAATAATCGCGGGGAAATAATCTTTCTTATTTCAATAATTTTGATAGTTTCGCGATGGACCTCTTAATTGCATAATCAAATAGATCTATCAGCCACACTCATCGAAATCGCTCAGCGACTGATTTCCAAAAAAGATTCAGATAAAAACCGGCCGTAGGACTGAAACTATGTACCACGACAGAAAGCAGTCCCAATTCTGAACAAACATTCTTGCACAGTATATTATTTGTCTTCTGCCGTGAGGCACATGTATCGACGCGATGGCAACAGCTATATCTCGCAACATTACTGAATAAAGATAGCACTGCATGATACTAGTCATGCTTAATCAGTCGCAAAAACTGCGAAAGACACTCGCACTCGATCATTCTTCGAGATCCCAAGGAATATTTGCCGAAAGCAAATTTCTGTGAGATTGTGATCTACAAGGCTACTTCGTCGATCTTGATATTGATCATGTGTAAATATATTTTATTACATTATTAGTATTAATATATCACGATTATGACAAAAAAGAATTTTGAATATCTTTATTTGTTAATTAAAAGATTTTTCTAAAAGGAATAAGCAAGGTGAATCGATAGATTGAGAACACGCTGTACATGAAATTGATAAAAAGTAGAAAAAGACGAGATAAGATAATGATAAAAAAACGGAGAATGAAAATTAAGTTGGATGCAAGTGGAAGTGCGATGAAAATATATATACAATGCCAGAAAAAATAATTATTTCATAAAGGAATATTTCGATATGTGTTTCAATTTTTTTTTAAATTCGATATGTGAATATGAATTAAGTTTGCAATTATTAAACATATAAATATTATTGTCAAAATAAAAGTTTGAAAAATGGTTAGGTAAGACCAATAATATAATGAGACAGAAAAGTGATGCAATACAGTATACGATAAGGAACTAAATGACTTGTGATATTGCTGTTTGTACTGATAATGATGATGTTATATTAAATTGAGATAAATAACAGAGAGTTAAGAATTTATATAATTGAAGAGTTAAGAATTTATATAATTGAAGAGAGCACTAATAAAATCCTCAGATTCAAAAGAATCAAAGAAAGAACTTTCTTCAATTTTGGTCAATAAAAAAAGAAAATAGTCCAAAAAAAAAAAAAAGAAAATAGTGATATAGTTAATAAAGTTAATTGACTCAACCTATACGCACTTTAAATGAAATATTTTTTGTCCCGCAATAATAATAAAAAAATATCATTTCTTTTTTCTATGTAATCTAATTATCACCCGATCATTTTCTTCGTGTTTTTAAAGTTCGCTATCACTACTTGGTGTTTTCTTATCATTAATCGCACTAAAGGAATAAAATTTTAAGGTGTCACACATATACTAAAATTTTAAAGTGTTATTTATATTATAAGTGTTAGTTATATTTATTCTATTCGTTAAAAAATTAAATAAATACATTTTTTATAACACACAAGCATTTAACTTAAATTTTTAACAAATGAAGATAATATCGTAATAATTATTGTGCCCTGCATAAACCACATTCTATTTATAATGTCATGATATCATTTAAAATATGTTGCGGTTGAAGAAATAATAGACTCATGTAATTTGCATGCAGAGTATTAATTAGCAAGCTATTTAACACTTATGTTAGATTAGCGGATCTTCTCCGGTAGAGTTTTACCTATTTTTTATTTATTTCTATTTTTGAGTCTGTCCATTTAACTTTTTAATTTAATTTAATTCCTTTTATCTATATTCTATTAACTTTTGTCATAGTTCAAATTCTTTAACTTATTATATTACATTTGATGATCCAAAATATTATGTTTTTATATGTAATTATTGAATTAACAAAATACTCTTTCCATCTATAACGCTTTTATTTGCTTTTTTAATTTAATTTGATTATATCACTAATTTTTATGCTTTTTTCGCGCATCTTTTTAGACGAAACACAACTTATATTTGCCACGGTTGTTGCTGTGGGCACTAGCACAGCTGTTTTTGTTAGCTGGTGGTGGTGGACTAAGAAACAAAAGCTTCAGTCACCGTCAAAATGGCAAAAAGTCGGAGAACTGAGTGATATAATGGTATTTCCTGTTAAATCAATCGGTATAGTTCACATGAAGGAAATAGAATGTACTAAATTAGGTCTGAGATCGGATTGGTTGAGGGATCGAACGTTGATGATCACCGATCTTAAAAGACGACATCTCATGCCCAGACAGTTTCCTAAAATGGTCAACGTAAGAGAAGCTGCAAGATTTAATTTATCCTTTTATATAATAATATTGTAATAAATTATAATAATAATTTATAATAATTTTAATTATTCTATGATGATATCAATGTATATAAAACAAATTGTCAATATAATTTATAAATACATAAATATAAAATATTTAAATATAGATATATAGATATAAAGATATATAAATTGCACGATTAGAGCTATTACTCTGCTTTACTGTATTATTACATTATCTATAATTTAACTTTATAAAAAACGGGAAATAGATTATAAAAGAGCGATGAACACAGTAGCTCAACCATTTTTTACCTTTCATATCATTTTTATTGTTATATATTCTACTATCTCGATTTTTAAGTTAATACTCCAGTTTATAGAGTTTTAAATATTGTTAATTATTCTATTGTGGTCTTCATCTATTCTAGATATCACCTGAATTTTCCGATTCTATATTGACGCTTCGCGCACCGGACATGATGTCGATATCGATAGATCTCGCTCAGCTCTGTGGCAAAAGTTTCCGAGCTACTGTTTGGGGTCAAGCGGTACCGGCGTGCGATTGCGGTGAAGAAGTTGCTCGATGGTTATCACATTTCCTACTTCAGAAAGATGCTGGTCTTAGGTTGGTCTACTACCCATTAAATCGAGCAACAAAAGAAATAAACAAAAGTTACCAAAGTGCCTTTCCGTTATTAACAATGATGCATTCCGTAAGTACTTTTTTCGCAACAATAAGATACACAAGATTTGATAATTAGAATTTATATTTGTCAATTAATTTTTTTATTATCAATTAATAGATATAATATTACCAGTTAATAGCTCCATAATTCCTTTTTTTAGTAAAATATATATTATTTCTAATATAATTATTTTTCTATATTTCTTATTTTTTGGAGAACAATCTACTGATCTCTTCAAAGAACAATATGAACAATCTTCTCTCTATTATAATAATTGTTGGTGTTTATGAATTATTTATCGACTATGCTAGTTTTTATTGTTTATTTCTATTTTCTTTAATTTTTTATAAGTATTTCTAACGGATGAAGTATTTTTTAATTTTCCGCTATGAATTAATTTACTTGATTTTCTTGCGTCGTGTATCTGTTGCTAACGTTATTATTATGCGACGATGAAAATATTTTATTGTAATAGAACTATTAATTTGATAGATAATGAAAAATATTCTTATGGCATTTATATCATAGGGAAAATATAATTTGGCGTACAATGTAGAATAACATATAATGTAGAATAATATACAATTATATATACATTGTAATATATTTATACAATGAATTAAATATAAAAATTCAGTCATTTTGTTTCAAACAAAAAACGACATAGAAAAAGGGAAATTGCAAGAGATTATTTCGTCAATAGGGAGCCTATACAAATGACACAAGTTTTTCTCTAATCAACGAAGCTTCGGTAGCAGATCTTAATAGTCGACTGGATGAACCTGTCACGCCGCTGAATTTCCGCATGAATTTCGTAGTCAAAGGCCCCTCTGCTTATGAGGAAGATAAATGGGAATGGGTAAAAATTGGAGATGTGATTTTGAAAAATCTTAAACCATGCACAAGATGCACTTTTACTACGGTGAATCCAGAAACTGGAATAAAAAGTACCAAATTTGAACCTTTAAAGACTTTAAGAAGGTATATTAAAATATATAATATGAAAGATATTTTTTGTTCATTTATATATATTGAGGTATAAATCTATAGCAAAAATGTACAACAAATTATACGATATACAATATAATTATATTTCACAAAAGACGTTAAGAAAAACTTAAATAATATCTCGTATTATTAACGAGGAATATTTTTCTGGCAGTTACAGACAGATAACCGATCCGCAAATTCGATCCGTAGTTCGCGATGGTCCAGTTATGGGAATTAATCTTGGTCTACAAGGACCAAATGGAATTATTCGTATAGGCGATCCGGTTTATGTGGGTATTTCGGAAGAGGAAGCACCGTCTTTGACTTCATCATCATAGCTACACCGTTGGGACTTCTGCGAGAGTTTAGAATGCGAACGAGGCATCGACTTGACGAATGACTTTTTGTCGAATGCAAGAAAACATGAAAAGCGAAATCCAGAAACAACATGAAATATTTGAAGAGACACTTGTGTTATGCGCATAATTCTGTGTATAAAACACCTTTAATTAATAAAAATTAAATCAAAATTGACATATAAGGATCATAGCGCGGCAATTTGGGACGCAGGGAAGAAACAACACTTCCTTCTTATTAATTGTTGGTTTTGTTCATACTAAAATCTACAAAAATAACGGGCGAATCGTCTTTTGATTCTTCCACAGCGCGATTAACAATATATTATAAACTATCACATTCTAAAAAAAAAATGTTTATCTTCTCCTCGATGTGTAGGTGACAAATTGCATCGCGCGGAGATCTAGCAAGTGCGCTGCTTCCAAAAGTCCATCTCTCTCTCTCACTCACTCTTTCTCTCTCTCTTTAAATATATTAAAATTTACTGCGTAAAATCGCAAGCAGATTAGATTCTGCACGTTACTTAAAATTTATAATTTTAGAATAAAAATAAAATTAACTCATTACCTTACACACACACACACACACACACACATATATGTATATCTAAAATTGCGAAGTATAAATAACAGCATTTTATAATTTCAAAAGAGACAGACAACAAATGAAATCAGAAATTAAAATTGTGATTTAAAAAATTGTGCCCTTTTTAATTTTTTTTTTTTTTAAATGGAGCCTGAAATTTCTTACTCTAAGATTTTAATTCTCTCTTAATACATTTTTTTTTATATTTGTTACAACATCTTGTTCTGGAGAAATATTTTACATAGGAAAATAATCGGGATGGGGGAACGCGAATAATCTTTTTTATTTCAATAATTTTCACAGTTTCGCGGGGGACCTCTTAACAGCGTAATCATGTAGATCTATCAGCCACGCTCATCACGTAACTGATTTCTACAAAATTTGGAGAGAAGTCGTATTAGAATGATCAGCATTCTGCCTCACGTGTATCTACGTGGTCGCGACGACTGTGTCTCCTTATATTGTTGGAAGAAGATAGCACAGAAGATAATGCGAATAAATAACGATGTTTTATCCATCCATAAAAAAGAGGTGATTGTGAAGCCCACATCAGTATCGCGAAAACTGTAAGAAGACGAGGTTTGTTCCCGGCCGATTGTTCTTCGAGATCGCGAGGAATATTTGTCGAAGACAAATTCTGTGAGACTGCGATCTACAAAGCTGTGTCGAGATCTTGACATTAATCATGCGTAAATATTTATCGTTTAATATATCATGATTTATTTGATACAAAAATTTTTGACATAATATTTTTATTTGTTTATTAAAAGATTTTTTTAAGAGAAATAAGCAAGGTGAATCGATAGATTGAGAACACGCTATATACGTGAAATTAATAAAAAATGGAAAGAGATGATAAGACAATGATTGAAAAAAATGAAAGTGAAAATTAAGCCGGATACAAGTGGAAGTGCGATGAAAATATACATATAATGCCAAAAAGAATAACTATTTCACACAGGAATATTTTGATATGTGTTTCAAATTTTCTAAAATTCGATATGCGAATATGAATCAAGTTTGCGATTATTAAGCATATAAATATTGTCAAAATAAAAGTTTAATAATGGTTAAGTAAGACCAATAATATAATGAAAGAGAAAAGTGATACAACGGAATATGAGATAAGGAATTCATATCATGATATCGTAATATCACTGTTTGTGTTGATAATGATGATGTTACATAAATTTAAATAAATGACAGAGAGTTAAGAATTTTTGTAATTTAAGAGCACTAATAAAATCTTCACATTCAAAAAAATCAAAGCATTTTCTTAAATTTTGATCAATATGTCCAAATAGAAAAAAATATAGTTGATAAAGTTAATTAGCTCAATCCATTTTAAATGAAATATTTTTTGTCTCGCAATAATAATAAAAAAATATTGTTTCTCTCTTCTATGTAACTTGATTGTCGCGCGATAATTTTCCTCGTGTTTTTAAAGTCGCATCTATGTACTATAATCATATATAAGAACGAATGTTCCTATCCTCTTTCTTCAGATCATTAAAAGATGCCGGATGTAAATCTATAGTTCTTATTCTTGCACTTTTGAATGACATGAGAGACAATTTTATATGGCTATTATTGATCTAATTTATTTATTTTTTTTTTTATATCCGTTCGTTTGACTTTTTAATATAGTTTAATTTAATTTATTTTATTTATACTCGATTTCGTTTAACTTTGTTGTAGTTCGAATAATATATTTCTAATCTTTTTCTGATTATTATTTTGAATTTTTTCACTTTATTATACACTGAGGATGATCCGAAATATATGTTTTTATAGATAATTATTGAACTATAAAATGTGCTTTTCACCTATTGCGTTGGTTTTTTATTTACCTTTTTTTAATTTAATTTGATTATATTAACTTGCATTTTTCATGCTTTTTTCAGATGGAATACGACTTGCGTTTGTCACGACTGCTGTCGTGAGCGCTGGTATGGCTGTTTTTGTAATCTGGGGATGGTGGACTAAAAAACAGAAGCTTCAGCCGCCGTCAAAATGGCGAAAGGTCGGAGAACTTAACGATATAATGGTATTCCCTATTAAATCGCTAGGCATAATTCGCATGAAGGAAATGGAATGTACTACATTGGGCCTGAGATTGAATTGGTTGAAGGATCGAATGTTGATGGTCATCGATCTCAAAGGACAATTTCTTAGCGCCAGACAATTGCCCAAAATGATCAATGTAAGAGAAGCTCAATGTAAAAAAAGATTTAGTTTATTCTTTTATATAATAAAAATGTAATAATATTTTATAATCATTTTAATTATTCTCTGTTAAGATGTCGTGCGTAATATATATATATATATATATATATATATATATATATATATATAAAACAAATTATCAATACAATTTATAACATAAATTGCATGATTAAAGTTATTACTTTGCTTTGCTATATTATTATATTATTATATTATTATATTATTACATTGCATTCATAATTTAACTTTAAGAAAGAAAAATAGATTAGTAAAAGAGCGATGAACACAGCTTGATCATTTTTTTCGTTTCATGTCATGAGATTACGGATTATATATCCTATTTTTCATTTTTAATAATCCAAATTAATAGTCCCAAACATTGTTATAATTATTTGAATTATAGTCTTTATTTGTTGTAGATATCACCCGAATTTTCTGATTCCATATTGACGCTTCGTGCTCCGGATATGATGTCGATATCGATAGATCTTGCTCAGCTTTGTGGCAAAAGTTTCCGAGCCACTGTTTGGGGTCAAGCGGTACCGGCGCGTGATTGTGGTGAAGAAGTTGCTCGATGGCTATCACGTTTCCTTCTTCAGGAGGATGCTGGACTTAGGTTGGTTTACTATCCATTAGATCGACCAGCGAAAGAAATGCATAAAAGAAATGTAAATTTCTTTCCATTACTAACAACAATGGATACCGTAAGTACTTTTTATCGCAACAATAAGATACACGAGATTTAATTACAATTTATATTTGATTAATTTTTTTATTATCAATTAATAGATGTTTTATTATCAATTAATAGAGTCATAATTTCATTTTTAGTCAAATGAATATTATTTCTATTAATTATTTTTTTTACATATTTTTTGGAGATTAGAATAATCTTCGTGCCATTATCGATTTTTATGACTTGCTGTGCTCATCAACTGTACTAGATTTTATATATATTATGCATTTCTATTTTATTTAATTTTTTATAAGTGATTCTAATAGACTCACTTTTTAACTTTTTGTAATGAATTTACTTGATTATCCTGTATCGTGTATCTATTAATAATATTACCACTGCGAGGATAAAAATATTTTATTATCATAGAATTATCGTGCGAGGATAAAAATATTTTATTATCATAGAATTATCAATTGGATCGACAATGAAAAAATATTTTTATGTCGTTCATATTATAAAAAAAATAGTTTGCCATATAACATAGAATAACGTATAATATAATCATGTAATTGTACATATATTATAATAATTTTCACAATAAATTAAATATCGAAATTTAGTTATTCTGTTTCAAACAATGCATGACACAGGAAAACTGCAAGAGGTTATTCCGTCAATAGGGAGCCTATGCAGATGATTCAAGTTTTTCTCTGATCAATGAAGCTTCGGTAGCAGACCTTAATAGCCGACTGGATGAACCTGTCATGCCGCAGAATTTCCGGATGAATTTTGTGGTCAAAAGTGCCACTGCTTATGAGGAAGATAAATGGGACTGGGTAAAAATCGGAGACGTGATTTTCAGAAATGTTAGACCTTGTATAAGATGCACTATTACTACGGTGAAACCAGAAACTGGCATAAAAAGTGCCAAAGTTGAACCATTGAAAACTTTAAAAAGGTATATTAAAATTAATAAAATATATACAATATATACAAGATTTTTTTTCTCATTTATATACATATATCGAGATATAAATCTATGGCAGAAACATACGATAAATTATACGACTTGCAATAGAAATATATTTTACAAGAGACGTCAAAAAAAATTTAGATTACATCTTGTGTCATTAATAAGGATTTTTTTTCGGCAGTTACAGACAAATAACCAATCCGAAAATTCGACCCACAGTTGGCGACAGTCCAGTTATGGGAATTCTCCTTGGTTTGCGAGGACCAAATGGAATTGTTCGTATAGGCGATACGGTTTATGTGGGTATCCCAGAGGAAGAAGCACCGTCTTTGACTTCATCATCATAACTACACCGGGAGGATTCCTGCGAGAGTTTCAAATATGAACAGAGCATTGACTTGATGGTCGAAGGTAAGAAAGTTTGAAAAGCGGAATCCACAATCAGTAAATATGAAATATTTAAAAAAACATTTATATTATACGATTCTGTGAATAAGATATTTTTAATTAAAAATGTATATACGATTGAGATCTTTCTCTCAACGAAACATAACATCGAAATATAAAATTGTAAACTATGAATACAATAAGTGATGTATAATCGTTATCTTATACAAAATAGTAAATTCCGTACTACTATGAGGATAAAAAATAAACAACGATGCGGAATTAAATAATCCTAATTTTGTAACCGATTTAAATCTCTTTAATTTTTGTGTCATGGTATTGCAATAGTGGTCAAACAATGTAATCTAAAGATTGTAAAATATATTTTGTTATATTGTTAAAAAAAATTAATATTTCCTTTTGTGAATATATCAATTGACCTAAAATTTTAGAATAGAAATAAATATAATTTATATAGACCATATATTTTTCTAATTTATTTTGATGTCATAGAAAAAAAATTATTAATATTTTGAGAAATGGAGATATTCGCATTTATACATCCTACTATACAGGGTGTCCGTCAATTTTCGGCCGAAATAAAGAAGTAAATTAGCTCAAATTAAGAAGGAATGATCTGTATTGTTTTGGGATTGTCGCAATAATTAACGAAATATTAAATAAAAAAGATCGGCCAATCTGCGTGAGTAGAAGCGCGCGGCGACGAGAGTCGTCGTCCCAATGTAATCCGATACTACGAGCGCGGCGAAGCAGTGGGCGGGTCGCTCTTCGATATATATATATATATATATATATATATTAACGAATTAATCGAACGAATGCATTCCGATTCATCTTTTCGTTTGGTATATATAAATATTTAATTCACTATTCGACTGATTGCGTTCCGACTCGCTTTTTTATTCGATATATATAAATATTACATTTAAGTGTGAGTCCAAGAAGCAGATTTCGGATATTCACTGTAAGTCAGCCGCTCCTCGGGCGATCGGGACGAGATTTAAACGATAATGCCGCGAAATGGTGTAGAATTTTATGCAAAAAGAACGAAATCGCTATCGCGTCCGGAAGTCGAGATATAAATTAGTCGTTTTTCGTCTGCGCGCGGACGGTCGAAATCGTGCACGACGCCGCGCATGTTGCCTGCTTCTCTCGCGCGATATTCACTGTAACGCGGCGAGCAAAATGGCAATCCGAATGTCAGCCAATCTACTTCTTTATTTCGTTAAGGTCGAAAATTGACGGACACCCTGTATAATATATTAAATATCGTATATATTAATCTATTTAAAGTCAAAAACACATAACTCTTGTTTCTTATTATAATAATATTTATTTGCGCTACAACACATCAGGGATGTTTTACACAGAAAAATAATACGCTCGGTTCAAGGACGAGAAACGCCACATTTCATGTGCTTACAACATTACACGTTTACTCAAATTACATTATTTTCGTATTGGATTTGTCCGGAGCGGAAAAATCCAAAAAGGGAAGTAATTTGTTTCAACGATTCGTTGCAGAGAGAAGGCTTTTGCAAATTACACAAAATTGAAATACACTAGAGAGATAATTCTGATTTCATTATTAACAATGCTTAGCAAACTTAATTATTTCCCAAATTTTATGTCACCGTAATTGTAGAGGAGAGAAATAGATACATAAGAGATAACAAGAAAGCTGAGTGTTAAAGATACAAATAGATAGAAACAACATTATACCTGGTACTTCCATCTCGAAGTAAGCTATGTACAAGTTTGCGATATCTTATTTATTCTTGTGCTCGATGACGATCGATCGAAATCGTATCGTTCGCGCAATAATAATTGAAGGACATATATATTGAACAATGTATTCTTCGATCTTGCAAATAGCACGCGTCTTATCCTTGTTACTATCAAAACAGATCCTAAGACTTTGTACATGGTATTTTCTACAGAAAAAAAATTTATTTGTTTTTATTTCTTACTTTATAAGCGCGAATTGCGATTTTCAAGCCGAGGGATGGCTGGTAGAGAAAGTGCGCTCGGAGAAATTCGTTATCCGTAGTCATCAGGGCATAAATCATCTCGTTCGAACTATCAACGACGAGCGTGTCGTATCACAAATTCGAAACGATTTTACAATTTCAAGTTCCAACATCTCTCTCGATGTGTTTCCATCGTAGCACGGTGGCGCGAGCCACCCCATAACGATTAAATTTCGATCGTCTTAAAACGACAACCGTCTACGGAAATTTCTCTATCGTTTTAATAATCGATTACAGAGAAAAAGTAAATAGAAAAAAGGCGACAGGAGAGATAGAGGCTTAAAAAGAAAAAAAATGGGAAGATAAAAGAGAAAGAAAAAAAGAAGGAATAGATGGAAAGAGGAAAAAGATCGCATAGAGAGCTGAGTGGACGAAGTCGGACGATGTTGAATTAACATCGCGTTTAGAGAAGAATATGTTCAGTGACGAAGTGTGTCTTTTTCGTGTTTTTATAAAGAGCTCGACGGCCATTGACGAAGGAAGTGAATTCAGGATCCCGGGAACAAGGAGGCAACACCGTGAGATCGGTCCTGTTGTCAACGTCGTACCCGTGTTCCTTTCTAGCAGAGGCGACTTGCATTTATATCCATCGGTACCAAGGCCGGCGAGGCCCCTTTCTGTGCTTCCTCATCTCGATCCTTGAATAAGTTGTTTAAATTACCAGGTGCCTTTCGCCAACAAGTTAATCCACTTTTGGCTTACAGCACACCATCTCTGCAAATTAAAATTGGAAATTGGTTTTTATTCGGGCATTTTTTAATTAATAATAATTAATGATGTTTTTAAATAAATAATAATTAAATATTGTTCAGCTTTCTCACAAAATCTGATTTCTAAAAATTATATTATTTATACGAATTATATTTTCTTTATATTATAAAAATTGCAGAAGATCAATTAAAAAATTTGAGGAAAAGACTTATTACAGACGTGTGTGCTACGCATTTCGCGCAAATAAGGCAAGATTATTTGCTATCTCTGTCTACGTTTAATTGCGTAAAATCATAAACGCGTAGAAGAGTTTAATTCGCCAAATCAAGGAATTCCACGCGTTATACGAAGCGTAAACATTTTCGAAGCGGACGTTCCGATAATAAAACTTCTCGTACATTCGCGCGAGTAATGTGTCGCGAATTGCGCATAATAATATATTACGGGCGCAACGCGTATAAGAAAAATTGCAACAGTCAACAAAAAGAAATATGTGTTCCAGGATCTCCCTCCGCGTGATCCTTTTTTTCTCCTCGCACCTTTACTGAAATAGACTTCCTGTCCGTTGTAACTGTTAATCGGTCGCCTAATTTACATTACTCTATATGATTTTTCGATTTCGATTTTATAATACAAATTGTAGTTATATACAAAGCTATGATTTCATTCCTGTAAATTAAACTTTTTTCATTAAATTCCTTATTGAATTTATAGTGCAAAAGATTTTATAAATTCCACAATCATAAATGTCCAATTAGAAAGATATCTTTCCTCGTTCTAACGATGTTGAAATAACTTCGCTCGCAGTTTCTCTTCTTTTTCTCTCAGAAAATAAAATATAAATATGGCATAATACGCACCAGATACAGAAGTGCAATTATACGCGTATTTTTGCATGATTATGCACAAACCGGAATTAAAATCTCTTTAACAATTCTCAACAGTTTTTAATTATCTTATTATGGTTCTTACAATACAATATATGTACTATTTATTTACAATTTTCTAACGCGATTACATGTCATTTCAACATCTATTAATCAATCTCCGACATAGTTATTCAATATTTTATCATAGATTATGGTTTGCTTTCGAGTGAACCTCGCGTCATTAAAATCTCGAAATCTATAATCGACGTCCAGTATAAAGAGTAAACTGTTGCTATATTGCCTACTTGTACATGAAGCGAAAAATGGCTTGGATATTTTTCAAAACTAATCATTAAATACTCATATCACAACATTGTTAACACTAGTTGTAAAGTAACAGGTACAATTATCAATCAATTATTTCTTATTATAAAAATTGATTGCGTTACATTCTTCTCAAAAAAGAGTGTGATTGTGAAATTTTTAAATAGTATTAAACTATTTATATGATTGTCGTTTAAAAATATAATTTATTTTCTTTTTAGTCGGGACATTTTATATTTATAGAAAATTTCTATAATTAAATCCTTTATAAAATATAATGTTAAGCAAAATATAATATTAAGCAAACTTCATTAATATTTTAAAGTAACAAAATTTACGAAGGGTGTCTACATCTTTTATTATAAATTGATATATTGAAAAATTAAAATAAATGGTAGATAGTGAAAGTCCAGAGATATCATTTACTCACTATTATGATATCCTCTACAACTTGCGCCAGTCCTCGATTACCGATGAGGAGCAGTCTGGTCCAAGGACCGGGTATAGCCATCGTCATACCTTTTGTCGGACCTATTATAGGCTTCTGTTCGCCCCAGGAGGGCGAATTCTCGCTGCTGGCCGTCTGGAAAGATTATAGAGATCCATAAGTATTAGTCGGCAGGCAGCGAGCAGAGAGGGATGTCGCCGTGTCTAAGATTTTCGCGTTCGGGGATATGTTACCGGACAACGAAAATGAGTACAAATATACAGGGATTAATTTACAATTACTATTGTTTTGTTTGTTTTGGGGAATATAATTGCAGTGTGTGTTGCAGCTCCGCGTCCAACTCCAGCGCTCCCGACATTACAGTGCTCTCACATCCTACTTGAGCTACGATCCATCAATCTTGCTGCTATGATCCTTACGTGCGCTTCTTCGACGCGTAATATTCGAGACTTGTCTGCAGGGTATCCATATGTGTTCTTTATTCTTGCGGATAGCGGTCAATTAATTGATTTTTCGATTAACAATTAGTTAAGGATCCTTATATGGACATCCTGTGCACTATAAAAAGGTGAAATCGCCAATATCCAATGGTGACAACAATATATAGCCATTTTTGGACTATTTAAGCACAAATTGTTCAAAAACCTGACGTACTGAAGAAATTCTGCAGCAAGATTCATTTTCAGAGTTAAAAAATCTATCAGATTCATCTATACCGCTTTTTGTAACTAATAAAATCTAAATTTCACAGGCCTGTGTTATTAAACTTCTTAATTGCTAAATCTTTGAGTGTAAGATACAATACTTTATAATGAGACGAAAGAGTGTCAAAAGATAAAAAGTATCAATTTAAGATGTTCGTTTAATCAACTAGTTGTACTATAACTCAATAGTTGCATATAAGAATTTCTAAATTAAGACATAATTATGGATTAAGGATGCGCAATTTATACAATTTATATGCCAAGTTCTCCTTGCAACGTTGGATTTATAAAAGTGCGTAAATACGAAAAAAGACATAGCGGATAAAAAAGACAGTTTTTTTCACATTGAAGAAATGGCAGATTAGAATAACTGAAAACTTTTTATACTTTGAATTATTATTCGAAGTATTATTATTTTTTATACTTTATAATACATTTTACGATTTTTATTTTAACAACTTCATGAGCTATTAAAATTATCTATTAAAATTTATAAGATAATACTTTGACATTGAAACATTAATCGTATTTCGTGACACTTATAGATACAAACTATAATAAGGAAATAATAGCTCATGATTATCAGCACATTACCGAAGGCTATATTGATAAATAAATAGATGCGATTCCATAAATTACAATGCATGATATTGCGGTAAAATTTTAATTGCGTTTAATTTCCGATATTTTGTTCGTGTTAAAATTTTATCGTAATTGCTATTAATTGAATAAAAAAATCGTCCACAATAAAACATCATTTTTAGCTATCGAAATCGATCAATTGATTCGGTAAAAACAATCAAAGATTTAATAGATCAGTACATGGTTAAACTTTCACAATTAAAAAGGAATCATCTCACATTTTACCATTCTTATTGTTTAATAATTAATAATTATTCTATTAATTTAGTTTTTTTCTAATAAAAGTTAATTTCTATGTGTTAATTATATCATCAAGAAATTCTCTACGAGGCAGAGATTTTCTAGAAATTACATTTTTTTTTCCTTAATTGATATAACGGAAAGGAATGAAGATAGCATCAGTGATGCTAAGATTAATGGAAGATTATTCGATTATTAGATCGTTATGGCTATCTAACAGTGACGTGAAAGCCATTTAATAGTCATTGCATGATTTTATGCAGGAATTTATCGAAGCATTTGTATTAATAATAGTTTTTTATTACATTTGTAATTATTAATAGTTATTCCGCAATTAAAGACGACAATTTCACGTATATTTACGTGAAATTGTCGTCTTTAATTGCGGAATAACTATTATTATACCGGTTTGAAATTCGGCCTCAAAGTTTGTTAGTCGCGTGCCACGTGTCATTCGTGCATGCGATTGAGCGATAATGCAGCTAGCGAAGCGGCAATTAATCCGGCGCATTAATCTCATGATAATCAAATGGCAATGTTAAAAGAGAAATGAGAAGCATGAAGATGCGCCTCTCACGTGCTTACCTCCGAGCGAAGTCCATTAAAGAAGACGCGAAGCGTATCTGCCACGAGGTACCAACAAACAAGGAAGTGTACCGCAGTGCATAATTCTCCCATTCAAGTTGAAAATAGACGGTAAAAACTGTAGAGTTTGGTGTCTTTGAAAATGTTAAGGTTATTGTATTGTGTAACGATCTCTATGTTAGATGGCACTATCGAAGCAAGGATCATTAATTTAGCGCTATTATTGAACGGACTTGTCGATTATTTTACGATTTACACTGTCCGGAGCCGTAACATAACTGTTTTTTTTGTAAATTCTTGGAATTGTGAGATAATTACTGAGGATTAAATTAATTGTAATTTTACGAAGATTATTAATAAAGTTTATCACTCAACATTTATTAATAAATATCTCATGCAAGAAATATATTTTATAATCATTCATTAAGCATTTTTATGTAAAAATTCGAGTGTAATATTACATAAAATTGGCAAAAAGATTACGCTAATTATGAAAGATCGACATTTTTCGACTGTATCTATTTGATTGAAGGACAATCTGTCATTATATATATGAGGTGATTTATTTTTTTTTTGGTATGCAATCTATTTTACATTAATTTTACATAAAATCTCAAACTGATAGAACCAATGGACGGCTATATAAATATTGCTCAACTCGAGTATTATAGTTCATTTTCCCTCAAGGCTTCACATTCATGTAGTCGACGTTTCACTCGCTATTCACTTCTCAACTTTAGTCGAAAAATTCCGCCCATATTTTTATTTTCGAATGTGCTTAAAAAAAAAGTATAATTTGAAGTATATAATTTGACATGTAATATTTTTCAATTTTCGTAATATTTATTAATTTTTTCTACAACATTTATGATTTTTCCATGCAATTTAAATACTATCCACACCTAGTAAATGTACATCTTGCTCTCCTCAATTAAATATATTTTATTATAAATATATTTAATATATTTTATAATATATTTTTATATATATTTTATATATTTTATACTATTTTTTATATTTTATATATTTTATATAAATCTTGACTGATTTTTTCTAAGTTTTAGATCATCTAGCTATTCCCTCTATTTGTCTGGCTGCTTATCTGTATATCTATTTAATATTCTCCATTCTCAATATTATCCACGAAATTCTTCTAAGCGCAAAATACGGATCAAGTGGAAGTTCGTACAGTGAATTTTGAATATCGCATTGTATCCTTTTACGTGCTTATACGTGTACGCACTAACTTTCCATCGAGCACCTATCGACCGAAGAAAGTCCGGTTACTTGGTCCTCCAGTGAAAGTGTCGGAGGACGAGAGCTGGACGATCCGGCTTTTTCGACAGATCGTATACTTTGACTTATATCGTTTATGACAATATGTGGCGTGCCTGTGTGATTTACGGAACCGCATACGAACGTCTGTTTACTTATCGATATGATTATATTGCTCCTTATATAATATTATAATAAAATATATTATTGTAATAATAAAATTTAATGTAAATAAATAAATATAATATGATAAATTAATTTAAATAAAAAAATTAATATAATAAACAAGTAAATTAATATAATAATAAAATATATTAATAGTCTACTATTTACTTATCGATGACATTTGGAAATATACTAGTAATCGTGAAAATTATTTTATCGTTTCACAAACGTATAAACGTTTATTCTCAAATATTATGCTCACGTAAAGCCAGTAAAATTTACATGAAGTTTATTCCGAAATTAGAACGCGTGAGTAGCGAAAACCTTCGAGATTTACGGTTATTATTTTATAGCCATATAATCGAAACATTAAATGTCTTCGACACGATGCTAATGTCCCGATATTATACGCAAAATTCATTTTTTTTATACGAATTACTTTCTTTTTTCACGTTATGTAAGTATCTCTAGCTGGTGACTATTCTTTCACCGCGCACGTGCGTTATGTTATACAGTTTCAAATGTTATGTAAAAAATTATGACAATTATAAATAAACTGCGGTGGATGCTACATAAGTTCGAGTAGCGACTGTGAAAAAATAGGCTTTCAAGCAACAACTATAATTCCTGTGATCACATAATAACGTAAAGTAATAATCAATCGTGACAATCGTAGCATCATCAATTTTCAAAGAATTAAAAATTACAGACTTTCAGTGAATTATTATGAATAATTTTTCAAAGTATAAAAACTTTTTACATTCTATTGTTGAAGCACATATTTTGTCTTATTACTTTGTCTTATACAAATTTTAATACGCAAGATAAGTGAATTATTAAACTTTGTATAATAATATTTTGGCATTAGAATAGGTGAACATTTTTTACTTTAAATTATTATTCGAAATATTATTATTTTCTATACTTTGTAATACATTTTACAATTTTTATTTTAACAACTTCATGAGCTGTTAAAATTATCTATTAAAATTTATAAGATAATACTTTGACATTAAAACATGTATTTTCGTGACATTTATATAGATACAAACTATAATAAAGAAATGATAGCTCACGATTACCAGCACATTACCGAAGGTTGTATTGATAAATAAAATGTAGATGCGGTTCCATAAATTACAATGCATGATATTGCGGTAAAATTTTAATTGTGTTTACTTTCTGTCATTTTGTTCGTGCTAAAATTTTATTGCATTTATTAAGTGCAAAAATTGTCGATAATAAAACATCATTTTTAGCTATCGAAATCGATCAATTGATTCGGTAAAAAACAATAAAAAATTTAATAGATCAGAACATGGTTAAACTTTCACGATCAAAAAGAAATCGTCTCACATTTTACCATTCTTATTGTTTGATAATTAATAATCATTCTACTAATTTAATTTTTTTAAAATAAATGTTAATTTCTATGTGTTAATTATATCATCAAGAAATTCTTAGCGAGGCAGTGATTTTCTAGAAATCACATTTTTTTCTCCTCAATTGATATAACGTAAAAAAATGAAGATATCGTTAGTGATGCTAAGATTAATGGAAGATTATTTGATCATTAGGGTTACAGAAGATCTTCTAGATCTAGGTGACATCAGGAACTGATCTAGCCCCACCCGTCTTTTTATTACTACTATTTGGTCATTAGAATGTTATTGCAATTTAATGGGGAGACGCGAAAGCTATTTAAGGATGTTTTGTACAATCCCAGCAAAAAATAGCTGAAAATCAATATTGACGAATATCCACTTTTGGTGTATTTTGAGTATGAGAAATTGTGTCGGATATTACAATTTGATCTTAGCTACAGTGCAGAGATGTATTTTTTAATATTTGTTGTGTTTTTACTGAAATATTCCCAATTTTGTTAATCAAAATGATTAACTTTTGGCAGAGAATTTTGCTTTGTGACAGATACATGGCTAACTTCATTGAATTATATTTAATATCTTTTTAACCAGTTAGTACTTGTATTATTTGATCAAATATTTCCTCTGTATCTAAACTTTTGCAAATTTTAAAATTCTGAATATTATTTCCATGTGTCTGAATATTATTTCCATGTGTTTTTGTCATTTGAATCGATGTGGTTATACGTTTTCCATAAGAACACATGTTAATTCGGTGCAAATTAAAATCCTTATAACTTGTGAACGCTTTAGTGAATCAATTTAAAAATTGTACTGAAGATTCTAAACATATGTAAGAACATTTTGTACAATTTTCATTAAATTCTCAATATTTTGAAAATAGGTACAAAACATCCCTATGAGTCATTGCATAATTTTATGCAGGAATTTATCGAAGCATTTGTAAATAATAAAAGCGTATTAATAAAAGTTATTTAGCAATTAAAGTCGACAATTTCGTGTATATTTACATTTAAAATTCAGCCTCGAATTTTGTTATTTGCACGTATCATTCGCGCATGCGATTGAGCGATAATGCATTGAGAGAAGCGGCAGTTAATCTGGCGCATTAATCTCGCGATAATCAAATGTTAAAAAAGAAATAAGAAGCATGAAGATGCGCCTTTCACGTGCTTACCTCCCAGCTAAGTCCGCTTTCCGGAATTGGATTCGAGCTCACGAATGCGAGGCAAAGCACAACCGTCAGTGCCAGAATGGTATACCTCATCTTGATCGAATAGAATAAGTTCTGCGAAAAAAATACGTTACACATTAAGCCAGCGCCAGTTAATATATGCGCGTTTTCGCGAATCGTGATGCGTGATTCGTGATTCGTATAATGTTCGCGAATAATGTGGAGATAAAATTCGTCATGCGCGATTCGTCATTTGCATTGATTCGCTAACCGAGCGGTTTTTTGACGAAACTCAAAGAAGACGAATCGTTACGAATCAATCTATTCGTGTCGCGCTATACTATGCGTAACTAGTTCGTGTTTCTCTCTCATAGGTTATTGCAGAGAGCTAGACAAATAATCGCCTGCTTGAACGTGTAGAAGACATAAGAGAACATAGATGTTGGTAATTATGCATAAAAAGAGCCCACCTTCGCATGTATTATTGACTTATGTTGAGAAGGATGTTATCCCTGATTAACATTCTGAAAGTTTTAGCTGGCGGTCATTCTTTATTCAAAAGTTATTAACAAATAAATGTGAGAAATATTTACATAAAAATTCTACTTTATTTGTTCATCGATTTGCTTTATTTTTAAATATGTATGTTATAGGGGAGATCTTCCCGAGTAATTTCGTATATATATATATATATATATATATATATATATATATATATATATATATATAAGGATCAGACTCAAATAGTTTTGGAGATATAGGCTGAAAAAGGATAAAAATAATAAATACAAAAATAAAGTAAACCTTCGGAAAACCCATCTATATGAAATAATGGGTAAGAATACCAAATTCCTACGTATTTTTATCTTCTGAACACGAATATGAAACTTAACAATGGCGATCGAACTCGCAAGTTGAAGAAAAATACAAAAAAGATAAATTAAAGGTAAATAAAAAAAAGGTAAACAATTTAAATTTATATAGAATTTAATATAATTTTTCAGCCTATATCTCCAAAGCTATTTGAGTCCGACCTTATATATATATATATGAAATTACTCGGGAAGAGCTTCCCTATAACATATTTAAAAATAAAATAAATCGGAGAGCGGGCCCCTTTTATGCATAAATACTTTAATAACTTTTGAATAAAGAACGATCGTCGGCTAAAACCTTCAGAATATTAATTAGAGATATGACTTAACAACATATGTCAATGATACATTTGTGCGAAAGTGGGCCCTTTTTATGCATAATTATCCCTGAATGTCCAACGAATCTCTATGAATCACGAATTACGAATTGTGAATTACGAATCACGCATAGGCGCTAGCTTTACACAGGTAGCACATATTTGTTTCAAAAATGTTTGACAAATATTTCTTTCTTTGAAACGTTTCATAATCGACTCTTGAAAACGTTTTTGATTAGTTAAAATGTCCTGACTTGAAAAACATTAAGAGATACGTTTTTTTTCTGATAACAAATAGTTTAAAAAATGTTTAAAATACATTTAAAATATGTTGTTTCTATTATTCGTCAAACGTTTGTTTTTTTATAGAATTAATAAAACAATGCATTCATATACACTCTCTAAAAATCAGTATATTATTACTGTAAGAGTAAACAGAGTCACTGATACAGCAGTTATAAGTTATTATAGCACTATAAATCAATAATATTTCACTGAAAAAATTAATAATATAGACTGTTTCAATGAGTAATATTAAACTATAATTTATCTTTCCATTTCATATAAAATTAAAAATTATTTTCTTTAGATCTGTTATATTGAAAATTTTAACGTGTGTGTGGTATAAAATATTTACAGAATATTTTCAAAAAATATATAATAAAAAATATTTATGAATATCTATTATAAATATCTGTGTGCTCTCTGCGCAGATAACAATAAAATTAAAATTATGGATTCAAACTTACTAAAATTTGAAATCTCTTACTCTTAAGATTCTAGTTCTCTCTTAATTCAATACATTTTTTACATTTGTCAAAATGTCTTGTTCTAGAGGATTATTTTATACAGGAAAATAATCGCGAGAGAATAATCTTTTTTATTCTAATAATTTTGACAATTTCGCAGGCACTCTGAATTGCGTAATCATGCAGATTTATTAATTATATCTAGTTGCGTAATTGATTCCTAAAAAATTCGGAAAGACCGGCTATGTCAGAGTGATCAGCGTATTTAGAAAACAGCGTCCCAATTCTGAACGGACATTTTTGCACAGCACGCCTTCTGCCTATGTGTCGACGCGTAGCGAAGATTGGGTCTCGTTATATTATTGAGCCAAGATAGCATAGCATGAATAAATAACAATGTACTATCCGTCCTGACAAAGGAGGTCGTGAAGGTGAAGCTCCAGCTCAGCCAGTGTCACGATAGCTGCGAAGAGACGAGGTTCATTTGCGACTAATCGTTCTTCCCGAGAAATATTTGCTAGGCTTTTACGTCTTGTGAAATCCGCAAGGCTACTTCGTTGTGACCTTGACATCGATCATGTGTAAATATATTGTGTATTTTATTTAGTATTTAACATATCACGAATTATTCGACACAAAAGAATTTTGATATGTCTTTATTTGTTCATTGAAAGATTTTTTTTAAGAAGAATAAGCAAGGTGAATCGATAGATTGAGAACACGCCTGTGTACGTGAAATTGATAAAAAGGAAAACATAATAAGATTGTAAGGAACATAAACAATGATCATAATAATGAAAATAAGGAGAACGGAAATTAAGCCGAAAGTGAGTGGAAGTGCGATAAAAATATACAAAGCCAAAAAAATAATTATTTCACACTGCAATATTTCGATCTGTGTTTTTTTTTAAATTCGATATGCGACTATGGGTAAAAAAATATTTCGGTTTCTAAGTATAAATATTATTATCAATATAATATTTTGAAAAATTGTTAAGTAATAATATAATAAAAGACCTATAAGAGACACATTATTCTAAGAATAATAAATCATTTGTATATTGATAATAATAAATTATTTTTCTTTTACTTCAATATTCTAAGAATATTGTGTCTCTTATAGGAAAAGAAAAATGATCCAACAAATAGTATACGATAAGAAATTCAATGACTCATGATATTGCAGTTTGTGTTGATAATAATGATGTTATATAAATTTAGATAAACGACAGAAAGTTAAAAATGTATGTAATTTAAGAGCACTGATGAAATCTTCATATTCAGAAAAATCAAAGAACTTTTTTAAATTTTAGTCAATATGTCCAAAAAAGGCGACATAATGTAATTAATAAAGTTAATTAGTTTAACCTATGTATTATATAAGAATGAAATATTTTTATCGCACGATAATAATAATGAAATATTTTTATCGCACGAAAAAAAATCCATTTCTCTCTTCTATACAATCTAATCGATAATTTTCCTGATATTTTTAAAATTCGCTATCATTAATCGCAATGCAAACATATCGTGTTATTCTTTAATTAAATATTTTTTGCTTCAAAAAGAAATATGATTGTGAGATTTGTGAGAAAATTTTGTTATTAATATAATGAAAGAATAATAAAATTTGAAGGTGTCATGCACATTTTTCATTAAAAAATTTAATAAATTAATTTCCCTGAAGATTATATCATACGAAAACTTGCCTTCCGAATTTTTAATAAATTTACATGGCGATTATTTTACCCTGCATAAATCACATTGCATTTATAATATCGCTGATATTCTATCTAAAGTATGATGTTACCGAAGAAACCATGTGATTTGCATACAGAGTATTAATTAGCAAGCTATTTAACACTCATGTTAGATTAACGGGCCTTCTCTTATCCATCATTTATATCTGAAAATACATGCTACTTCAGGACAAAGAAATCTATATTATAAAATATGGATATTGAAAAATTCGTAGGAAAAATTTTGTACGAGCTGTGCGAGATTCGTTGCGCTTTGTTGCATTCAATTGCATCGTCTATGAATTAATTATCTCGCACGTACGCATTTCATTATGAATCGACAAGGACAGAGTACAAAAACAATGATTGCACATCTATTTCAACGAGTTTTGAAGATAACAGTACATTAAATTTTCTCAAATTTAATGCTTGTATCAATTTTTCCTGTCACACATGCGTGCATTTATATTAAAAGTATTTACTTAAATATTTGTTAATTGAAATATTGTTAATTGAAATTGCTTTTATCTACCAGCTCTTCTCTAAGCAGCATTGTATCTATTATATATGTACATTACATTACAATAGATTAATAAATAACTCATTTAACAACCATTTTATGAAACATTTCCGGACTCATAAAACCGGTTATGCATTTCGTAAGCCTAATTTTTTAATGAGAAATGAGTTATTGTGTGATTTAAATGCTTGATTATGTTCATCAAATATGTGAAAGATAAATTAATTAATTTTTTAAACAACATTATGTTTGCCATGGTTTATTTCAATCAAATTATTAATTCAGTCAATTTTAAATTGAAATAGTATAACAAAGATGGAGAGAGAAAGGAAGACACTTGTTGAAATCACAAGTTTATTTCTAATTTCTTATGTAATCTCGTAAAGTATTAGTACTTTGATTTTTTATAAGGAAAGACTGCTCTTAAAAAAAAAAAGAGTTCAAGACTGCTGATAATCGTATATATAAGAACGGATTTTCCGATCCTTTCTTCACACCACTCAAAGATGCCGAATGAATTTATAGTTGTCCTTATTCTTGCACTTTCAAATGACATGTGAGATAATTTTTCATGGCTATTATTGACGAGATATAATTTATTTGTTTTTCTTTTTAAATCCATCCGTTAATTTTTTAATATATTTTATTATTTTATTTTATTGAATTATATTATTGCATTATAATAAACTATGTTTTCCATCTGTTATATTTTTATTTGTCTTTTTTAAATTTAAGTTGGTTATATTATTAATTTAATTTACGTACATTTTTTCAGATAAAACACAACTTGTGCTTGTCACGGCTGCTGCCGTGGGTGCTGGCACAGCTGTTTTTGTTACCTGGTGGTGGTGGGCTAAGGAGAAGAAACAGAAGCCGCCATCAAAATGGCAAAAGGTCGGAGAACTGAGTGATATAATGGTATTTCCGATTAAATCGCTCGGCATAGTTCGCAAGAAAGAAATGCTGTGCACTAAATTGGGTCTGAAATCGGGTTGGATGAAAGATCGAACATTGATGGTCATCGATCATGACGGACGATTTCTTACCGCCAGACAGTTACCCAAAATGGTCAATGTAAGAATAGCTATTAGATTTAATTTATTCTTTTATATAATAAAAATGTAATAAATTCTAATAATATTTTATTATAATTTTAATTATTCCGTGATGATATCATATGCAATGTATATAAAACAAATTGACAATATAATTTATAAATAAATGTAAATTGCGCGATTAGAGCTATTACTTATCACAGCATTACTACATTATGAATTATATAACGTAACTTTATAAAAAATTGATTAATAGATTAATAAAAGAATGATGAATGCGTGATAGCTCAACCATATTTTTCATTTCGTATCATTTCATATCATGTTTTTAAGAATTGTTATACCACTTATATTCTATTATCTCTATTTTTAAGCTAATAACCCAAGATAGTAATCCTAAATATTGTTAATTATTCTAAGACTATAATAATTAATTAATTATAATTAATTAAATTAATTATTATAGTCTTTGTCTCTTATAGATATCACCCGAATTTTCCGATTCTATATTGACGCTTCGCGCTCCGGACGTCATATCGATATCGATAGATCTTTCTCAACTTTGTGGCAAAAGTTTCCGAGCCATTATTTGGGGTGATGCGGTACTGGCGCGTGATTGTGGTGAAGAAATTGCTCGGTGGCTGTCACGTTTCCTTCTTCAAGAGGATACCGGTCTTAGATTGGTCTACTATCCATTAGATCGATCGGCGAGAAAAATAAGAAAACAATACTTAAATTACTTTCCGTTACTAACAGCGACGGATACCGTAAGTACTTTTTTCACAAGAATATTCGAGATTTCATAAATATAATTTATATATGTTGACTAATTTTTTTATTATCAATTAATCAGGTATTTTATTACTACTTAATACATAGCTTTTTTTTGGTAAAATCTATATTATTTCTAATAATTATTTTTTAAAGATTTAAATAATCTTCTCGTCATTATAATCATTCTTTATGATTTGTACTTATCAACTGCACTGGTTCTTATTATCTATTATTATTTTATTTAATTCTTTATAAATGTTTCTAACAGAAAAATCATTTTTTAATTTTCCGTTATGAATTTACTTGATTTTCTTGCAATGTGTATCTGTTGTTGACGTAATCATTATGTGTGTGCGAGGATAAAAATATTTTATTATCATAGAACAATTTGATCGACAATGAAAAAATATTTTTATATTATAGAAAAAATATATATTATATATTATACCATAGAAAAAATAGTTTGCCATATAATATAGAATAACGTATAATATAATTATATAATTATACATATATTGTAATAATTTTACATAGTGAATTAAATCGAAATTTAGACGTATCGTTTTAAATAATGCACGATACAGGAAAACTGCATTCTGATTACGTCAATAGGGAGTCTATCCAGATCAAACAAGTTTTACTCTGATCAACGAAGCTTCGGTAGCAGACCTTAATAATCGATTGGATGAACCTGTTACGCCGCTGAATTTCCGCATGAATTTCGTAGTCAAGGGCCCCTCTGCTTATGAGGAAGATAAATGGGACTGGGTGAAAATCGGAGATGTGATTTTGAGAAATCTTAAACCATGCACAAGATGCATTTTGACTACGGTGAATCCAGAAACTGGAGTAAAAAATACCAAACTTGAACCTTTGAAAACTTTAAAAAGGTATATCAAAATATATAATATACAAGATTTTTTTTCATTTATATATATATATATATAGAGATATAAATCTATAGTAAAATATACAACAAATTATGTGACATACAATATAATTATATTTCACAAAAGACGTCAAAAAAAACTTAAATAATATATCATATATCATTAACGAGGAATATTTTTCTGGCAGTTACAGACAGATAACCGATCCAAAAATTCGACCTGCTATTGGCGACAGTCCAGCTATGGGAATTCATCTTGGTCTGCGAGGATCAAATGGAATTGTTCGTATAGGCGACCCAGTTTATGTGGGTATCCCAGAGGAAGAAGCACCGTCTTCAACTTCATCATCATAATTACACCGTTAAGATTCCTACGACATTTAAAATACGAACAGGGCATTGACTTGATGGTCGAAGGTAAGAAAGTTTGAAAAGCGGAATCCTCAATCAGTAAATATGAAATATTAAAAAAAAAACATTTATATCATGCATACAATTTTGTGAATAAGATATTCTTAATTAAAAATGTATATATGATTGAGATCTTTCTCTCAAGTAATATAATATTGAAATATAAAATTATAAGGAATACAATAGGTGCCTACAAATGCAATAAATGATGTATAATCGTTATCTTATACAAAATAGTAAATTCCGTACTATGAGGATAAAAAATAAATAACGATGCGGAATTAAATAATCCTAATTTTGTAATCGATTTAAATCTTTTCAATTTTTGTGTCATGACTTTCTCGAAATATAATATTGAAATATAAAATTATAAGGAATACAATAAGTGCCTACAAATGCAATAAATGATGTATAATCGTTATCTTATACAAAATAGTAAATTCCGTACTATGAGGATAAAAAATAAATAACGATGCGGAATTAAATAATCCTAATTTTGTAATCGATTTAAATCTTTTCAATTTTTGTGTCATGACATTGCGATAATGGTCAAACAATGTAATTTAAAAATTGTGAAATATATTTTGCTATATTGTTAAAAAAATTAATAATTACTTTTTTTGAATATATCAATTAACCTAAAATTTATCATTTTAGAATAGAAACAAATTTAATTTATATAGATCATATATTTTTCTAATTTATTTTGATATCATAGAAAAAAAATTATTAATATTTTGTGAAATGGAAATATTCACATTTATACATCCTATTATATAATATATTAAATATCCTATATACTAATCTATTTAAAGTCAGAAACGCATAACTCTTGTTTCTTATTATAATAATATTTATTTGCACTACAACACAACAGGGACGTTTTACACAGAAAAATAATACGCTCGGTTCAAGGACGAGAAACACCGCGTTTCATGTGCTGACGACATTACACGTTTAGTTTGAGAAGAATTGTCAAATTACAATTCTTATTGAATTTGTCCGGAGCGGAAAAATCCAAAAAGAGAAGTAATTTGTTTCAACGATTTGTTGCAATGACAGGCTTTTGCAAATTACACCAAATTGAAATACTGGAGAGATAATTTTGATTTCATTATTAATACTGCTTAGCAAACTTAATTATTAACTGAATTTCACAAATTTTACGTCACAGCAATTATAGAGAAAGAGAGAAATAGATATATAAGAGATAACAAGAAAGCAGAATGTTAAAGATACAAATAGATAGAAACAACATTATGCCTGGCACTTCCATCCCGGGGTAATATACTATGTACAAGTTTGCGATATCTCGTTTATTCTTGTGCTCGATAACGATCGATCGAAAAATCGTATCGTTCGCGCAATAATAATCGAAGGGCATATATATTTAACAATGTATTCTTCGATCTTGCAAATAGCACACGTCTTATCCCTGTTACGATCAAAACAGATCGTAAGGCACTGTACATAGTATTTTCTACAGAAAAAAATTTATTTGTTTTTATTTCTTACTTTATAAGCGCGAATTGCGATTTTTAAGTCGAGGGATGGCTCGTAGAGAAAGTGCGCTCGGAGAAATTCGTTACCCGTAGTCGTCGGTGCATGAATCATCTCGTTCGAACTGTCAACGGCGAGCGTGTCGTATCACAAATTCGAAACGATTTCACAGTTTCAAGTTTCAACATCTCTCTCGATGTGTTTCCATCGTAGCACGGTAGCGCGAGGCATCCCGACTTTAATGATTAAATTTCGATCGTCTTAAAACGACGACCATCTACGGAAATTTCTCTATCGTTTTAATAATCGACTACAGAGAAGAAGTAAATAGAAAAAAAGGCAAGAGAAGAGATAGAGGCTTAAAAAGAAGAAAAGAAAAAGAAGAAAAAAGGAATAGATGAAAAGAGGAAAAAGATCGCATAGAGAGCCGAGTGAACGAAGTCGGACGATGTTGAATTAACATCGCGTTTAGAGAAGAATACGTTTAGGGACGAAGTATGTCTTCTTTGTGTTTTCACAAAGAGCTCGACGGCCATTGACGAAGGAAGTGAATTCAGGATCCCGGGAACAAGGGGGTAACACCGTGAGATCGGTCATGTTGCCAACGTCGTACCCGTGTTCCTTTCTGGCAGAGGCGGTTCGGCGTTGATATCCATCGGTACCAAGGCCGGCGAGGCCCCTTCCTGTGCTTCCTCATCTCGATCCTCGAATAAGATGCTTAAATTAACCAGGTGATGAGTTTCGCCTTGTAGTTAACAAACTTTTCGCTTAGTGCCGCCGCCCTCTGCAAATTAAAATTGGAAATTGGTTTTTATTCGGGTATTTTTGGATAAATAATAATTAATAATATTTTTAAATAAATAATAATTAAATATTGTTCAGCTTTCTCACAAAGTCTGATTTCTAACAATTATATTATTTATACAAATTATATTTTTCTTATATTATAAAAATTGCGGAAAATCAATTAAAAAACTTGAGGAAAAGGCTTATTACTGCAAATCTCAATGTGTTAATATGACTCATTTCATTTGTGTAATTTTCAGAAAACACGTTTATCCATGTTATTTAAATACTAGACAACGCAAAGCGCGCGATTCGCGCGCGCCATTTATTCCCTTTCATTATATATTTCTCACTGTCACACAAGCTGTCAAAATTTGTAATAATCGCAAATGCCAGCTGCTCATAACATGAATTGAGCACAATAAAAGAAGCAATCGGCATCGCGGAAAAGAGGCAACAATATTTCAAGACTTTCGAGAATCGATTTAACATTTTTTAGAAAGGGACATATAATTATGTAATGTATTAATTTTATACGATTCTTACGTGTTATAATGAGAATATGTATGGAAACGTATAAAAAAATAACACACTTCTTTATTCAACGTTTGGGACGTGTTATAAAGAGGTGTTTGTTCTTGATTTACACATCTCAGCAGCTTAACACATTTGCAAAATCAGTAATCGCTAGTTGTTTATTTACCGCTATGGTGCTCTATTTTTCTCTCTACTTAAGTTTTAGTTTTAAAAATTATATAAAGCTTGCAGAAGACGACAGATAAAATTAAAAATATCACTTTGATTTAATTTCTGATATAATCTCAATAGAGGAATTTCAGATATTAAATCAAACTTATAAGTCGGACATGTCCGGCGAATAAACGAAAAATAAAATAAAATGTACATTTATGTTAGTTTACATTTAAAATATACATTTTAAATATATTAAATTAATGCATTTAAATATGATTAATTAACACGTTTTAATGTATTAAATTAAAATATATCAAGTGTATATAAGTTATGCAGCAGGAAACGTATGAAAAGAGCTTCAGCTAATTTACACATTTATACGTGTAAATATAACATATTAAGATTTGCAGTATACAGACGTGTGTGCTACGCATTTCGCGCAAATAAGGCAAAATTCTTTGCTATTTCTGTTTGCATTTAATTGCGTAAAATTATAAATGCGTAGAAGAGCTTAATTCGAATCAAGGAGTTTCACACATTATACGCGTAAACACTTTCGAAGCATACGCTTCCCGATAATAAAACTCCTCGCACGTTCGCGCGAGTAATGTGTCGCGAATTGCGCATAATAATGTTATGTATTACGGGCGCAACGCGTGCACAAAAAATTGCAACAGTCAGCAAAAAAAAATGTGTGTTCCAGGATTTCTCTCCGCGAGATTCTTCCTTTTTCCTTGCACCTTTACTCAATAGCTTCCTGTTCGTTGTAACAGTTAATCGATCGCCGCAAAGTCCTAATTTACATTACTCTATATGATTTCTCGAAAGTATAATACAAATTGTAGTTATATACAAAGCTATGATTTCATTCCTGTAAATCTAACAACGCGAAACCAGTATTTGCACTATTTCAAGATTCGCAACATCATATATCTTTAAGCATTGCGCAGTTATTACTTAACAATTATATTCTTTTATCTTATTATGTTATTTTTTTATATCTTATTATCAATATTGACCAAATTTGATACAATTTTAATTTTCTTTTATTTTTATACATATTGAAATTTTTATATAATATCTTATGTAGAAACTAGTTGTTTCATTATTCAATTTTAGAGAAAGCCAAGGATAATGTAACTGCGATCTTTGTATAAGTTCGATCAGAAAATTTCATGATAAATAATTCATTCAATCCAATCTCTCGTCAAATAGATGAGCATGAAGAATAAGTGTTTGTTTTATAATAATATTAACAAGAATACCAATTCTCTCTCTTTCTCTCTCTCTCTCTCTCTGTCTTTTTCTCTTTCTCTCTTTTATTATGGTTTCTTTTTTTAGCACAGGTTATTAAAATCTTCCGTGAATTAATTGCGCACTCTTTCGTTAAGTAGTTTCACTTTCGCTAAAAACAAACAAAGAGTTTTCAAACCAAAATAGTGTATTAATTAGCATATAATTTATTATAATTTATTATAATTTATTATAATTTCTTTTTAATATTTATAATAATTGTTTTGAATAGAACATTCATGTAAATATAAAAAATAATCAGGTTGATTTTTTATATCAATAATTTTATTTTTATTAGTAAATCTGCTTGTATCATTTCTTTGCATTTTCTATTATTAATCTTTTATTAAAAATTGTGATTATTTATTATATCAAATGATTCTAAAATATTTAAATCAATTAATTTAATATTAATTTAATATTAATTTAAATAGTTAAGTATTTATATATATATATATATATATATATATATATATATATATATAAAAGTAACTTCCACTAACATCGCGATTACATCAGCTAGATTTAAAATGGATTATTTTCCATAGCAATTCCGACTGTTACGAGTATAAAAATCATTGATTTAAAAAATTATAGTTGATTACATGATAGAATAAAGAAAGAATTGTTACGCATACGATCTAAACTAGTTCAGTTCCGACTTTCATATTCTAATTATATTCAAGATTATTGCGATCTTTATTTTATCAACTATTTTATCATTATTTTATCAACTTTATTTTATCAACTATTGAATTATAGTGGATCAAGTAAGTAAATTGCGTAAGACGATTGCGCTCTAAATCCTTCGATTGCAATACGATATAGATCAAAGATTAGAAGGTCAATTATTCTATTATAGAACTACCATTTACATCGAGTAGAAGATTATTTACTGTATCCAAAGGTTGAGACTCGTTTGGACAGTGCGAAATGAATGATCTTCTATAAAATGTCCAGTCGACTGTAGTCCGCTTATTTCATGCTCTACGAGCTCAAAAATGGTTAAGTCACAAAGTGAAAGTAATCCATTTGGCAACGTATGAAAGTTACCGCGAATATAATATAAATGTCAATCTATTTTTATCTTCTTCCTCTATAATATTCGCCGTGGGAAAGATCGATTTAGTAACTTGAATAACATTCATTTGCAATTTATATTAAATCAATTAAACTATATGGAACTTTCCATATTATTAAAATCGAATAAATTTAATTTCAATACATATTAATTTATCCTTGAAATGGCAGTTTCTAACTTGATCACTCGACATAAAATATCAGAAAAAGTAAAGAAAGTCATCTGTTTTTGTAAAATTCTGTTATAAAACTAATTCAAAACAAAAAGGCTCTGATAATTAAAAATCAAACATACATAAGAGGCAATTTTATTAAAACTTATGAGATTTATTGATAAATTAAACAAGGTCATTCTGTCGCACACAAAGCGACATAATGTAACACGGACGCTATTTTCAACAAGGCAGTAGCCATAGGCCTGTTGTCGCCTTCGGGCAATCTCGCGTGCCAGAAGCGGCTTCTTGCATAAGTTGCAGCTGGTAAATGGACGCGCTATTTCATAGAGAAAGTCGCGTATATTTTTGCTTTCCATCGATTCCGGCGGCGCGTTTGCGTAATTGCCGGATTTGCATCTGAAAGAACGCGACGCGATGCGTGGCTTGCTCGAATTTTGACGAATACGTGATTCCATGAAAATATAATTTCTCGATTACCGTTCTACCAAAGAAATTTTAATCAGCAATTGCAGAATCTTAATGCGGCTTCATGCCACGCAATTTTATAATACGGTATTATGCTATATATATATAAGCACTGCGATTATTACGAAGGACTAATAAATACACAAATCTTTTTAATGCCCAAATTAATGCTAATTTTAGAAACTCTGTGAAATTCTATTATCATGCGATCTATTTGTTATCATGTGCGTAATATCGTAGAGAATGTACCATTTTTTTGTAATAATTTATAATTTTTTTATAAGAATCGATTTTTAATTCGATTAACTAGAATATTCTTATATAAGAAATATCTTGTTCTTATGTGACTATTCATGTATAAATTTAAATTTTTATATAAATCATTTCTATATTAAAATAATCACTTGTTAATAATTATGTTATTAAAAAATTATGTTATTACTTAATATAAGCTGCTTTATAAATATATATTTTCTTTTTATTGAAAGACGAATGCAATTTTATCTTTGTTGCGCGTTTTGTGTCTCTTTAATTAATTTTGTAATTTTATATAAGAAACGATCTCTTATAACACGAATTTCACTTATAAATCTGTTAAAAGAAAGAATTGCGAATAACAATTATCGCGTGTCGACAAACGCAGTCATTTGCGACGACAGATTGGATTAGCCTATTATGGAATCGCGATCACAAATGTGTGTGACATTAATTGTTTATGTTTTTGTTTAAACTTTTCCATTAAATTCCTTATTGAATTTATAGTGCAAAAGATTTCATAAATTCCACAATAAATCATAAATGTCCAATTAGAAAGATATCTTTCCTCGTTTTAACGATGTTGAAATAACTTCGCTCGTAGTTTCTCTTCTTTCTCTCTCAGATAATAAAATACAAATATGGCATAATTAATACAGACCAGATACAGAAGTGCAATTATACGCATATTTTTGCATGATTATGCGCAAATCGGAATTAAAATCTCTCTAACAGTTCTCAACAGTTTTTAATTACCTTATTAAGGTTCTTACAATACAATACATGTACTATTTATTTACAATTGTCTAACGCGATTACATGTCAGTTCGACATCTATTAATCAATCTCTGATGTAGTTGTTCAATATTCATCATAGTTATGATTTGCTTTCGAATGAACCTCGCGTCATTAAAATCTCGAAATCTAATCGACGTTTGGTATAAACAGTAAAATGCTGCTATATTGCCTTGTACTTGTACATAAAGCGAAAAATGGCTTGGATATTTTTCAAAACTAATCATTAAATACTCATATCACAACATTGTTAACACTAGATGTGAAGTAACAGGTACAATTATCAATCAATTATTTTTATAAGAATTGGTTGTGTGATACATTCTTCTCAAAAAGAGTGTGATTGTGAAATTTCTAAATAGTATTAAACTATTTATATGATTATCGTTTAAAAATATAATTTATTTTTTTTTAGTCAGGACATTTTATATTTATAGAAAATTTCTATAATTAAATCCTTTATAAAATATAATGTTAAGCAAAATATAATATTAAGCAAACTTGATTAATATTTTAAAGTAACAAAATTTACGAGTGTCTAGATCTTTTATTATAAATTAATAAATGGAAAAATTAAAGAAAATGATAGATAGTGAAAGTTCTGAGATATCGTTTACTCACTAGTACAAGATCCGCTATTATGTCCGCAATTCCTCGATTACCGATGAGAAGCAGTCTGGTGACAGGACCGGGTATAGCCGGCGTACTATCCGTTGGTCCTATTATAGGCTTCTGTTCACCCCCGAAGTTACTTCCGCTGCTGGCCACCGTCTGGAAAGATTATAGAGATCCGTATTAGTCGGCAGGTAACGAGCAGAGAAGGATCTCGCCGTGTCTGGGATTTTCCCGCGTTCGGGGATGCATTACCGGACAACGCGGCGAAAGTGAGTACAAATATACAGGGATTAATTTACAATTACTATTGTTTTGTTTGTTTTGGGGAATATAATTGCGGTGTGTTGCAGCTCCACGTCCAATTCCAGCGCTCCCGACACTACGGTGCTCTCACATCCTACTTGCGGCTACGATCCATCGATCTTGCTGCTACGATCCTTACGTGCGCTCCTTCGGCTCGTAATATTCGAGACTTGTCTGCAGGGTATCCATATGTGTTCTTTATTCTTGAACGCGGATAGCGGTCAATTAATTGATTATTCGATTAACATTTAGTTAAGGATCCTTATATGGATTTATTGATTATTCGATTAACATTTAGTTAAGGATCCTTATATGGACACCCTGCGTTGTGCACCATAAAAAGGTGAAATCGCCAATACCCAATAGTGATAACAAAATAAACCATACACCACAACGAAATCAATGATACGCTTCGTATACTAGCGATTCGCAACGCAACGTTACAGGAATAATATTTCGTGTTCACGCGAATTCTCTAGTTACAAGCGTTTTCAAAAGTTTACTCGTAAACTAATTATCAAAATTTAATTATTACGAGATACAAATTTGGCAGACAAACCGGTACCAGATTTGCCGGAGGAGATCTTATGTTTGATAAAAATTCAATCAGTCTCTTCACATACAAAATTTACGAATTATCTTATTATTATCATTTTTGTAACCGATTCGTCTGCCAGTTAATCTCTATGCATTTATAATATATGTATTTCGTGTACAAATATATGAGATGAAACAAAATACAACTATCCACTAAATATACGGTGCAATGGACGAGTACGAAGATTACAACAACGAGAGAATCGGCATCGATCAATGACTATTCGCCAGATTTCAAGTGACTCGGCCTGTCCATTAGCCGGTCAGTACGCCATATAAAAAAGTCTTTAAGTCGGTGGTTGTCAGCGTTGCGTCGGGACCGTTGGCCGGGTGGAACAAGATAGGATTTGTGGAACAAGAGATGATTGAACAAAAAAATTTGACAAATTTCCCAAAATTAAAGAAGAAAAAAATTAAGTGTATAATTAGGTGTATGTGACTAGAGATTTAAAGGAATTATTAATTATACAGGCCTGCGAGAGTCAGTTATAAAAAGCAGAGGTGAATCTGGTAGTTTTTTTTGACGCTGAAAACGAATCTGACCGCAGAATTTTCACAGCACGTCAGGTTTTCGAGTAATTTGTGATTAAATAGTTCAAAAATAGCTATTTTGGCAAATTTCATGAATTTATTATAGAAAAACTTATAATTTTTTGAAATATTTCTACCAATGGCAATATAATATTAAAGAAAATTTATGTGGCAAATTTATATGGCAGAGTCATATCAAATTCGCCATCTTAAAATTTGAAAAGGTTTATACATCTAATGTGTACATATGTCAAATTCAGTTGTCAAAAAAATCCTATAGAAATATATCTAACACATTTTGATGAATTTTTGAAAATTTTATATCTTTTTATTGTGGTTCTGTCCGCCATATTAGATGCTACTTTTAATTTAAAAAAGTGATAGGTTGCATTAAAAAATGTATGTATCCAAAGATAAAAATAAGATTAGTATTATATGATACCATTAGCAGAGATGATTCAAAAAATTAGGTTTCGTCATAATAAATTCATTAAATTGATCGAAATAGCCATTTTTGGACTATTTAAGCACATATTATTCAAAAACCTGATGTGCTGGAGAAATTCTGCCAGATTCATTTTCAGAGTCAAAAAATCTATCGGATTAATCTATCCTGCTTTTTGTAACTAATAAAACCTAAATTTCGCAGGCCTGTGTTATTAAACTTCTTAATTGCTAAATCTTTGAGTGCAAGATACTTTATAACAAGACTAAAGAGTATCAAAAAATTAAAAGTATCAATTCAACATGTTCGTTTTAATTAACTAATTGTACTATAACTCAATATTTGCATTTAAGAATTTCTAAATTAAGACATAATTATGGGTTAAGGATGCGCAATTTATACAAATTACATGCCAAGACCTCCTTGCAACGTTAGATGTATAAAAGTGCGTAAATACGAAAGAAGACATAGCGGATAAGAAAGACAGTTTTTTTCACATAGAAGAAATGGCAGATTAGATTAATTACTATCACGTATTATTTTTAGACGTATACATATATATATATATATATATATATATATATATATATATTTATTTATTTATACATACACATATACATATATATATATATATACACATATATACATATATATATATATACATATTATATATACATATATAATAAAATATTAGAGATCTTGATATGCATTTCATGCGCAGCAAGATAGGCAAGATTCAAACAGGGTAGAGTCTTTATATGAAGGAGGAAAACACGGTAAGAGGGAAAAAAAGAAAAAAGATGCTAGATAGGAAAAGATTGTCGGTATAATTTGTTCAGAATAAGTCGTCAAGAAGGATTAAGTCACCAGTGGAAAATAAGCGGAAGATATAAAAGAATGTCTCTTCTCTTTCTCTCTCTCTCTCTCAGACTGCGAGAGTCAAGGATAATCGTGATGAACATGCATGAAAAAGTGTGACATGCGTAAGTACAATATTATTCAATACTAATTATATTTTGCAATCGAAAAAAAAAATTATATGAAAAAATAGTTGAGACTGTAAATAATAGAACAATCAAGAAAGGATGTGGTTGCAGGCTACAGATGAAGAGTGCAATTGTGTGTGCTACTTTTGCATGTGGAATATTGCAGATATATCACGTAAAACATATCAATAGAAGAAAAGAAGAGAAAAATTATTGATAAAAATAACGGCTGATCTCTAGAAAAGTGCGACCATCGTAAATCGTTAAATAATCAATGGAATAATATTTCCAGTTTTTCATGCAATTGAAAAACAAACATGCTGACGACTATTACGAAAGTATTTATGAAACAAGTAGTATATATATATATATATATATATATATATATATATATATATATGAGGTGAAAGACGAAAGACGTAACAGGCATGTACAAAGTGCGTATATAGATAAAATGAGATAGAGATACACCGAAAGAAGAAAGAAAGTAAGTTACTGAGCGGACCCGATAAAATCGATTGGCGCTATACACGTGCAGTACCAACCGTCGACGCGGTTCACACTCAACAACAAACCGAAGGAGAGCCTCGAGACACAATCGAGACACTCCCCAAAAGTATGTTGTCCCACTCGTCCCTTTATCGGGCCCGGCTCGATCGGAGAGAAGCGCAGTCGCCGTGTCTCTGTTGGCGGAGACTGTTGGCTTTAGGCGGTGTGTCGGATTTGGCGTACCAGTGGTGGAATGCCGGCTCCTGGGGCGGCTGTCGAGGGTGCGCCGGACGTCGGGGTGCTGTTGGAAGCAGCGGGGGCGGCCTGCTGGGGCGCCGGGCCCACGTTACGCGAGGCGCTTAGCCCGAGCCCGAGGCTCTGTGTACCGGCGACAACACGGTACACCGTGCCCGCCGCTCTTGCCGCCCCGTCGGCCGCTTGCTAAACGAGAACAGAGACGAGAACTTTCGTTTACTTGGCTCTCTTGCCCTTGCCCGTTGCTGGAAGAATCGCGCGTTTTCTTTTCTCTCTTTCATTCCGCCCGCGATTTCGCGAAAGATCGCTATCGGCGCTCTCTTCGCGGTCTGCGTGCGTCCTGGAACTCCTGCTATGTGGCTGGAAAGTGGTTCGTTAAGAGCTCCGAAGGATTGCAACGTAACAGTGGGGATCTCGAAGAGGGAGGCTAGAAATCGCCTCGATCGTCGACGTTTTCATGTATAATTTCCTCGTGAAAAATGGAGAAGAATTATTCGCTTAGCCATTATCCTGTCAGAAAAACCTGTTTGATATCGAGCGAGTGTCGATATGTTATTGCTGCCAATAGGTTTTCTTCATGTACATACGTTGTATGGTTAAATGCTGCTCGCTATTGGCCGAAGCTATGATAAAGGCGACGTCATTGCAAATTTGACTACCAAATATATGTTTAGAAAGTCTGAATCGAAAGTGTTATTTTTCACTTGCTAATATTATTTCTGATTTTATTAATCCCATCATCCTATATCAAGTTTCTCCTATTTTGTGAACATAAATATTAATTTTATTTTATGTAATCGTGAAAACTATCTTTCGCTATATCATTAATTCCATGTGAAATTTGGCAGAGCGTCAGTTTGTGATGCAATAAAAATGTAATTTGCTTCTGGCATAATTTCGAGAGTTACTTATTAACAGCAGGTGAATACCTGTGCAGCAAAAACAAATAGAGTACCGATTACGTAGACAAGTTTCTCGTTTTCTCAATCTTGCGGACAGTGAAGGGTCGTGTCGCGATCGATCGGTCTCTGAAATCGCCTCGAGTCGTATCGCTCGTAATCGCGTCTTTTTTGCCAGGAATAACGGCAGGACAAACGGTTGTTGGAAACGGTAACTCGATTTTCGCATGATTGCTAACTGCCATGCCGGCGAAAAATCCATTCTATCGAGATAGATTTTGCAAACGAAAAATCGGTTATTAAATCGTATAACATCGTGTCACCCGTTATAGCTTCGATTTATCTTGAGAGAAATGTATGTAATGTGAATTAATAATTTCGCATATATTTATATTGCGTACACATATGGCCAAAAATTAAATCTTTTGGATTTCTGAAACATTAATAAATAATATTATTAATATAATACGAATTTTTTATACCTATATTGTATTTATTTAATTTTTTGCCAACATATATATTTATTAAAAGGCTACGCGATTATATTTTTTCAATTTTCAAGCAATAATAATTTCGTTATCGGTAAAGACACAACCGAATTCGACTAATTATTAATTAAATAATTTTAATGTTAGGGAGAGAAATACAAGGATACTGCATTAAATTCTAAGAAAATATTTAAAAATACTTCTCTCAATCTACAGGTACAACTGACATAATTGCAATAAAAAATTGATTAAACTGTTTATTTGCAATGACGATAAAACAGCTGTTACACGTTTTTGCTTCTCTTTTTGTCTCTAATTTGCAATTTATTTAGTACTTGATGATATCCCATGTGAGATCCGCGTAGACTTTAATCAAGGACGCCAGGTGGATCGGCAAGTATCTATCTATACTTCAAGATATTCTATTGCTAAGCGATCCCGTCGCTGCCTAGGTCAAGAATCTTGAAATAATAATCAATAGCGTATGACGAAGCTAAAAGGCAATTTGATTGCCCACTTTCACTGCTGTCTGCAGTTAAACGCCCTTGCAATCGCCAGTCACCGGAATATCAAGTATGTGTCGCCACGTATTATATCGACATAACTGCGCTCGAATTCCATTATTTATATATTATATATATCTAATTTTCGATCGCTGTAAGAACAAAAAAATCCGCGTTCTCCATTTTTCACGTGACATTATTAATAAACGAGACGCCTCTGTAAACTCGATAGCGCGACTTACCCTGATAATATCGAAGAGAATGTTGCCCGATCCTCCTCCAGTAGAACCTCTCTTGTCCCTATTCTCGTCTTCAACTTCCGTCTCATTTTCAGTCAATGGCGTGAGCTCTTGTTCCTTTGGCGTTTCGTCCGCGAATTGCACTCGTACTTCGTTATTCTGCGACTCCGCTTCGGCTTCGTTCACTCGATTCTCCGATTCTGGGTTCACGTCCTGTAAAAACACATTTCCTCTGGGTGGTAAGAATCAAATAATCAAGCGGGAACGATGATGCAACATCCCGTTGACTCTGTGTTTGCCCCTCTATACGTAATTTATTTATCTTTTAATTTGCATGTACATTTTAAGCAACGTTTGTGACATAAAAATATTAATATTGATTTGTTGACGGCTCGGAATATTAATCAATGAGTCATTGTTGCTCGCTTGGTCGTGTGCCAAGAAGTGCACAAAACATCGCGATAGTAGGCCAACTGTATAACTTCAAGGTCTATGAAATGTGTTTATAGATCCGTACAATGATCCACACAGCAATATTTTATTATAAATTATTCATAGTACATGTATATATGTTTTGCCTAAATTTCACATTTCTTCGAGACTTTTTTACGCACCGGTGATAAAACGAGAGCGTATATATAATTAATATCTATCCATACTTCAAAATATATTTCATATAAATAGATCATGATGTGAGAAATTATTTGATTTTATATGTAAGAATACAAGAACAAATAACATGCGGATTATGAAGTATAACGCAAATGTTATATTTATAACATGCATAAATCAAGCAATAAAAAAGTATTATTAATCACAACTTGCACAAACTTTATCAATACAAACATGTTATTCATATTAAATCATACACATCTCTTGGATAAAGTCACACAATAGTTGATTAATAAATGATTTATCGGACAAAAGGACAAAGGTGAACATCGATTATTTGATGCTTATAAATATATCTCGAATTTTATATTTACAATTATATTCTGTAGAATATATTGTATAAGAAATGTCTTTAATAAGCAACTTGTTTCCACAGATACTTTATGCGAAACTGATTCGTCCTGCGATGGATGACATAGAAATGCTTAGAATATTAAAAATATGGAGAAAGATGATACAGCTGAAAAGACCGAGGTAATTCGAGCTGTTTGGTGAAAAAATTGTGTCGAGATGAGCTTCAAAAAGCGAAACCTATTCGCAATTGAAATGATGTCGTAAGAGAAGAAAGACACATGTGTATGAAAAATAAAATCCGGTTTTAATTGATCAGAATAAAATGACGAAGAAGCAAGAATTAGATAGACAAAAGTAGACAGTTTTTGAATGATCGAATGATCTGCAAGTAGCGTGAAATTCGAATCGTAGAGACATAGATCACAAAGAGATGAATTGAAACATCGAGAAGTGAAGGATAAGCTCGGTACAATGATATTTTCCGCATAATTGGTGGAGCCAGAAGTGATCGCAATAACAGATCTGATAGCGACAATAACAACAACGACATTATTAACCGATTAATTTGGGAATACGAGAAAAAGAGTTAGCAGTGTACGAAAATGTGCGCAGCCGCGGCAGTCCTGGTTGCGCGGTGATTTAGCGACCATTTGTGGACCATTAGATTCCTACCCTTCCCGTTCGAGATCTGAATGGTCGATCGAGTGTCCGATCGATTCGATTCTCGTTTTCCTCGAGCACCCGATGAGTAATTAATACACAAAATGAGCAACGCGCCGCAGCAGTCCTGAATGCGCGGTGAAGATTTTGCAGCTTGTGAAGATTCCTCAAGGTCATGATCTCGAAAGTTTTACCGAGCTGCTGAGCAAACGACGTCACAGCGAAGCGGTGACTTCGTTGTTTAGGGATGATAACGTTGTTGTGACGATCGACGTGGTCGTCATAGGGTTAACGTCGCCTCCGCTTTCTGTTATCGTTGAAGGAGCTGGAGAGGAGCTGGACGTTTTTATCTCTTCCTCCTTCTCATCGTCCGGAAACGTTGGGAGAGAAATCGACACTCTGGAATTCGAGTCGGTTGACTTCGTCTCGCTATCGTCTTCCTCTTCGTCATCGTCTCCGAAGGGCGAGATGCCCATTACGCTTGTGCCTGTGTTGCTTCTTTGGACATCTGGACTATTACCACCGCCAAGAACATTGCGAAGGAAGACCGGACCGAGGACGCGAATCACTTCCGCGACAATTGTGTTGACCATTGCTTCGATTCTCTAGAAAACAACAGGTCTTAGCTGGAAAGTCTCTTAGCTTGGCGATATCTCGATCCTCTTTTCAGTCAAGCTTCAAAGTATTACAGTGCTTTGTGATCCCCTTATGAGTAGTGGGGATGATATCGGTCCACAGCAATAATTGTGGATAATTTGTTTTGTCTATGAATGATATGAGCTTATATCGTTTGGTCTGCGAGGATTCTTTCGAATCGTTTCTGAGCAATCGTCCGTCTAATAATGAATGTTCATGCGAGTTATCCAGTGCTTAAAAATCGATCAATGATTTATGTTACCCTTGTTTTGATTGTATTGTATTTCTTATTATTCGGCTTCCTTTCAAAGACATTATGATTTATAGAACCAGTTTAACTCCAGTTTTACGTAACGTCCGACGTTTGGTAGAACATATTCTAAAAAGATCTTTGAACGGGTTCTATTTTCGAGAATTTTAGCGATAATTTAACACGATTGATCGGAATTATTGCGGGCAAATTTGCTGTACACACATATATATATCGTTTTGTATTACAATTATCATGTGCTTGATCAATCACTCGAATCGGAAAATTTCAGCATTCCTCTCGAGGAATGATCTTCCGGTTCGTGAGAATCGCGACTTGCAGCGGGATAATCTGACGATTCGTTATCAAATCAATTGCCATTGTCGCATGACATGCAACCGCATGTAAGAGAGACCGGCCAATATGGCCAGGAAAGTTGCTTGCTAACGAGACAAAAAAATCATACAGCGCATTATTAGATAAATTAGGAAGTTATTCATGGATAATTCAATAGCTTGCGTTACCAGAAAGAAAGAAAGCGTCGGACGTAATATAAAAGAAAGAAATTTTCCCAAGAAGTTCGATTCTTTTTCTAGGATCTCTCTAACCACCTACGAGCAATTGCTTCGTGTTACGCAATTTGTTCTTCAAACTATAAAGTCTCTTCCAACAAGATCGTGAAAAGTCTCTTGACATAATTCACGAAGTCGAATAAAATCTCTGAGAAAAGAATATGGAAAAATTCGAGAAACACACCGCAGATACTTTTAACAGCAGAAATTGACGGACGCGCGATAATTTTTTTTGCAAACACTTTGCTTCCGCTTTCGTAATGCGGAATAAACACAATGAGTAATCGAAACAAATCGATTCGTCTACATGAAGCGTATAAAGGGGCAGACTGGCTAGCGTCGTCTGTGACGATTGACTTGCAAATCGAATGCGTTACTTTCTAAATAAGAATGTGGAATTAATATTAAAATGCTGGATAGAGAGAGACGCTGGATTCATGGCACACAAAGTGGCTTCTGCAAAGTTCGACAAAATTCTAGTCAGCGAGTGTTAAAAATTCTTAATGAAAATCAGAGTCCGATGCGTTCGCTCAAGGATGTCATATTGCTCCTTGATGATATTTGTCGAGCGAGATAATCTATGATGATAATTTATGTACACAACCGCGCCTTTATATAAAAAACGATGCGCAAAAACGGCAATTTAGTCCTGGCCTTCTGCAGGATTTCTTTGATTATTCTCTGATTATTGATTTCTCGGATTATTGAGTTATCACAACTGCTCACCTGGGAGATATCTGGGAAGAGTGTTCGTAGAATGCCGATCGTCCGTTTGTTCCTCAGGGCCTCTTTGTTGTCAGTTTCGGCCATCACTAGCCGATCGAGGATCTGAAAGAAAGTTTCCTATTTGCCCTACCGTACTAATTCTTTACCGAACAGCGGCGATATTTTTCAACTCCCAGTGATCGTAGAATATCAAGCATTGTCAAAATACTCAATCGGTATATTTGTGAATATATTTTAAATGATTGATTATAAAAAATATTGAAAATTGCAATTTATCAAATTTAATAAAAACTAAACTTTTACTAAATGTGAAACTACATCTCTATTGTATGCACGTCTATTTCTCTCTTGCACAATAACTTTTAAGTGTGTAAAAGGTCTTTTAATATATATAATATTGGAGTGTATATGTCGCAAAGTGTATTGGACAACATTTGATTTACGATCATAGTGCAATCTGCGAAGGAGTTTCCATCTGTTCCCTTTTTGTTAAAATTAATCATGCATTGTGTGAACGCTGTTGTCAAAGTGGCGTTAAAGAATACGCGAAACGTATCTGCCACGAGATATCAGCAAACAAGGAAGTGTACTGCAGTGCATAATTCTCCCATTCAAGTTGAAAATAGACGGTAAAGACCGTGGAGTTTGGTGCCTTTGAAAATGTTAAGGTAATTGCGTTGTGTAACGATCTCTATGTTAGATGGTACTAGCGAAGCAAGGATCATTAACTTAGCGCCATTGTTGAACGAATTTGTCGATTACTTTACGATTTACTACCCGAAGCCGTAACATAACTGTTTTTCTTGTAAATTCTTGGAATTGTGAGATAATTACTGAGGATTAAATTAATTGCAATTTTACGCAAATTATTAATAAAGTTTATGACTCAACATTTATTAATAAATATCTCATGCAAGAAATATATTTTATAATCATTCATTAAGCATTTTTATGTAAAAATTCAAGTGTAATATTACACAAAATCGGCGAAAAGATCACGCTAATTATGAAAGATTGACATTTTTCGACTGCATCTATTTGATTGAAGGACAATCTGTCATTATATATACGAGATAATTTACTTCTTTTATGCATTCTATTTTGCATTAATTTTACATAAAATCTCAAACTGATAGAACCAATGGACGGCTATGTAAATATTGCTCAACTTGAGTATTATAGTTCACTTTCCCTCAAGGCTCGTTCACATTCATGTAGTCGATGCTGTTCCACTCGCTATTCACTTCTCAACTTTAATCAAAAAATTCCGCTCGTATTTTTATTTTCGAATGTGCTTAAAAAAAGTATAATCTGAAGTATATAATTTGACATGTAATATTTTTCAATTTACGTAATATTTATTAATTTTTTCTACAACATTTATGATTTTTCCATACAATTTAAATACCATCCATACATAGTAAATATACATCTTGCTCCCCTCAATTAAATATATTTTATTTCTATAAATCTTGATTAATTTTTTCTAAGTTTTAGATCATCTACCTATTCCCTCTGTTTGTCTGACTATATCTCTATTTATCTCTATATTCATTTAATATTCTCTATTGTCAATATTATCCACGAAATTCTTCTGCGCGCAAAATACGAATCAAGTGCAAGTTCGTACAGTGAATTTTGAATATCGCATTGCGTTGTTTCACGCGCTTATACGCGTACGCACCAACTTTCCATCGAGCACCTATCGACCGAAGAAAGTCCGGTTACTTGGCCGCTAGTGAAAGTGTCGGAGGACGAGAGCTGGACGACCCAGCTTTTTCGACAGATCGTATACTTTGAGGTTTATACCGTTTACAACAATATATGGCGTGCCTGTGCGGTTTACGGAACCGCATACGAGCGTCTGTTTACTTATCGATATGATTATATTGCTCCTTATATAGTATTATAATAAAATATATTATTGTAATAATAAAATTTAATGTAAATAAATAAATATAATATGATAAATTAATATAAATAAAAAAATTAATATAATAAACAAGTAAATTAATATAATAATAAAATATATTAATAGTTTATTATTTACTTATCAATGACATTTGGATATGTACTAGTAATCGTGAAAATTATTTTATCGTTTTACAAACGTATACACGTTTATTCTCAGACAAATATTATGTTCACGTAAAACCAGTAAAATTTGCATGAAATAGTATTCTGACATTGGAATGCGCGCGTAGCGAAAACCAGATTTAAGGCCCTCACATACGAAATTGCATAGCTGCATATGCATAACATAAGACCATATGGACCAATAAGCATCGAATATTAAGTCATTATATTGACTTACATGACATAATATTCAATGGTCATTGGTCCATATGGTCTTACGTTATGCATATGCAGCTATGCAATTTCGTATGTGATCGCCCTTATGGTTATTATTTTATAACCGCATAATTGAAACATTAAATTCTTCAACACGATGCTAATGTCCCGTATTATACGCAAAATTTGTTTTTATTTTTATACAGATTATTTTCTTTTTTCACGTCATGTCAGTATCTCCAGCTGGTGACCATTCTTTCACCGCGCACGTGCATTATGTTACACAGTCTCAAATGTTATGTAAAAAATTATGACAATTACAAATAAACTGCGGTGGATGCTACATAAATTCGAGTAGCGACTGTGAAAAAATAGGTTTTCAAGCAACAACTATAATTTCTGTGATCACATAATAACGTAAAGTAATAATCAATCGTGGCAATCGTGGCATCACCAATTTTCAAAGAATTAAAAATTACAGACTTTCAGTGAACTATTACGAATAATATTTCAAAGTTTTGCATCTATTGTTGAAGCACACATTTTCTTATACAAATTTTAATGCGCAAGATAAATTAAGTTATTAAAATTTATAAAATAACGTTTCAACATTAGAATAGGTGAAAATTTTTTATACTTAGAATTCTTATTCGAAATATTATTATTTTCTACATTTTATAATACATTTTATCATTTTTATTTTAACAACTTCATGAGCTGTTAAAATTATCTATTAAAATTTATAAAATAATAATATTTTAATTAATAATACTTTGACATTAAAACATATATTAATCGTATTTTCATGACACTTATAGATACAAACAATAAAGAAATCATAGCTCGCGATTGCCAGCACATTACTAGATGTTATATTGATAAATAAATAGATGCGGTTCCATAAATTACAATGAATGATACTGCGGTAAAATTTCAATTGTGTTTAATTTCCGTCATTTTGTTCGTGCTCAAATTTTATCGTAACAATTATTAATTGAGTGAAAAAATCGTCGACAATAAAACATCATTTTTAGTTATCGAAATCCATTAATTGATTCGGTAAAAATAATCAAAGATTTAATAGATCAAACGTGATTAAACTTTCATAATCAAAAAGGAATCGTCTCACATTTTATGATTCTTATTGTTCAATAATTAATAATTATTCTATTAATTTAGTCTTTTTTAAAATAAAAGTTTATTTCTATGTGTTAATTATATCATCAAGAAATTCTCTGCGAGGCAGAGATTTTCTAGAAATCACATTTTTTTTCCTCAATTGATATAACGGAAAGGAATGAAGATATCATCAGTGATGCTAAGATTAATGGAAGATTATTCGGTCATTAGATCGTTATGGCCATCTAACAGTGACGTGAAAGCTATTTAATAGTCATTGCATAATTTTATGCAGGAATTTATCGAAGCATTTGTATTAATAAAAGTTATTCAACAATTAAAGACGACAATTTTGCGTATATTTACGTTTGAAATTCGGTCTCGAATTTTCGGTCTCGAATTTTTTAGTTGCGTGCCACGTGTCATTCACGCATGTGATTAAGCGATAATGCAGCGAGAGAAGCGGCAGTTAATCTGGCGCATTAATCTCACGATAATCAAATGGCAATGTTAAAAGAGAAAGGCATGAAGATGCGCCTCTCACGTGCTTACCTCCGAGCGAAGTCCGTTTTGCGGAAGTGGATTCGAGCTCACGAATGCGAGGCAAAGCGCAACCGTCAGTGCCAGAATGGTATACCTCATCGTGATCGAATAGAATAAGTTCTGCGAAAAGAATTCATTACACATTACACGTACGTTGCTTATGGTTGCTAATTTCAATGAAAGTAATGCACTTGCGGCATCTCACAAATCTCTCATGATCAATTTTTCGCATTTCGTGCGATGTTATTTAGCAGATGTTTCTTATTTAGTAACTTATAATTTTTTTATGGATTTGTCTTCTATTTAAAAAAACTTCCAACGGACGAAATGCGAAAATAAACATTAGTAGAACAGACAATGCGCATCTAATAAAAGAATGAATGACTTCTCGAGCCATAATCTTGGTCCTCGTGTACTTTCCTTGAATTATATTCCTCATTTAATGCATCCCTATATATCACGCGTAAACATGTAGTCCACAAACCGTGAGACGGAAATTGCAAGGATCATGAAAAGACCGAGAGAAACGGAAGGGAGAGAGGAGCAATGACTCTCCTTTCTCAGGCATGGATCTGTTCGCTATCACTTTCGACGGAATGAAAGTGGAGAATGTTGTTGGCGTCTGTCAGACACGAGAGGAAACGCACGCTTCGTAATTAAACGCGATTTTAGTAAAATTTGTTTTAATCAAAATTATCGATTCAATCAAGAATTATCGATCAATTTTTCTTTACCAAAGAGAAACTTGAAACTTTGCTCGCTTCGAAAATTAGGGTTAATCATTGCTTGTGTAACATAAACTTTAAAACATATAATAAGAATTATAATAAAAAACCTATTTATGAAATATATATATATATATATATATATTGTTAAAAAAAAGAAGACGATAAATATATTTAATTATACTTAAATGGCTTATAATCGCGTGAAAATAAAGTGTTATAGTTTTATTAGATGACTAAATATGAATAAAAATGAAAGAGATGTGTTTGTCAAATAAACTGTTTATTTTCATTAAGGAATGCTGTCATGTATTCCTGGAGTCTGCCAATATATGCCGTGTGCAAATACACACATATTTGACACACTAAAAATGAATCGTAAATGAATTGAGGATAGATATGTGGCATTGAGACGATGTAGATTTAGTACAAAACACTCTTCCTCGAGGATGATATTAAAATATTTTATTTTAAACGTGCTAATTAATTTAATTACTTTTTTCGTATTATTTTTTTTATTCCTATTGCGCAAAAAATTTGCATTTATACGATAAATAAATTAAAGAATAATTTAAAAAATTTTTTTACAAATTAACATATCTTAAAACTTTTTGAATATATATTGTTATATTTATGAAAAAATAATTACGCGTGTTGTATAATAAATATTTAAAGATGACAGCAATTAAATTGATGTTGAAGATGAAAGCAATTAAATTGATGTTGAAGAAAAAGTTGTTTTTTAATCTTTATATAAGTATATGTGATAAAAGGACAAGTAAATTTGCAATTCGAATAACGTAAAAATATTTTTTTCGAATAAATTTTTGTCTCCAAAAATAGTAATGATTTTATAAACGAATGATGTTATAGACGAATCAAAATCACATCATTGCGGTTATGCGAACTTATTGTTTTCAGAGAATAAGAATTACATTAAGCTGATTTTCACTTTGTCAACTTCCTATCATCGAAAATATTTCTCTCTCTTTCTTCATCTTATTTAACTTTTTATTTAGAGTTACAGAAAATTTTTAAGTTGAATTTTTTTGAATCGAATAAAAATAAAAATAAAAATTCTTACAAAATAATTAAAAAAATCTAAATATTGTAATATATATATATATATATATATATATATATATATATATATATAATGAATTTAAAGTTTCCATCGAATGACTGATTTTACGAAGATTTTGCGCGTCCAGATGGAAAGAGTTTTCTCCGGAAAAATTATAATTTTTAAGTAATTTCATTAAACATCAGACATACTTTATTACATCGAAATATTTTTTTATTAATTCCAGTCAATCATCAACAAGAAATCGTAGATTTTTATTTTGTTAATATATTATTTGCTTTTTTATATCTGAATGTACACTTAACGCTGCTAAAACGATAGAAATATCTCCAGAATTTTCTTCATTAACACTTAACAGGCAAAATCAAAATTTCCCACTTGTCACCATCTCGCCACGTGGTCGCCGCTTTCAGCAATTTTCCATGAGACACTAAGAGATGCATACACGGTGATCCGAAAAAAATGTTGATCGAGTTAGAAACGCGAAATGTGTTGAACTCACCGCGCACAGTACTATCCGTCACACGGTTTGTCGTCAAAATTGTGCGAATTGAAATTTTTGGGGAAAAAAAATTCTCGCAGGGGTCCTGAAGGAGCTCTCGGCGGCTCCTGCTCTCTTCGGGGTTTTCTGTTACTGTCTGTGTAGCGACGCTTAGTGAGCGGCTTTTATTAGAAGGAGGGGCCTGACACCACCTCCACGCTACACTTATGTCTGTGGCCTCTCGTCCTCTCCTTCTGTCATGTCGCACGAGAAATCCTGAAGAAGGGATCGCGATCACATCGATAAATTTCGGTCCAAAAGCCGAAACATGAACATTTCGGCGATAATTGTCGAAAGATGCCCTTCTCGTCCGACTAGCTTTCAAATCTACTGCTTTTCTTGTGCTGCATAACAAATTGTGGAAATTTTTCTTTTAAATGAAAATAATTCGTAACGTTTTATGAAGCTACTTCCTCTCACGCAATACTTATCTTAAAATAAAATCTCTATTAATAATATACAAGGTAATAATTAAACAATGGAATCTTTGTCATTGGATTTCTCATTTATATGCGAGTTTAAAACTTTTGTCTTATAGGAGTTCCTTTGTCTTATAGGAAATTCTGAAATATTAGCGATAAGAAATCGATAATTAATCATTAAATTATAATAAAGACTTATCAAAAATGTACATAGATGGTGTACCATAAGATGTGACATAAGATTGAAGCATGGATTAAATCTTGAGTAATCAACAGATAAATAATTACATAGAATTTTCTTTAATATCTAGAAATATTTATTTAAGATTTATTTTTGGATTCAGACTTCATACATTTAGTTGAAAAGTATAAGGCTGTCGCTGATAATTATAACAATGCTTATTGATTAACATTGCATGATTACTGTTTATCACACATTGTTTTAACCAGCATTTTTACTCACACCACAAAGCGGCAAAACTTCGCAATCTTATTCTTTTTCTGACGACATAAGCTATTAAATGTAAATTCCCATTAATTAGAATAAAACGGTGTCATTGCAAATAATCACACACCATAGATAATGAAAGCGTATGTATACAATACAGCCCTCGCTTAGGTCATGGATCACCTTAATAAGTTATTTTCTATGTAAAATCATTTAGCTGCGGTGACTTTGTCAGATGGTTTCTCCTGCTTTTTTCTTATTTTATAATTCAGGGTTGAACTACTAGCTAACAGTTTCTCGCATGACAAAAGAGTATGTCGCAACAAAAGGTGTATGAATAATAGGAAGTAGAAAGAACGTCAGCGAACTAGCGTTAACAAATTGATGTGCAGATATGTTATTGAAAGTTACAATAGACGGGCAACCGCACAAACCAAAACTTACACTTAGAGATTTTGCTTTTTATTACTTATTGGAATTTCTTTAGAAATATCATTATTTATATAATTATATCAAAGATTGCCTTGAGCTATTTGCGGAAATTTTGCATACACTTTAGTATTAATCGTTTCTTTTTTTGCGACTAAATTACTTATTTCCCGCTGACGTACGTGGCGCATGAATCGAACACATAGATAAATAATTATAGTTTCATACATTAAATAAAATGTGCAACTAAAAAAATATCCAATCTAATGTTATCTATTATTGTGAATCATCGTGAATTTTTTGATGGAATATTCTTGATAGTAGAAATACTCACAGACGCAGTTGCGTCTATCATTTTGCTCTTTATTTGCTAAATGTAAAATTTTCATTACAGTTTATTACTTAATTGTTTACCAACAAATGTCTGGAACACGAAACGCAGACTGAAATTACAGAACACGCATGCATTTACGATATGCTTCGTTTAACAACGAGGATATTTCTACTTTATATTGTTTCTGTTTGTTTTAGAAGGAGTTGCTAAATAAATCCATCCATTTGGATAATCCATACATTTGAATAATCTATATGCATTTGAATAATGCGCATTTCAATATATTTTAATGTCTTTATTTAAATAAATCTTCAATGAAATCGACAAGTTGTTTATTTGTCGAGTTGATTTTATTTTTTTTTTAATATTAAACAATAAAAGAAATATCTCAAATAAGGAGGATTGTAACTCTCGGAATTAATGAAGTATGAAAACAATAAAAGAAAGTCTAACATTTTGCATATATTCATCGCCATAAGCAAAATTATCATAATTTAGTAATCATAGTTAGATACATTAATTTTTTATGTTATTATAAAATATAAGAAAACAATATATAATATTTATAATGTTGTAAAATGTAATAATCAATTAATAAATCGAAATAAATTCTTGTGTGTAAGTGATACATAAGTTTTGCGCATGTTATCATAATAGAGATAAAAAATAAAAATTCAGTCTTGATTTTTGTATTTCTATGACTTGTTTTATATTTAAATCTGCACACACAATATTATAACTACTTTTTTTTTTACTTTGATGAAATATGAAAATATATATAAATAAAGAATATATATAATCAAAGATACGAAAATCGTATATTATTCGTAGAAAACCGTATTATTAAGTAAAAAAGAGAATCAATTATTCTTGTAATTACAATATATTATATGTTAATATTACTTGTCATTTCCTTTAAAATTAACGTCTAATTATCTTGATGTAATATCTATGTCCCGAGTGCTTTACTTAACTCAAGGTTACATCCTAAAGGTTCAAGTGTGCAACAATTATAATCAGATAACATATTTTGCGTAATGACGCAAATGTTACTCAAAGTTCTATTACAATTTCGTAACAAATCTCAAGATAAAAAACTTAATATTTCTGCGAAATAGAGAGAAGGCAAAATGTTTTAAAACTTTACACTTTCTATATTTTCAAGTTCTTATCATCCGAAGATTACGCAAAATCCTGCAAAATGATGTAAGATCAAAAATTTATTAGAAGTAAGATAAAAAAGTGTCAACGTAATAATGAATTAAATATAATTGCATTATTTTAGAAGGTAACATATGAAAAACTAAGAAATTTTCGAAGACATTATCCGACGATCAAAATTCAAATAATCATCCTTTAATCCATTGTTTAATGTCATTTAATTTTATTCTGTTGTTTAATTAAATCATATACGATAAAATCTTTAATTTTTTCTCAAATATACATACAATTACATGCCACCTTCACCTATTTAGCTCTTCAATGTACGCGTTAAGCCGCGCTTCACCAATTTTTTCTTGTTTTTGAAAGACTAAGGATTTATGTCGACGGAGTAATTTTCCCCCTTCTCGACAGTTTCCGCTCGTTTCGTGTCAGTATGTTGGAATGGCAGCAAAGACAAGTGAAGCAATTATCTTCCTTTTATGGTGAAAGAAAATGACGATCTGTCCTGGTCGACGAATATTTGACAGCACGATTGGTACATACATTAACAACAATGAGAGATATATCATCTAACATACATTTACTCGCTTACATAAAATTATCATTATCGAATATAATTTTATATTTTATATTTTAATTACTGTCAAATATTATATATATTATATATTTTCTGTATTGCTTTATTTACGTAATTCATGATTTACTATAAATCTCATTCATTTCATCGAACAGTATGATAAGGAGATATAATGCAAACATATTTCCAATCCGATGTAACATAACGCGGAACTTGAAGAAAAGATGCACACGCGATGCTAGTTCTGCTACCCGAATTATATTCTAAAGAACCGGATGTGTATATTGTGATTAACAGGGAAAATAAATAAAGAAAGACAGAAAGAGATCGCTTTTCTTTACGTTATTCCTGTAACGATTGACAGCTTTATGCTTTCCTACGTCAAAAGTGTTACGCGAAACAGATATCAAAAACAATAATTTATAATTAAAAAGATTTTTAAATTGTAATCGTGGTTTCACGTCATGCGGAAGAGAAATGATGCTTGGAATGATTATTGAGTCAGTTGGCATGTAACTTATATTATGTAACTAAAGAATATAAGCTTAGACATACATATCGATAGTAAAATATCAAATGTTTTAATATTAAGAAATCGTTATTAGAAGTAAAATATGTGCAGATGCTTTCATATATTATAAGTAGATATTTTTATATCCAAATTATGAGAGAGATAATTGATTAATAGATGCTGCTATCATTAAACGCACAACTTTAAATCGCATAACTCATTGCATATTATATTGTACTATGTAAAGAATTATTTGAAGAATTATAAACGTATCTATAAAAACAATTCTGGGTCAGAAAAAGCGACGCACCGATTTCTCGTTGCTATTCTAAGTGTTTTCGAAGAGACCAAGGCCCCTATTCCTTGCAAAATCGCGTTGACTCACCTTTGTTACTCTTTATTCTCTCTAATTCAATGCGCATTATCAAATTCGCAATAATTTCCAATATATATCATATTAAAATATATATTGAATAGATATTAAATATATTAAAATCAAACTTTGCTTGCCTGTGTTAAAGCTAAATGACTTTGTTGATTCTGCCAAATTACCAGTCAATTTAAACAATTTATTTGCAAATCATTTTAATTGCGAAATTTATATGGAGATAAATTTGATATTAAAAGTATAAAAAAATATTAGATATGAAATATAAGGTATCTCAAATAGTAAAAAGTGACATATGTATAAGATAATCTGAAAGTGTAATTAATGTAAACTTTAATGACTTTGTTTCAAAGAAATAATAGCTAATATTTGTGAGGAAAAAATCTACCGGCACGAAAATGTTGATTGTTCAATATGTACTATAAGCTATAAAAATATCTATAAATGTTCCATTGTAGCTTATAGAAAAGTGTTATTACATCTTCAGAAAAGAAATAAAGAAATGCGAGCAACAAAAGTGAATTGACACGATTTTGAAAGGATATTTCGTTATCGGAAAATGTTATTACTCTTCAATAAAATCTGCAATATACGGAAGATTTCTAAATATTTTTATAGCCACTATCTCGTTTTAAAATGGCTAAGACATTTAAGAAGCAAATGATGATATCAATGATTGAAAAAATTTGTTGATGGTCTCTCCTATTTGAATATGTATCTTTATAATTTTTATAAAGTGCCAATTATGGCTGGAGAGAAACTTGTTAATATTATATATTCCAATTTTATGATGTATGAATTTTTATGAACGCTTTTATATAATATATTTTTGATTATTGGAC